TGAGCGGTAACATCCACTGCCTCGAGTCAGATCGACAAACAAAATAAGCTTTTGTAAGGTTGTCGTCAGTTGACTAAGAGGGCTTGAGAGCCAGCATGTTCAGCTAGGCATATATAAGGTGGGGTAACCATGAGTTTATCTTCCAAACATTCTAAAATTCTATGTGGGTGTTATTCACTTCTCACATATTCCTCTTAATAACAGCATTAAAAAATATACAGTTATTCTAAATGTTTTACCTTCTTGGTGAGGGCAACAAGTGACTGTCTGAATGCTGGAGACTGACTGTGCATGTTGTTGTTGAAGAACACGAGGGCAAGATTCATCTCCTTGGCAGATACTATCCCTGTGGACTTATGATTTTCACAGATTACACCAAGCACATCAATTCTAACCTAAAATATATTAAATATAGAGACAAGTTTAGTCAATGCTGGTGACTGTGCATGTTCCAGTCAGAGCTTCAGCATGTTCCAGTCAAAGCTTATGCATGTTCCAGTCAAAGCTTATACATGCTCCAGTCAGAGCTTATGTGTACTCCAGTATTCTCGTCAGAGCTTTTGCATTTCCAGGAAGAGCCCACAAACGCATTCTCACTTGCTTATCAGCACACAGCAACAACATAGCACTTATTCAAAGTGGGATAAAATGTTTTGACATTCCTTACATGACAAAGTTCATGGATGTCGGAAGTATGGTAGATAATGCAAGGATTACTGAAAGATCAACAAAAACGTGTAGAACTAGATTTGTATGTTCATATATGTTTTGTAATGATTTTATTTTTAATGTTGGTAATAAAAACATTGACTTAACAGTGGCACAATGAAATCCCAGTGTGGTACACATATAGCATATTCTCTACAGTTTAATTTGAAAAAATATGCTTTTTTCTATATTGTTTTAGAAAACATATCAGACACTTCTTTTGTTCTTGGTATCACATAATCAGAATTTCTTTTTATTTATTTGTTCGGAATTAAATGAAACATCTATCCGAACCTCATTGGAATAAAACAACGCATACACAACATGTTTAGGTCTCTCAATATTGTAATTGTACAAAGGAAAGCTTGGTTGATTTATAAAAGTATCTTGTTAATGAAATAAAAGGTTTACTTTAATTTTTACCTTTTTTGGGGTTCTTGTGTGATATCGTACATCTTTTTTAATTAAAAGTAATTCTCAATTATAAGAAGCATTAGGCTTTAAAATGTTCAACTAGTAATGTTCAATGAATGCAAAGTTTATAACACTGGTATTCACTGAACCTTACTAGTTGAACATATTAAAGCCTAATGCTTTTTTTATAATTGACACTTGTTTTGATTTTTAGAAAAGGACCATGCTTCTAATACAGAATGTTTTCAATAATTGGTTTCAGAGAAAAACAATGTTGAATTGAGTTCGCCATATCGATACCAATCCTTTAAATAACTTTCTTTATAACTTCCAAATTTCCCAGGAGCAGCATCAAAAAGGTATAATAAACTCTACAGGATGTTCAGGAAATAAAGATAATAATGTCATATCTTTTTTATTTATTCATGGATTTCAATGAAATTTGCAGGGATTATAGTTTAAACATATCTCACAGGCTGGTATCGAAAAATTTGTCCGCTGTGACGGAGCGTGCTATTTTGCATAGAAACACTAAGAAACCCACACAATTTATTTTTTACTAATATGTTTCGCTATACCAAAGAAAATTACTGACTCCATGCAATGGGTATATCATTTGCGGGTAATTTTAACTTTTGTTTGAAGTCCAACAACGCTAAGAGTAAAAGCTATTGAAAACGGCGCCGGGGTATCATACTCCAAAATGTACCATTTGTTTTATTTCTTTTTAATGGTACAATATAGTGACACGATAATATTTACATATGTTTTCAGCATAACTCTGAAGGTATTAATGATATCTTGATGTATTGGGTATTTTTAATATTTTTTATAAAAAATAATGTTTACATTTTTTGTCAGCTGTGACGGAGCAGTTTAAACTGTGAACTACGTTAAGAATTTAAGATTCAAATTATGTCTTTTAAAAGTACCCTTAGACATGTTAGAAGAGAGAACGTCACAAATCACTTTCCTAAATAATGACAAGCAGCCTCTTGGAGATATGGGGTAATGTAAATCTGAGATATAAAAACGACCACTCTTAGCATTTTTCGGAGGTTTGTACTGAAATCAACATGAATCAACATGATGTAAACTCAACATAATATTTCTAATACGTTTTCGCCTAGACGTCTTGAAATGTCACGTGTATTGAAATAGGACTAATATGAATTTACTTATTCGAAATAGCGCACAGACATCATGCATTCCGACAGATGTATAACCTTTTACCACATAATATTATATTACTGTATATAAGATGATCCCAATACAGATTTAATTTGTAATTATTTGAAATTCATGAAATTCATCGTTTTGCATAGACTAAAATTATAAAAAACCTGTATCAATGAATATCTTTCTCTAGTGAACACCTCTTCTTATCAAATATTCCTCTGACTTCTGTATGAAATTGCCTCTATGGAGTGAACATCTATACCAACTGGGAACACATTTTTGGGCTCCATATGTGTTCTCAGTATACATATTTTACTGTAGTTGCATCAGATAGCCATAACTCTTAGGCAAATACCCTTTACTGAAATGGAAGTTGACTATCATTTTCATGAGTTATCATGCATAAGTTGGATTGCAGTACAAACTGAGAAAAGAAGCTTAAAGAGTGGTCGTATATACATCTCAGAATTTGAATTGTGTACTTTTATTAGTTTCATTTTTCAGAATACTTTTCGAAAGAGATTTGACACGCTCGCTCCTCTAAAGTTTAATTTTAAAGAAATATATTATGAATCTAAATTCTTAACGCATTTCAGATTTGAAACTGCTCCGTCACAGCGGACAAAAAAATTAATTATTATTTTTTATCAAAAAAATTAAAAATACCCAATGCATAAAGATCTCATTAATACCTTCAGAGTTATGCTGAAAACATATGTAAATATTATCGTGTCGCTATATTGCACCATTAAGAAGAAATAAAAGAAATGGTACATTTTGGAGTATGATACTCCGACGCCAATTTCAATAGCTTTTACTCATAGCGTTGTAGGACTTCAAATAGAATTTAAAGTTACCAGCAAATGATATATTCATTGCATGGAGTCAGTAATTTTCTTTGATATAGCAAAACATATGAGTAAAAAAATAAATTGTGTGGATTTCCTAGTGATTCTATGCAAAATAGCACGCTCCGTCACAGCGGACAAATTTTTCGATACCAGCCTGTGTATCTAAACTTACTTTTGGAGTTTCAGCTTCTAGCGATTTGATTTGTAATTTCTGTGGCTGGCATAGCAACGCAAGTAGCGCAAAGGTGGGGTACGTGGAATAACTGCAGTAGTTTCTGTGTAACATTTAGCATGGCAAACCGATTTTGACACCATATTTAAAGCTTTCTTGGTGCATCTCCATGATAAAATTCTTCTATTGTTTTGTTTTATGATATAAAAGCCAAATAAATGCTTTTTTAATGATATTCAATGGGATTTTCATGGCTAAATGCAGGCATTACATAGAAAGCAACCTGGGATGCAATTTCTCTTCCACTTGGACAATTCCCCCTCCCATACTGCTGCCATAATCACTAAAGAATTGAGCAGCTGAGGTTAGAGCAACTCAAGCATCCACCTTATTCACCCAACTTAGCGCCAAATGATTGATACTTCTTTGCTGAATCAAAACAGGACTTAAAGTGTGCGCCAAAATTTAAAACTGCGCAGGCGCAGCGCTCTCGCTAACCTATATAAAGAGATTACAGGGTACAGGCTTCAGAGGTAAGCCAGGAAGGTGTACAACTATCGTCTCGTGTTGATTTCCCGTATAATCTTAACCAGGCAAGTTTCACCATTGGAATTGAAAATGACTATTAGATATACTTTGTAGATGTTTATATATGAGGGTATTAAGTGTATGCATCGATCAAATGGCTCATTTTGAACATATAAAAAGTATTTGTGTTTTGTTTCCCAGGGAATCGTACTCCCATATAGTACACACATAAATAGTAAATGTATGTTGTACTTGAATAGCCTGGCTTATATAATATTAAAGGGCATGCTGATTGTACACACGAGTACATGCATGAAGGCCTAATATTGATATTGCTTGCATACCTAAGTAAAAAATAAACTCTTCTAATCCCCTAATGTAAACACGGCGGTATACGTAGCCCGATTTATCGGGGGCTTTAAGAGGACATGCATTTGAGAATACTCATGTCATACGTTCACATGTGTTAAACAGACTTCAGGAAATGAGTCAAGAAGAATTCTGTGAAGTATTTGAAGAAGGTTCAAGAGGCAAAGAGTTTGTGTCTAGAATGGGGGAAATTATGTAGAATAAATTGATAAATTGGTAAAGAATTTCAGGCTTATAGTTATGACTATGTTTAAGCATCCATTTTAAGTCATAAACATGAAAGAATCTCTTTTTAAAACATTTAAACATGCAAATATACTGCAGTTATTCCAACTGCCCCGCCTTAGCGCTACTCGTGTTGCTATAACAACCACAGAATCAACCAATCAAATCGTCTGAAGCTGAAACTCCAACAATAAGTTAAAATATGTTAAAACTATAATGTCTGAAACTTTCAATGCAATCCATGAATAAATAATAAAAAGTTATGACATTATTATCTTTATTTCCTGAACACCCTGTATTATCGTTAACTTAATCTCTGTGGAATTTCTATTTTTTAATGTATCTCAATATTTCTTTGTGAAGGGGGTGGGTGCTAATTAGGGGGTGGCTGGTAAATATGGCAATTACGGAAACAAATTATAAAATAATAAACTAATTATCCAGAATAACTAAAAAACGTTTGACACATTTATTAGACACTAACAAATTTATTGGTCGAATAAAAATCCCTAATCCACAGTCATAAAGTAGTTCTAAAAATGTTCTATCCCATTCTAGAAATCATGCGGCCGGTTTGAAATGTTTAAGATACTATGCTGAATCGTTCATGAACACTTTATTTCACAGACTTGCTAAAAATGAGTAGAACTTAAAAAACAATTACCGCAAACTTTTGTAAGTGTCTCTATACATAAATTATGTTGTCAAATCCTTCAGAAATATTTATTTTGTTTTGAATGGGGGTTTGCACAGAATAATCACTAAATAAGGACATAATACCGTTGAATAAGGTCTGCCTGCAGTCGCCACACAATTTTGAACTGGTCAAACTTAAGGAGCACCTTCCCATTTGAGCATGTGTGAGAAGCTCGGAAAAAGACTGAAAGAATCCAGCTATGTGCAATCCGTTTTCAGGAATGTGGTGAGAACTAGTTTTGTGTGACTGTTTTGTGACTGTAGTCATGATGATTCTAACCTTGGCTTGAATATACATAATAAATACATGAATATATGTATGTACAGACAGAGAGACATACATTAATTTGTGATGGTTACTTCGCTATACTCCTATTATTCAATAATTACAATGTTTATCAATACATGGTTATAATAAAAAAAGATTACCTACTGCAATAACCTGCATTAAACATTGCATGTTAACTTTGATTCAATGTCAAAATAACATTTTTCCTTTAATTTTTACATTTGAATAAAACTGTTTTTTAAACTTTCCCCAATAAGCATACATATCATTTACATTTGCAACTGACAAAAACTTATTCATGTCTGACTTGTCAAGATTAAAATCATAATTCTCCATCCCAATAGTTTTATTAGGAACAGTATGATCTATCCCAGCCTTCGCTGCTAATATGCCAGTAATATACACATCGTCCACCCAAAAGAAAGGTTCATCTAACGATGCCTTATAAATTGAAGCTGCTACGTCTTTTGAATATAAGATGAACATTCCGGAACAATAATCAGGGTATATATCAGGTTTGAACTCCTTTCTAGAGACATACCATTTACTTAATTCACCTGTAGGATCACGGATAGGTGGCGTGTTACTCATTAAATTGCATAGCAACAAGTTTTGTTGAATTCCCCTCAATTGCATATTTTGAATTACTTCAACAACATTAGGTAGATTTAGGAAAACATCATCATCAATGTTTAGAATGAATGTAACATTTTCACAAAAAGAGGTCGCCCATTTCAATCCCATCACCCCCTTGTATGACAGGTTCCTGTATGCATCAATGAAGTCTTCCTGGATGATGTCATGGTGTTTCTGACTTTCCTTAAGAATATTTGCATTCATTCGTCTGTTAACACCATTGCCAAGGAGGAATACATACTGTAATGAAACACCCCTTATGGCTTTAATGCTTCCCCATGTCTCTCTTACATCATCTCGCCTCTCTTGATTTATTGGGGCTGACTTTATAAGTATGAGCAGATTTGTTTTATTTTTGCAAACATGTTTTTCATTTATCATATACTTAAAATTATGAGGGTTCACAAATGCTTGAGTTGAAGGTAGCACAGTTGTCCAAAGTTTCTCCTTTCCTAATTTCAGATTTTTTTGTTTGCTATTGTTTTCCTTTGGTTTTTTATTGTTTTCCTTTGGTTTCTTATTGTCTTTCTTTGGTTTATTTTTCACTATTTTACTAAAACACTTTTGTTATTTTGTTTGTTTAGATTTTTTTTTCTTACATTAATATATTTATGCGGTTCCTCTTTTTCAATTGGTACTACTTTAGAGTTATTAAACCCAATCTTTTGTACATTTTCTACTACTCTCTTTTTAACCACTTTCATTTGTGATTCTGTATTCCTGATTGCGTATCCATTTTTATGTAATTGTTCTATCAGATCATCATTTTTACTGAAGACTATAATCTTTTTTCTCACTCGTATATTTTTATGAGTATAATACATGTAGTAAATGTTCAGACAAACTATCAAGAACACAACCATGGCTAAAAGCAGTAATATGTGTTGCCTTGTATGCATGACTTCCACAGTTGAATACAATAAACAAATTGATATTTTAAACACTTATATTACTTTAATTTTACGATAATTGATCAATAGATTAGTAATGCTACTGTGACTATTGATATACAGCAACTCCCCAGAGTAGCAAATCCCTTTAATAAAAACATATTTTATAAAATGACTTTTTGTTTTGAATTTACATGAAATAACCAGGGACTAATATTGTCTCCTTTTAGCAAAATCTACACCAATGTGTGTAAAATGCCCTATTTGAGACATCAAATTTGAACCAGATTTGTAGATTGGTATAAGAGTGATCAAATATTTTGATACATGGTGGCTATTTTGAATTGAGCAGCCATAAAACATTACCTTTTTTTAAACATGGTGGCCATTTTGAATTGAGCAGCCATATTGAAAGTTCATTCTTGAACAGTGGTTCTATGGAGCTCCCATGACAGTATCTCAGAATAGACACTACAGCAGGCAAATGAAAATATCCAAAATCTGGATAAAATAGTTCGATTTATCTAAGTCTGATAGGTTCAATTCTCAACAAAATTATGATAAGTAAAACCTATTTCATCCAAATGCTACTGGGACCAAATAAAAGATGGCAGCACTGGGACCAGATAAAAGCTTTTTGATTAGTAGGAGTTTAGATTTACAGGTTTTTGCATCTGTAAGATTTCTCAATAAATATTCATATTTCTATTAATCACATAGCTTTATGGCATTATGCAAATAAATTTAGTCATGCTAGAAAGGACCATTACGATTGAGACCATTTGATTTTTTTAACATTTTGATATCATAACAAACCAGTGTTAAATTGGTATATCTAAGCACAAGTACCAAAGGGAGAGGACCAAAAGATGTCATGGAACATAGCAAGAAAAAGCAAACTCTAAGTGTATACCAGTCACAAGAAAAAACAAACCCCATGTATCCCGAAACCAAGATCTAATGTAAAAAGAAACAATGGCTAATCCCTTTCCCTCACCATTCAGGAACCATTATCACAATCCAAGACCAGAACACCAAGGGAAATTTCATTCATACTCAGCTGAGTGGTCCACAACTCGTACAAAAAGGCTGTGCTGTGTACCTGCACTTGTATGTCTATGTATGAGTGCACATAAAAGAACACAATATGAAAATATTGAATATGACAAATTAAATGAGCTTTCAATCAGCTGAAAAGAATATTTGATATATTGGTACAAAAATTTCCAAATTAAGGTAAGAACTTCTGGGGAAAAGCAAACCAGGAGTTTGCAAAATTTATACAGCAACAAATATACCTGTATCCCCACCCCCTATATATCTCAGATACATAATAAGGCCTACAGGGGCATATGTGGACCTAATATTGACTGAGCTAGTAAATTGAAATATAATTTCCAACTAATGAATGCAGAGTACTGATGCATGGCTTTACAGATATTGTCCAGTAAAGCATAACAGCCATAGTGACATGTTCAATGATTCAATTCACTACATGTAGTCTAATGTATTTGTAATCATAATATATCAACAACTTAAAAGCCTTATTTTGTAGTTTCATTACTCTATTGATTTTTAGTATTACTATGAAAACAATAACAACTAGACATTTAAAATCGCCACGGGGGCGATTTCGTAGAATGCCGTTCCTCGCCGCAGCAGCAAATTTGGTGCACAATTGACCTTTTTCAAGGTCACGCAGAGGTCGAATTCCAAAACCGAAAGCATATTTGATATCATATTTTGCCATATTTTTGAAATTTTGGCACTCAATTTAAAAACCCGTACCCTTATCCTCCCAGACGCGCTTTAAAGCGCTGTCGCGTGCCCCCTATATAGATTAGGAAAACAAAGTGTTAAACTTGTTATTTCTTGATACCATTTAGGCAGTCATAATATACAGTAATCTGCTCTATATGGGCTTATTAGTCTTTTGCAGATATTATTGACATAGACATAGACAATAGCAAACCGGAAGTGTACTTTAATCGAAGAAAATTAGTTTTTATTGCAATTAAAGCTGTTTTATCACCACAATACCACAAATATCACCAAAAATGGCGATTTGGAAGAATCTTTACTTTATTTGGCTCCTTGTACATGAAAAACAAGAAATATGTCTTACGTCGTTTTACGTTGAAGGTCAAAGGTCAAGGTCAAAATGTTGACCTAATTTACTATAGTTAAGTACAGTGTAATACAATGGTACCAATTTCGAATCAATTTGAGCAATTTTAGCAATTTAACCTTTTTGACCTTTTCAAGGTAACCCGGAGGTCAAATTCCAAAACCACAAGCATATTTAGAATCAGGGACATCCATACTTCATACTTGCAAAGAATTGGAATGAAAATCACCCAAATTATAAACCCTAGAGATATGTTAAATGGGAAGAGTAAGGCATGCAAAAAATAACTACAGTGGCTCCTTGAACAGGTAAAACAAGAAATAAGTTTTACGTCATTTTACGGTGAAGGTCAAAGGTCAAGGTCAAAATGTTGACCTAATTTACTCTAGTTTAGTACAGTGTAATACAATGGTACCAATTTCGAATCAATTTGAGCAATTTTAGCAATTTAACCTTTTTGACCTTTTCAAGGTCACCCGGAGGTCAAATTCCAAAACCACAAGCATATTTAGAATCAGGGACATCCATACTTCATACTTGCAAAGAATTGGAATGAAAATCCTAGTTTTCAACTTTGAGGTGATTTGAAGGTCAATGTCAAAGGTCAAGGTCAAAATGGTGACCTAATTTACTCTATCCGAGTACAGTGTAATACAATGGTACCAATTTGGAATCAATTTGAGCGATTTTGATTTTTGAACTTGTTGACCTTTTCAAGGTCACTCAGAGGTTGGATTCCGAAACCGAAAGCATATTTGGAATCAGGGGCTTCTATTCTTTATATCTGCTCAGAATTGGGATCGGATACACAGTTTTCAAATTTTGCCCCACTGGGGTGCCCCATTTTTCAAATTTGGGGCACCCAATTTTAAAACCCGGAATATATGTGAAATGGCAATTGTGAGGGATGGCATATGCAAATTTTGGGTAAAAAATAAAAATGGTTACTCCTTGTACGTGCAAAAATGTAAAAATTTGCGATTTGACCTTGGGTAATTAGGGAGGGGCTAATTAAAAAAGTTAAGGCATTTCCCTGTAGCCCAGGAACATGTCAAGGTTGATGGTATATGCTAATTAGCTGACATGTCGGTGTGTGCGGAGAAATCTTGCGTGGAATAATAACTAGACATTTAAAATCGCCACGGGGGCGATTTCGTAGAATGCCGTTCCTCGCCGCAGCAGCAAATTCGGTGCACAATTGACCTTTTTCAAGGTCACGCAGAGGTCGAATTCCAAAACCGAAAGCATATTTGATATCATATTTTGCCATATTTTTGAAATTTTGGTACTCAATTTAAAAACCCGTACCCTTATCCTCCCAGACGCGCTTTAAAGCGCTGTCGCGTGCCCCCTATATAGATTAGGAAAACAGTGTTAAACTTGTTATTTCTTGATACCATTTAGGCAGTCATAATATACAGTAATCTGCTCTATATGGGCTTATTAGTCTTTTGCAGATATTATTGACATAGACATAGACAATAGCAAACCGGAAGTGTACTTTAATCGAAGAAAATTAGTTTTTATTGCAATTAAAGCTGTTTTATCACCACAATACCACAAATATCACCAAAAATGGCGATTTGGAAGAATCTTTACTTTATTTGGAGCAAAACATATCTATAGTGGCTCCTTGTACATGAAAAACAAGAAATATGTCTTACGTCGTTTTACGTTGAAGGTCAAAGGTCAAGGTCAAAATGTTGACCTAATTTACTATAGTTAAGTACAGTGTAATACAATGGTACCAATTTCGAATCAATTTGAGCAATTTTAGCAATTTAACCTTTTTGACCTTTTCAAGGTAACCCGGAGGTCAAATTCCAAAACCACAAGCATATTTAGAATCAGGGACATCCATACTTCATACTTGCAAAGAATTGGAATGAAAATCACCCAAATTATAAACCCTAGAGATATGTTAAATGGGAAGAGTAAGGCATGCAAAAAAAAACTACAGTGGCTCCTTGAACAGGTAAAACAAGAAATAAGTTTTACGTCATTTTACGGTGAAGGTCAAAGGTCAAGGTCAAAATGTTGACCTAATTTACTCTAGTTTAGTACAGTGTAATACAATGGTACCAATTTCGAATCAATTTGAGCAATTTTAGCAATTTAACCTTTTTGACCTTTTCAAGGTCACCCGGAGGTCAAATTCCAAAACCACAAGTATATTTAGAATCAGGGACATCCATACTTCATACTTGCAAAGAATTGGAATGAAAATCCTAGTTTTCAACTTTGAGGTCATTTGAAGGTCAATGTCAAAGGTCAAGGTCAAAATGGTGACCTTATTTACTCTATCCGAGTACAGTGTAATACAATGGTACCAATTTGGAATCAATTTGAGCGATTTTGATTTTTGAACTTGTTGACCTTTTCAAGGTCACTCCGAGGTCGGATTCCAAAACCGAAAGCATATTTGGAATCAGGGGCTTCTATTCTTTATATCTGCTCAGAATTGGGATCGGATACACAGTTTTCAAATTTTGCCCCACTGGGGTGCCCCATTTTTCAAATTTGGGGCACCCAATTTTAAAACCCGGAATATATGTGAAATGGCAATTGTGAGGGATGGCATATGCAAATTTTGGGTAAAAAATAAAAATGGTTGCTCCTTGTACGTGCAAAAATGTAAAAATTTGCGATTTGACCTTGGCTAATTAGGGAGGGGCTAATTAAAAAAATGAAGGCATTTCCCTGTAGCCCAGGAACATGTCAAGGTTGATGGTATATGCTAATTAGCTGACATGTCGGTGTGTGCGGAGAAATCTTGCGTGGAATAATAATAATAAAAATAAGAAAAAGGCGAAAACTATAGAATGCCGTTTCTTCGAAACCGGCATTCTAAAAATAAGAAAAAGGCGAAAACTATAGAATGCCGTTTCTTCGAAACCGGCATTCTAATTACAGTATAAACAGCATGAATTGTTTAAACCAAAGCATTACTCCAGAGTATATACCATTTGCTAATTGTTTGGATTCATATAACTGCAACTTTTATTATACAGTGACTATTTTGCAATTGTTAGGTCACATGGGTGAACTATTGTTATCACCAACTTTTCTTGCCGTATATCTGTCGATTGGTCGGTCGGTCGGGCTGTCAGTAGGTTGGTCGGTCGGTCAGTTGGTCGGTCTAAAAGTACAAAATCTTCTACGACAATTGAAATCGTTTCTCTTTTCAAATGTGTCTGTATAATTCGTCAATTGTCCCATACATGGCGTCTCAAAAGGTTGCTTCATTTCAAATTATAAATTCAGATAGCAAAATATGAAAGTATACATCAGTAAGTGCATGTCTGCGTTATATATAATAAATCAAAAATACTCATTTTGCATTCTATTTATTTAATAGTAATAATAATTTACAGGTATCAAGGAAAATATCAGATGTCACACTTAGGACAATGTATCATGTTTACTTATCAATATTTCCAAGGATGGCAACACAAAATTCAAAACGAAATTTCAGAGATTTGGAGAGAACAGCATATCCCTTCACGTTAATGCCATAGATATCATAGATTTTACACGATGTAGCATTAGTTTGACGGGAGCAGCATGTCCAAGGCATAGCAAATTCTAACAAACAAAGTATTACTCCTTAAATCGTTTTTTATAAATCTGAATGATATCCCAATGTGTGGGATCATTAGGGAATGCATGTAAAGGGTTTGGATTTGGGAAAATATTCTACGTCTTTAAGTGTAACATTTTTACTGTTTTAATGAAAACTATCCTGACAAGGCATCTGAATAATATATAAACCAAAAATATGTGTTGCATTAAGTGGGATCAATAGTCATTTAGGTATTGAGACAACAGATCAATGGACCAAACATTTGCATATTCATATTGTACTACGTTTAATTCAATTGTGAATGTGCTAATTGCATTCTTTGAATTTTGCTATAAAATAGATGAAAGTACATATCGTGTTGACATTTTACTGACAAAAGGTATCTTGATTCAGTTTTGCGATAGTCCAAAAAGTAGATCAAAACAAAACACCTTTAAACCTGCACATCGCTCCAAAACGCAATATGTTGACATATATTGTTTTTACATTTTCAAGCTCTAATATAAAGTTTATGTAAATAAAAATTGTTTTTTTCTGCGTAATATCAAAGAACAATCGTTTAGTTAAAAAAAATAAAAAGGCGGATGCGGGATTCGAACCCGGGCCTCCCGCGTGCTAAGCGAGGATTCTAATGCTACACCACCGTATTATTATGAATGTAGGAAGTAATTAAACGCTACTTATTTTGAATGCTATGATTCGGAAGTGACGTCACGTTCTTCATTTAGAAACCTTTCCAAAATCATATCGCCGGCTCCGATCGAAGCAAATTCAATGAAAAATCTTTGAAATTACACATTTATCGTAAGTATTTCTCCACAAGATTTGCCCCATTTGTTCATCATTCTATAATCTTTCATTAAGCTCAAAATGATAAAGTTCACCCCCGAAACAACCCAAGATTGCGTTTCGGAGCGTAGTCCAGCTTTAAATCAGAATTAAACTGGTTGAACTGAATCTAAATAATTTGATATTATAATTGATAAAGAACAATTTCAGAAACTCAATATTCAAAATCTGATGCTCTTCTTAAAATTTTATTCAATTCTGAAAAATCAAGACTATATCTTGATATTTTTCTGTTTTACTCCCCATAAGCAATGTGTAACTGTAATTTCCAAATGACACAAAAGGACAGTGAGTTTAGGAGTCATTAAATCACCAAATGAGCCAGAAGCACTCATTGGCATAGGCTGCACCCTCAAAACCTGGGTTTGCCTCTATACAAATCTACCTTTGCAAAAAAGGGAATCGATCATTTTTAAAATTGTTTGAAGACGAAGCTCTTTTTTAAGAAGCGAAGTCAATTCCATTGTCAAAATAGAAGGGACATATAAGGGATCTTCTAGCTCTGCTCATTTTAGAATTATTTCAGGAAATGACCTGTATATACATGTACACCGGGTGTCCAGATGTGATGTAACATCATGGTCGATATATCAACCAGCCATCCTTAAAAGGTTAAGATCAAAATGAAGCTGTTTTTACCTCATCCTCCTTGTGACAAAGTGCAGCTTTCAACTGCTGAATTGTAACTGCTCCCTGTATACAGGGCACCCCTTCTGCTGTAGTAGTGACATCATTTGATAATGTAGTGACATCACTTTCTGGTGTTGTGACATCATCATCAGCTATGTTCTCTATGTTAAACAGCCCTAGTGCTTTAGCCCTCTTCAGACAGGACATGAGAGCACCTAGGTTTCCAGGTCCTGCAACAAAGAATATATCTATAGTTGGAACATTTCTTGTTATAATGAGTGGGGCTTTAAAATGTATATAGATTACTATTTTTAAATAAAATTTCAGCTTTTTTTGATTATTCATGGGACTTGTTTATATATGGTGGCCCAGAAAAGCAACACTCTAATTTTGGAATAACATTGTCAATAATGATGGAATCTTATTGATTGTTCTAAAATTAGTGTTTAATTTTTATTTGGCTTAAAGCAGGACTACAAGTTGACTGTCTTACCATGATATTGCTTGGAAAGTCGGTTGATGATGAATGGCATGCTATCTGGACTGGTCTTTAGCAGCTTAGGCAACACATGCTGGAAGAGTAAAAAAAACAGAGAATTTGATGAACATATGTATCAATCCAATGACTAAAAAAAGGGAATCTGGGAATAAAGTGAATTAAGCCTGACTATAGCTGTATGAATAACTACTAGAAAGACAATGCTGGTTACTTGTATATGTATATAGGGCACATAGGGTACTATATTTGGTTTCCTGCCATATTTGGTCAGTAAGCAATACTTCTTTGGTATAGTTGCATTTAAAAATTTAACATAGAAATCTCTTGCGTGAACCAAGAATCATACTTTAAAACCCTTTCATATCAACACTTATGCTAGAGGTATATTCTCCACCACTTGAGCCATTCTGGCATGGCTTGTCAAAGCAATAACCCCTGATATGTCTTACTTCAATGATATGTGTTTTATGTAGTTTTGAGCTTGCACATAAAGCCTTCAGTACAGGGTCAACCCAAACAGTTCCCCACAAGTCTCCAGCATTTGGTTGTCCCTTGAGTTCTTGTTTGTGTGAGATGAACAGTCTCTCTAATACTTCACTCACCTATAAGGATAAAAAAACAAAAAATAAAATGCAAAAATTCAAAATTATTTGATTGATTTTGGTATCAATGTTTTAGGTTGAGCCTAGTGAGGGGAAACAATAAAAGGAGGTCACATGAGACATGTATTGATTGGTCAGAATTAGGAAACAAACTTTCTTACCAGTTGCCTATTTCACAATAAAGAATAACACGTACAAGTATAATGATAGATGATGGACTCATTTATTCAAAATATGAGTGTATAAAATTATACACATCTTTGTAGAAACACATGAAATATGATATGCAAGAAGTATATCATTGTATATTTATGATAAATTTGAGGAATGGCTTTAAATCATAATCTACTTAAATCATCTACTTTTTCCCTTACATGGCCAGAGAGTGTCTGTTCTCCCATTACACCCAGTAATTCTGTGGGGAGGCCAGGTTTCAATTCAAGGAGTTTTGAGGTGCCAATATGGTGCACTAGTTCACACAATGTCCCATATTTTCCCTTGGCACTAAGACATGTTGAAAGGACCTCCCTGGCAATTCCAAGTACAAACTCACTAGATGTGGCATCTAAAAAGAGAAAACATGCAATGTTTAACAAGATAATCCAGTGAAAATTTCAGAAATTAGAAATTATGAAGGCCATGTGATATGTGGTGGAAACTGATCATCTTCTTATGAAGACGACATAGAAAGACAATGAATTAAAGTCAGTACTTGTTTTACGGTTGATTATAAGTAACATGTTAATGCTGACACATATAACTATAGAATCAACAGTATTGTGTGACAGTAAATTAATATTATTTGTTTGTTTAGTTGCTGATGGCAGTGATGGGCCAATATATGACCGAAGTCATAGTTTATGTGATATATTAGATCTCCAAATCACAATCCCATCATATTTCAACTTGGGAGTTGCCGTGGCGATTTGTCATATAAGCTAAAAAAGGTTGACCTTACAGATCCGGAAGTCTTGTGTATGGTTCAAACCTGCCCCATAGTATGAAGAGAGACACTTGCTATCAAGTGAACATTATAAATATTTCAATTTTTCTTTGGTGGATATATTCTCCATTTTTAATGAAGGGTACAAGCATATGGTTTATTCAGCCCCTTACCTTCCATTGATGCCTTGAGGTGTAATGCTATTGCATTGTTAAACAGAATTCTGGCATTGTAGCGTATCACCTGGAAATGATCATAAAGGCATGGTAGTTAAATCAACAGACTCTTGAATGAGGACAAAGAATATGAAGGAGTTATTCCATGTATACTGTATTTACAATGCATAATAACAATGGCATATCTGTCATTATAGAGTTAACATGCCTTTTTCCATAATTTTAAAAGGTTTATATATTCACTTACATCAGTGGGGTCCTCAATGTGGCTCCAGATCACTTGCAAGAGTTGGTTTTGAAGCTCAGAGCCTCCACAGAACTTAGACCTAAACACCTCATCATTCTTTGCCTCAACACATTTACTATAAATATCAAACATGGCCAATGGGTTAGAATGTAGCAGAGAACCTCCACAGAACTTAGACCTAAACACCTCATCATTCTTTGCCTCAACACATTTACTATAAATATCAAACATGGCCAATGGGTTAGAATGTAGCAGAGAACCTCCACAGAACTTAGACCTAAACACCTCATCATTCTTTGCCTCAACACATTTACTATAAATATCAAACATGGCCAATGGGTTAGAATGTAGCAGAGAACCTCCACAGAACTTAGACCTAAACACCTCATCATTCTTTGCCTCAACACATTTACTATAAATATCAAACATGGCCAATGGATTAGAATGTAGCAGACAACCTCCACAGAAGTTAGACCTAAACACCATCATTCTTTGCCTCAACACATTAACTATAAATATCAAACATGGCCAATGGATTAGAATGTAGCAGAGAACCTCCACAGAACTTAGACCTAAACACCTCATCATTCTTTGCCTCAACACATTTATTATAAATATCAAACATGGCCAATGGATTAAAATGTAGCAGAGAACCTCCACAGAACTTAGACCTAAACACCTCATCATTCTTTGCCTCAACACATTTATTATAAATATCAAACATGGCCAATGGATTAGAATGTAGCAGAGAACCTCCACAGAACTTAGACCTAAATACCTCATCATTCTTTGCCTCAACACATTTATTATAAATATCAAACATGGACCAATGGCATTGATTTCAATATTCAGACAAGCTTCTTTGGAGAATTTTGCTTCATTTGTAAAAATTGTAAGTAACATTAAAAATGTTCAGTTATTAATGTTATGATTCATTTTACATATGACTTTTTTACATGTCATTTTACATGTACTTTTTATGATACTATAGCAACTGACTAGCATTTCTCATGAATCTACAAACAATGATGATGTTTCACTTACCAGGCTCTGGTGGTGAACATGACCAACGTCCTTGAGGCTGTCACAATCACATCATATGAATACAATATATCTATATATCTCATGAATCTAAAAACAATGATGATGTTTCACTTACCAGGCTCTGGTGGTGAACATGACCAACGTCCTTGAGGCTGTCACAATCACATCATATGAATACAATATATCTATATATCTCATGAATCTACAAACAATGATGATGTTTGACTTACCAGGCTCTGGTGGTGAACATGACCAACGTCCTTGAGGCTGTCACAATCACATCATATGAATACAATATATCTATATATCTCATGAATCTACAAACAATGATGATGTTTGACTTACCAGGCTCTGGTGGTGAACATGACCAACGTCCTTGAGGCTGTCACAATCACATCATATGAATACAATATATCTATATATCTCATGAATCTACAAACAATGATGATGTTTGACTTACCAGGCTCTGGTGGTGAACATGACCAACGTCCTTGAGGCTGTCAATTTACTGTTGGTGTCTTCTAACCTAAGATCATTCAAAATAAACCAGACACATTTGGTAGTAATAAATCTCACATATTTGTAAATGAAAGGAATTCCGAAATCTCAAAAAGAACCATTATACGCACTTATTCTAAAAGTGTGAGAAAAAGATATTCACCAATGTTTTTATAAATATTTAAGATGAAGAGATTCAAAAATTCCTTTAAGATATGAATATGACTAAGATACAAAGCATAGGGTTCAGGGAAATTTTAGAAAAAGATGACAAAGAATGAAACAGGAAACTGCAATAACTTGAGACAATTTTTCACAAATGTTCACTATTTCTGAAATCCCACTTAATAATGGTGTCACTCACTTATACAACAATGTAAAGAGAGACTCTCCTATCAAATCCACCAATAGGTTCTTATGTCCTTCTATATCAATCCCCCACACAAGGTGCTCCACATCCAGCATAGCTAGCACCCCATTCATCAAACACAGGTAGGCTGTTGTTCCCAGTGTGCTTGAGAGGCATTCTGGGTAATCTGGTAGCCATCTTGGATAGACCTCCACAGAGCCGAGATTGCATTTTCTGAACATCAGGTGTAAGATCTGAAATTATAAAGCGATCTCAAAAGACTGGTTGCAAAGGAAATAATAAATGATTTAAATGTGTGGTGTAGTAGCCAATCTCGTACTTTATAAAACAAATCAAGTTAACACAAATGAGCTAACAAAATGAGCACTTTCATCAACTTTTTCAAAATTCCATAACTTCATACATCAAATATCCTAGACAATACATACACCATTTATAAATTATGTGGGTTTTTAAAAATCTTGAAATCTTTGCAGCTTATAAATCTTGTCATTTTTGCAATTATTTTGCTCAATATGTGTCTCGTGTGATACACTACAATACACCACACTACACTATCTATAGAGCACATTTATGTATGTAGCTACATGTACTTACAATTTGCACCACATTCTCTGGGCATGTAAGCTTCAGAATCAATGGATACAACATCCCACAAACATTCTTACAATCAAGTAGGTAACTCTCTGGAGAAAACATAGAAGTTAGATTAGACATGAAAACTAGGAGTTGAAAATTTCACTAGCGGGTCTAATTAAATTTACAAACTTCATTTGTCGTTTATTAAATGACATAAAATTACAAAAAACTGAAAAATGCTCTTGTTGCAAAAACTTGATTAATGAGATATTGTACCAGTTGTAAAAATCTTATATATCGACTGATATAACACAGTGATGTGTTTCTCTAGGACTGCTGAATGCGTCTCATATGAAGTCATGTACTGCGAAGAACATCTCTGCAGTAACTTGGCTATAGTCTGCATAGAACATAGACAATCCTGCATTCTAGCATTTTGCTCTACAACGCTTGATGCTTGTCTACAACACACAATAAGTCAAGGTTCTTAAAAGGGCTCAATCCATATTTCTGCCCAAAATTGACAGTGGCACCAAACTTCTTTAATTGACCTGAGAATTCATTGTACACAATAACTTCTATAGTCTAACACTGCGTTTAAGTACTGCAATAATTTATATATCTAGATTGTAAAACATGCTATTGTAATCATACCCTATGAGGTTTCCAAATGAGACCAATATATCTACTAGATTGTTAAACATATTGATGTAGCCTTACCCTGTGAGGTTTGTGAATGAGACCAATATATCTACTAAATTGTTAAACATGTTGATATACATATAGCCTTTACTTACCCTGTGAGGTAAGTGAATGAGCTAAGGCTGTCAACTAAGATTGTAAAGCACAACAATATATTCTCCTTCACACATCTCTCTCCTGAAATGACATGACAAACATTATTACTTTAATGTTCATAAAAAATTCACCCATGCGGATTATAGAATCAATATGTTACATCAAGAATTGCTGAGGAGTGACACAATTCAAGATATTTGAATGTTTTGTTGATAGTACAAGTATATGCATAATTATAAACTTAAATATAAAAGCTCAGTAAGCCCCCTCCCAAGAATTGAGCAAAAAGGTTATCTAATAATGTACAAAAATGTACTTCATATGGCAGGACGGTGGTGATCTTAATCAATTTTCAATTTTAAACAATTGATTTGATTTATGAAGACTATCCCCCATCACACATACCCTCTTAACACTCACATAAACATAAAAACATTGTATATATACCAAGGGGAAAATTTTCTAACAAAGCTGCAAGGTTGTCGACTATCATTCGGCCATTTTGCTGACTAGTGCTGCCATCTTTAAGCTGTAAGAGCTGCTCAGAGAGACATTGTGTAATATCATCATGGAAGGAAACAGGAGATCCTAGAAGAGCTCTACAAATATAAATATGAGGTAAATAACAGAAGTTCTTATGGGAGTACTTAAACACAAGCATTCGCAAAACAATATATTTTGCTTTCTCTGTAAATTGTTATTTATATTATATGAACTCCCCAAGTAGAAAACCCATCTTGAGCCCATCATCTATCTTGAACAGAGTCTTATGTTGACATTCTTTACAAAAAATGGTGGTCATGTTAAATTGAGAAGCCAAACTGAAAATTCCTTTTTGAGCAGAGGTATCATCTTCTAATAAGAAATAAGCCTTAATACAATTTTGACCAAATCTCTAAAATGGTACATGTATTTAAGTTTGAGAGGTGACAGTTTCAGCTTCCAAGGTCTTACACAAAGGTGATATTCTTTGGGCAACAAAAGTTGGATCTTTATTGAAGGCAAAATTATGACAAAATGCATAACATTGATAAGTAGAAAAAAGCAACTCCAAGGAGTAGCAAATCCCACCGAACAAAACATACTGAAAAGAGTGGCCATCCTGAAAATTCTTTCTTGAGCAAAGCTCTTATGTCCTGAAAGCGTTAGCATATAAAATTTGAACAAAGTTCATCAACTGGTATTTGAATTATCAAAGGTTACATCTTTTACGAAAAATGGTGGCCATTTTGAAAATCAGCAGCCATCTTGAAAATTTCTTTTTGATCAGGATTTCAAAATGTGAACAAGATCCGACAACTGGTATTTGATTTATTAAAGACTACATTTTTTGCGAACAATAGTGGGCATTTTGAAATTCATCTTGAAGATTTCAACTTTATCATGACTTCTACGTCATTAAGGCATCAGCATAATAAATGTGAACCAAATCAGTCAACTGATATTTGAATTATCAAAGATTACATTCTTTACAAAAATGGTTGCCATTTTGAATTCAGTGGCCATATTGAAATCTCCTTCTCAAGCAAAGGTTCTATAATCATGAGGCATAAAATTTGAACCAAATTCATCAACTGGTATTTGAGTTATAATCCAAACAAACAAACAAATGGATGGATGGACAAACAAAAGGATGCTTGGCTTCTCTATATCCTTACAAACTTCATTTGTTGGGATAAATATGTAAGATGAGTGACAATCTTACCCGGCCAAAGCACGTTTCACTGGGTTCCTGGGAAGAGCCAAGAAGTAGCATTCTACAATAACTGACAGACACAAGGCATCTTCCTTCTCAAGAGCTTTCAGCTTTTTTAGGTATGTGGAAATCTGTATGAGTAGATAAAACATAAGTATGATATCACAAAATTGATATGTCCTAAAGGTGATCACTTTGAGGGACATGGCTAGAATCTCAAATTTGACTGAGCAAATTTAGGTTAAAGAGGTATTATACCTTTAATTTCAACAATTTAAGTTTAAAATATCTGAAAATATATTTCTGTAAAATTTTAATGAGGCAATTGACTCGCATATGTCTTCTGACTTATATCTAGTAACAAGTGATCTCCCAAATGAATTATTGTTGCACCCAGTTAGAAATCTCAAAGTGATACCTTCTAGTGGAGAATCACTTGCGACAACTAAATTGTTAAATACCTCTTTAATTTTCTGCACTTGAGTGATTCCATCTTGAATGGAGGCAAAATCTATCAGGAGCCCACATAGTTTACTATTGCACAGCTTCTGTTCACCTGCAAGTACATGTACATATTATGTTTATTGTAAAAAATCCATGGGACAAGTGACTCTTAATAAAATACCAGAGAATATACAGGGGAGTGATGCCAATTGTTATGGTGCCAAAAGATAGTACAAAGTTGGATCACTAAAGTTGGATAATATGGGAGAAATAAAAGAATTGAGAACAGGCAATGTGCGTCTCAGGTTTGCTTTCTTTCTGGTTCAAAGAATTCTTTCCAAGCTGTTAAGTGGTATTTCACCATTGTAAACAATTTTACTGTGTAGGATTCTGTACCTAAATAGGTTCAAATTTTTTTTATTTTTTTTAACATATTATTTATTTCCTTCATAATCAAAAAATACACAAAATATCTACTACCAATCGCCATAGGCATTCTAGGTAGTTTAAATTACATTAGAGGATTAATTACAGTAATCATAGATGGTTTATTGGTAATGTGAGAGGTTGGGAGGGAGGGGGGGGGGGGTTGTCACAAGATACAAATGAGAATAACATTAATTTGATGGAAACTTATGACAGGCCTGTACAAATTGCATCACTATATCTATCAGGATTTTCTGAGAATCAATAGGGAATTCATTTTCATAAATTAAGTATTTGACCTGTTCTGTCTTACTAGAAATAAGTTGAGTATCAAACAATAAATTTTGTTCACAAAGTGCAGTCATCATTTTATTACGTTCATGGGTATGGCGAGGGCAGGTTAGAATGAAATGCTTTGTGTCTTCAGTAGAGCCACAGAAGCATTTGTTGTCAGTTATTCCAGTAAAAATTATGAGTAAAGAAATGGGTTCAAATGAATGTACCTGTACCCATAAATGTAGAAGACTATATTCTCAAATGGAAATAAAGCTAGGGGAAGTTACAAATATGCAAATTAATTTACTCCATCGACCATTTTGAATGGCAGTTCCTATGTAAAGAATCCCAAATTTTGACATATGTGGGCTAAAGTCTGAATATTTTCATTCCAAATATCAAAAATTCCAGACTAGAGGATATACATGTAGTTGCAATGACCTTCGATAGCAAGCAACTACTTCAGTCTCGGCTGTAGCGGCTTCAGACCTTGAACTCAATCGGTAGAGCGTCTGCCTCGAGAGTTAAGGGTCCTGAGTTGATTCCTGCTCTAGGCATTGAATTTAGCACTCCCTTTCGAGTCTAGTATCTGGCTCTACAGCTCCCTGACAGAAGTACCTAAGGGTCATTACAGTGGTGTCAGATTTGGGATAACCCCTGTGAATCAGTTACGACAAGACGTCATCTTCCAGGTGGGGAAGGTGCAATGACCTTTGATAGCAAGTCACTACTACCATAGTGAACACCATCCATTCAGGGATTCTTATAGAAGACTGAAAGTGGGTGGTTACTTGTCAAAATTTAAATATCAACTTCCGGTATATTCAATCCAATATTACAGGGGGGGGTGTATAGAGATATTGTATATCGTATAAGAGGCTGAAAATTTATTGTATATTGTATAAGAGGGGGCAAAATTTATCGTATATGGTATAAGAGGTGTAAAAAATATGGTATATGGTATTTTAGAAAATATGGTATATGGTATCAAGAATTAAAGAAGGCTAATTATGAAGAAATTGTACCCTAAAGTTCCCCCATTGTGCCAACTCTCTTACTGTAACCGTGTTGGAAAAACATGGAAAAGTAGTCTCTATAATTGTTTTCAAATTCCAGGTCAATCGATACTGTTAGTTTAGAGAAAATCCCTCTCAAACTAAGAGTTTTGTGCCCTTTTCATTCAAATTTTCACAGGAGGTGTTAAATACAGTCTCAAATAAGAATCACGCCCGGTGATCAGAAGAAATGAACGGAGGGGGGAGTAGATCTAGCTGATTCTCAGTAGAAAATTCAACAAATCTTGAAGATTTATTTTTTCAAGAGAAAGTTTACAATTGAATGGCTAAATGAATAGACGCAGTGGACGGGGGAATATGTTAGGTCTTTTTGGATTCTTTTTAACTGTAGAGTTCTAAAATAAAAGATCTATTAAAAAAGTGCAGCGTCGCCAACATGCAAATGCCAATGTTTTTGCTATAAATCAACCAACAGGGGTCTCCACGACCTGTAATAAATACTTGTAAGTGAAGTAATTATCACAAAACTATTGGGTTTTGTAAAACATGTTACCATACGTTATATAAAAAGTAATCGAAAATTATTAAAATTGAATGGAGGGGGGGAGTAATTTGTCTATAAGACATATGAAAACTTCCAATAAATCCATATGTCCCCATTTTTCACTTTTCAGAGTTGTAACATCAAGTTACTGAGTAAGTGAGTTCATTTTTCAAGTACACGAATTTGTGGAAATTTCTTCCACCTTAAAGACATTTTACTCCCCCCCCCCTCCGTTCACTCCCCCTCCGTTAAATTTTAATTATTTTCGATTATTTCTTATCTATCATTTGGAAAATTATTTTAAAAAACCGGCAATGAATTTTGTGATATAAAAATGTCGCTTATATATTTATTACATGTCGTGCAGACCATTGTTGCACCTATTCATGTAGCCATTCAATTGTAAACTTTTGCTTGAAAAAATAAATCTTCAACATTTGTTGAATTTACCGAAAATCAGCTACCCCCCTCCGTTCATTTCATCAGATCACCGGGCGTGAGACTGCCAAATGTCATTGACCATCTTAACTTTGATGAAAAATATGGTCACTATGGCTACTCGTGTTTCGGGGTATGTGGGATAAATCATGAAAATATTTGAGTATAAAGTGTTCATACAGCGCATGTTTTAATACAAGCATCACAATGCTAATATAGCATAATATAGCAAAAGGTGTTTATTTGGTCTTCAAACCGTCATGTGTTGGATTTCGGCTATTTATTGGGGATTTGAACAGGTGCATATGTTAGGCCAATGCATTAACTCCAGATCAAGCACTCATAGAGGTAATAAAATAATTTGAACTTTGAGACAGGGAAGGTTTTTCTGAAATGTTGTCCTTATTTTCAGCCCTTTCCACATATGTTTTTTCAATGTTTGATGCACCAATATGTTGCACTTTGAGACACAGTTAACCTCTAAAATATGATTTATTTGGGATAAAGTGGAAAACAGTACATGTATTTCCCATGTTATTTTCCCATAGGGAAAACTCATGTGATCCATTGTTTTCAGCTTTATTTTGGTCATCCAAAATTGATATCTTTAAAACCCCTGCATGAATCATATTTTCATTTAAAGATCTTAACCATGTCTCAAAACGCAACAGAGTGATCGATGCAACAAACATTGAAAAACAGGTGTGGAAAGGGCTGGAAATCAGGACAACATTACAGAAAAACATGTTGATGGGGTGTTTGCACCTTCCCTGTCTTAAAGTCCAAATTATTTTATAATCTCTATGACTGCGTGTCCTGGAGTTAATGCATTGGCCTAACATATGCACCTGTTCAAATCCTCAGAAAATAGCCAAAATCCAATATATGACTGAAATCTGTTGCGATACCGTCCGTGGTCCTTTAAAAGAAAGTTATTACTAGTTACATAGAGTAGTTTTCATTCTCATCAATACATCTTTGCCTTGAAATCATTTGTGAAACATGTGGTTTGACCTTCATGGAAATTTGCTTAATTTTGACACACCTTTGTTTAACTTATACTGTCTTTGAGGCTGCCTTCTCTGAAACCCCGAAGTGTCTCATGTTTCAAATGTTTAAACAATCAAGTCTCATCTTGCCTTTATTTCAAACTCTAGTTTCCAGACTCGAGTCCAATCAAAAATGAATTATCTACATGGAAGTTTGTGAAGTCCTTTATTTCTGAAACTGTTTTAAATACTTAATATTTTCCAGGTAACTGCTTTACAAAATTATTGTGCATTGTGAATCTTCATTATCTATCTGATAAATATTTTCCTCAGCAAACTTTATTTTCATAGAACACATGATGAATCTTTTATTCAACATTCTCAATTTTGCATCAATTATGTTTCAAGAATTTTTTTCCCTGGCTCACTATGAAGGACATTTAAATAAGTCATGGGAAAGTAGGTCATAAGAAAGAGGAGCACTGGGTTCCACCCATTCCAATGATGCAGGTTTTGTGCTAATTTTGAATATCTTTATGGTACTTTTACAGGTAATGGGCTAATGGCTTTAGCAAATTGCAGCAATGTCATAGTTAGTTTTTTTGGTCAAAGTAGGTTGCTAAATCACTCAAGAGAAGTCATGAATCGTATATCATAAGTGTGTTTTAAATCAACTTGTTTACCTGAAAATAAAATGTGGTCACAGCTTTTCTGATGCTGATGTACCCGAATGGTGTCTAATTCATAATGAAATAAATGAAATCATTGTGGTATGTATGTGGAGTCTAGTTGCCTTATAATAATACATTTACTTTAGTACATGGATTCTCTCCTAATATAATATTATTTCCTTATAAATATCCAAACTTTAATCAAAAGCAGTTTCAAAATTATCGTATATTGTATTTCACCTAAAATACCGTATATGGTATAAGAGCTGTGAAAAATATTGTATATGGTGAAAAAATATTGTATATGGTATAAGAGAGCTGAAAAATATTGTATATGCATTTCCAAGACCCTCTATACACCCCCCCCCCCATTACACTTCGACATTGAATACTTTCCCATAAATATTTGCATGAAAATGTGTTCGACATATTTAGAAAACTAATGAAGACTTACCATAAATATCTGATTGGACTTGATATATGAGTGAAAAATGCCTGAAATTTCCTCGAGATTTTACAGGAGAATTTGCGAGATGTCCATCTGTGGAAACATCGAAGTCAAAATAAGCACATTTTCAAAGATTTGAACACTAATTTAGACATTTGAGGTAAAAAGTTTACTTCGTAGAGGCCGAAAAAGGTCTTGATACAACTTCCTGTGAGAATTCAATGCACAACCCAGATTTATGAAATGAACGATGAGAGCTTAGATAGTCTATAAAAAAAATTATAGATCTCTTGAGTGCGTTTTCAAGAGTGGTGATTTCAGATTACTCACATTTTAAATCTTCAACACGTTTGTCTCCTAGTTGTACAGCATCATTATTGACGATTTTCTTATTTTTCACTCCCATTTTATGGTTTCAAACGTATAAAAATTTTCAGGTTTTTCGGACACATGTGATTCAGCCCGATGTAAACAAATCTAAAAAATAAATCACAAGTTATATTAAAATCGTTGTTATTGTCAGAAAATTGTGTTAAAATATACAAAAATCCATGTAATATCAAGAATTTTTTTTATCAATATAAGTAAAAAGTTATCAAAGTTTAATTAGTTTGACCTACTTTAAATCCGTACTTGTAAACCATTTCCGGTTTAGAAAAAATAAGGAAACTTCAAAAATAGTTTCAATATTTAGTTCATTCAACTTCAGATACTATAATAAAGACGACTTTATAATAACACGAAGGTATGTACAGGATTTAAATGCCTTTATAATGATTTGATTTTTACAAATGTAAGTCTAACTCACTCATTATGTAAACTTTATGCTCTGAATTTTTTACCATGAAGCCTTACACAGGAGAATTATATCCGTCCACATATACATATAAGCTTGAAAGAGGCTAAAAAGATATGAGTCATTATGGTAAAAAAGGAGCACACTTGTTGTTTTCAAGGCACGTACAAGTACGAAAGCCGTACTTAAAATTACGTGGCCCATACGAGCATGTACGAGACTCGTTATTGAACTCTTTCAAGCACGAAAAAGGAAATCAATTTACGATTGATCACGTTCACTTGTATACATACTTAAAAAATTCACTGACCATATTTCTCCTTCTAACCCTCTTATTATCTAACTAATTAAATAAATACTAACTTACTCATATCATGGAATACAGAAAGAAACATATTTATATGCACGTTTTCCACAAATTGATAAATATGGTGTATGTAGCATTGCTTACCCTGAAAATTTGTTTTCTAGCTTTATACTGTTCCATCATATGAATACCGGCCTGTGAATATTTTGAAAATATCTAAGACATATTTGTCCAAGTTTACATGTAATCAAAATGTAATTTTTAATGTATATATTCTTTTTTGAAAATATCAATATTTTTTCTGAAATTAGCTTCATGACCTCTTGATCTTTGATTTTTACTTATCTTATGAACAGCCACAAGTCAAAATGACCCAAGCAGGGATAAGTATACTGTATCTACCTGAATGGTTGTTATGTTTATGTCAAGAAAGTTTGAAGTCTTCAGACTGAGATTGACAAAAGATGGTTGCGTTTACATTTTTATTTTGGCCGAAGTCAACTATGGTTAAAATATTGCAGGTCAAATACTGTCCAACTTTACACACAGTGTTCTAGTAGTTGCCTATGTATTGATTTGTATATAAAGCTTATGTACCTGAAATAATGTTACCTTTTTCAAAGGTTTGACTGGTCTCATTGCACAGCCTTTGTTCATCCTCAGTAGGCCACTAGAGAATTGTGACTATTAAACGTGAAATATTGAAATCAATACTGCTTACTTTATATCTCCAAATGTTCCCTACATCCCCATCCTCTGTTTGCTAATGTCTATAAGTTATCAGCTGCTTCTCTCATATCCCCCCCCCACCCTGACACCCCTCATGCCCCCCTGGCTATACCCGGGCCATGATGTAGCCAGATCTCAATTTATTTATTCTTATTATTTTGACATACACTTTTTCAACAGCGGCACACATTTATTAGGTGTGTCAATATTTGTGATCTTCATATATATTTTGTAAGCACTAAAAATGTTTACATAAAATACTATACTTTTCTAGGGTTAAAAAGTATTGCTAAAAACGTTTTCACATATTTGTCAAACATATAAAAATGGCATGCCCCCATTCCATAAAAGTTGTGTAATTAACTTATCATGAATGTTCGAAGACAATAAACTGCTACTTAAAATGGGAGAAACATATTTCTCTACATCGTTGTAAAAGTTGGACCTGGCTTTGGCAAAATGGGGACACATCATTAATCTGTGTGATAGAGTATCTCTCAAATTAAGATGTACCATCGCTTTTGCCCCACTTTTCATAATTTGTCCCAAGGCAGAAATTATCTGATCTTGCTAGAAATTTCATTTGGATCCATAAAAATCGGTGCGGTAATGGGTTTTACCTCCTTATTTATTTTAAGGGAGGGGTGTTCGGCCACCCTATTGTGGAAATTAGACATGCTTTGGGAGTGAGATATAGTGAAAAATTAGGAGTACCATTCACTGTCATTCCAAAAAATGACATCATCTAAACCTTTATCTCTTAAAATATTCCGTGCATTTGATGCAAAGGATAGGTATCGATATGGAGAACTGAATTCAACAATGTTTTTCTCTTTAACCAATCATCGAAAACATTCTGTGAAAAAACATGGTATTTTATGTAATGTTGACTGATTGACAACAATTTAATGCAAAAATCTTTTAGAAATATTTTATATAACTGTTTTTGTTAAAAAAATTGTTTTTTAGTGCAATTGTTTTTGTTCCTTCCTACCAATTCTTGAGAATGAAATAAAATGTCTTTCCAAACCTTGTTGGAATAAAATAGCATAGCAACATGTTTTTAGACCTCTCAATATTAAAGTTATACAAAGGAATTTTTGGTTGATTTTGAAAAAGTATTCAAAAAATTAAAACAAAATCCCCCCAAAATAGATAAAAATCAAGAAAAAACTTTTATTTCATTAACAAGATACTTTTTTAGAATCAACCAAAATTTCCTTTGTACAATTACAATATTGAGAGACCTAAACATGTTGTGTTTATGTCGTTTTGTTCCAATGAGGTTCGGAAAGATGTTTCATTTCTCTCTGGAAACATGATACCAAAACAAAACAAGTGTTTGATGTGTTTTTTAAAACAATATAGATGAAAGTATGTATATCTATTTCAAATTATATTGTTACCATTAAAAAGATGGCCATTAAATTGACAATTTGTAAGATTTTCAGAAATTTTTGATGACTGGTTTAAGAGAAATGTGTGTTCAAAAAGTTCGCCATATCGATACCCATTCTTTCCAATATGATTCTTTGCCGATTTTTTTAAAATAATCTTAGCAAATTCTGTAGGATTTTATGAGGGAGGGATGTAGTTGGTACATTAAAATTTATTTTTTCAATCATCTCAGCTATCGGTTTCCAGCCTAAATCCCCTAATATAGATTCACTGGCGGGTTTACTTTTATTTGAAAAATGGCTTGGGCGGCACCATATTGAAATGAGGTAATTTTGGCAAGGCTTGACTTTGGGAGTACCCAGGTCGGGCATCCATGCATGATAGCAGGTGCCATCTTGGAGTTATAAATTGTACTTCCAAATTCAAAGCGCTTGACATTACAATGTTTGAGAAAGTTCAACATTGAGCTCAGAGTGATCTTCTTCACAGAGAGGAAAGTTGAGAATAAATGAAGTGTCACCTTGATGATATTTCCTGAAATTGAAATGAATTATAATTTGTGAAATTCAATTATCTTTTTTTGTATTAGTAATTTAAATAAAGATGTATTTTATCAATTAAATTCCCAAGAATCAACCAACCACTTCTGATTGGTACAGTGTAAGAATTTCATTTTGTTAATTGCAGATGGATTTCCAATGTTATAAAGATGTATTTATCAATTAAATTGCCAAGAAACAACCAACCACTTCTGATAGATACAGTGTAAGGATTTCATTCTGTTAATTGCAGATGGACTTCCAATGTTAATTCCTTAATACAATACTATCTTTAATTAAATATCACCATGCTACAGTGCTTACATAATGGTATAGAGATCTAAATTCTGATTTTAGACCATTTCTACCATTGGCAACTAGCTCTGAGTTAATATTTATATTGAATATATCGAGCAGTTGAAGTTTGGCTTGATTCCACATTCCAAGATATGGACATATGCCTGTTGAACAGAATTCCCTTTCGCTAATGGCATGCTTATTTTTTGATTTTCTCATTTATGAATAAATGAAATATCCTACGATTTATACTCTGGGTGATATTCTTCAGGTCTACAAACTTCATTCCTTGTTATTCCTCTCGTTTACTCATTTGTTTGAAACATAACAGACATACATTTATTTTAATCGGGAATGAGGTATTGGTAACAGCATTGAGGAATTGTTAGCAAAGTCAGTTTAACAGAACATGTACACATATCTTCCTAATTTCTTGATATTTCAGGGGAAGAGATGATTCTACTGGACTATGTTTCTTGAGACCAGCCACCACCTAGATTACAGTTCAAATGCTTTGGACTTTGTTATTATTTTTAATGATGAATTATGTTAGAGGAGACATAAAGTTAATGGAATGAATTGAGTTTCACTTGTGGATCTATCTTCTTAGCTCGGCCAAGGGCCAAAGAATGCCTTATTAAGATAATAGTGCCCATTTTGTAGCACACTCACAATTGCCACTTTCATTGATGTGTGCAGAATATGTCATTCCCACCCTAGTCATCACCCTAGCCAGCTGGCAATTTCAGTTATATACCTGCATGCATATATTCTTCTTATCATTCTGAAAATGTTTGGAATGCCTGAAGTTATCAAAAGAAACAGATATATTTTGTGCAGTGAAAAAAATGTTATCTTTGGTTACATCTTCAATTTTGTTAAATCCACATTTTTTGTATTAAAGTAAATAAGGTTGTCAATGGGTTTGTTCATTTAACATGTCACTAAACTTCAAAAATGTTAGGATTGCATGCAGAGAATAGACTGCTCCTGATAAATGTACTCACTGACACAAACTGAATACTGTCGATATGTTTTGCTCAAAATATTATTGAAACAATTTGAAGGAATTATTCTGTTTAAAATCAGTGAAAAATTCCAAAGTTGAATTGTTTTAAAGATAGAATGGAAGTCAGGTATGGATGGATAGGCGCAGTCATGGAGACAACTCTCTAAATCAACTGGAAATTAAAAAGATAGGCAAGTCAGGCATTTTAGACAAAAAGGTTGATTTGGTATGTCTTTGTTTTGAGGGGAATCCCTTTGATATGAGAGGACGCCACATCTATCATTATTTAATTTCCCGATACTCTTCAAGTCCTATACTTGAGAAGTACTCTACATTTATTACTTCTTTTGTGTATCACTCTGACCCTCAACCCTTTTTATAAACTTTGAGTTACCCACCAACCCCCTTTAGGATAATTCATATTGTATATGTACATAGTAAATTTGGTTTAAAGGGTTTGAAATCAAAACTAAGATTTAAAATAAACATTTTCTACTATGCCCCAAAGGAATCAGTAATCCAATTTAATATTCACAATTACTTTTGTGACAAGTTTTCCTATTAAAGGTCACGCTAACCCAGACAAATTAAGACATTATAAAAATCATATATTTTCCTCAAGAGTAGGGTACTCTCGGAAGTGACAAGTTTTTAATCAATGAATTTATTAGAAATCTATATTTCAAGGCATGAAAATTATTATTGGTTTTTCCTTTTATATGTACATCGTCCACATTTTTATTCATCACTTCTGTGACTCTTGACATATACAGTTGAAATGTACCAATAATATAATTTACATACTTACCAATGACTTCAATATTATCTTTATGTTAGGAAAATATGGAATTATTGAAACAAGATCAAATAAAAATATATCCTTTATCTTCTCCCTTATTTCAAACTACTATCCAAAAATAATAGCAAAGTGTGGATAAAGTAGCCAGTATATTTTCATTAACTTATCCTTTGAAATGTAATTTCGTTTGCCTTAGTGATGTAATATATTGGATCTGGCTTTTTTCAGAAACTGTTTTTTATTAGATTATTTAATTTTAAAATGCTATTGCTTAGAGAATCCAAATTTTTTATTTTCAAACCAAATCAACAATAGAATTTAGGACTTTATGGTTTTAAGTATTACTACCCTCCAAAAATAATAAATGTATTTGCCTCTATTTGCCTTCTAATATTTAGCCCATTTTTCATATTTTTCAGACAGTGGCTGTAATAGAGAAAATAACGCTGATAGGGGGTCAGTGTGACCTCGACAAGATGCCTATCATATCTGACATTTATTTGAGAATGGCAGACTAACAACTCCAAATCTCGAATCAATACAACGACGATTGCTTTATTAACATTTGGGAATGACACCCTGCAATTGATGTTAAAACTAAAGGGAATTAAGAATGAGGAATTGCAACTTGATGTTACAACCACTGTAACTGCTTGCATTTGGAGTGCTAGCTGAGAAGTTACTTTGATTTAAGCCTCTTGTCTTGTAGCATTAACAGAACAGAATTAGCAGAATTAATTTTGGATGATAGGGTAATTTTCAAAAGCTATCATTTGGGATTAGATTTGATTTGAATCTGCAAAAACTGATAAGAAGTGAATGCTGGAGTTTAAAATGCATTGAAAATCTAACTTGTATTGTTGAGGTTATACTTGTTGACTCTACAATGGCTGAAGCTAAAACCATAAATGCTGTAACAAAAGCTACAATTGTCACAGATAGGTCATGTGTTACAATTACAGATTTATCAGTTGTTACAGATAGATCAGGGGTTACAGATAAGGCACATCTCACAAAAGCGTCATGCAGTAGTGTAACTTATCAATCTTGCATCACAAAAGCATCAGGTGTTACAGATAACTCAAGTGTTACAGATACGTCAGGTGTTACAGATAAGGCAGGTGTCACTCTTACCCAAGCACACGCTTCTACCACTGAGGAGGTCAATTGGAAAGAAAGATGCCTCAAATTAGAAGCCTCATTACAAAAGTTTGAAGGCAAAGCCACAAGGATACGAACACTCATAGCTGATCAGGTATGTATGAAAGTGATATTTGTAGAATTAATATAAATGGCTTGTGTATGTACACAGCAAATGCTAACCAGTTTATGCTTAGGTAAATAAAATCAAAGGAAACATGGGCAACAATCTGAAACTATTAGATAGATATATGCAGGAAGCTGATTGTCTTAGATTGAAGAAATTCAATTTATGGAAAATATAACTTGAGTAGATGTTTCATCTAATTTTGTCAGATATATGTACTGTTGAACATATTTGATATTATTAGCCAGATTTCTGGTTATAAAAAGTACAAGCTTCATCTCTTATAAGCTAAATTGAATGATAAACATTTATTCTTTGGAATTTATTGTTTTTCATAATTCTGTATTAAGATAGATCTATATTACCATGGAGATCTATTTACATTTGTTTTTCTTAATTCCCTGCTGCAGCCGATGATTATCCCTAGATGTTATATTTATTTACATCATTTTATGTGAACATTTTGCAGCAACTTCACTTACTCAATAATAATGCAAAGTAATCAACTGAATTTCACCCTTGGGACACCCACTCTAATAACCTAGCATTATTTCCATGTCTATCTCAAATATGAATCAAAGAAATTGACTTTGAATGATGTCTGTATAATTTTCTAATATTTTCCACTGGTTTATGTACCATTTTGTATTTTCTATAATATGCCCACTTCAAGGTCTTGGTTTCATTTCAGGCTAGCTGATGGAGATTCAGAATTTATACTCATTATTTCCCCTTTGCTTCATTTACAAGTATATTTCCTTACATTCAAATTGCCACACAAGACCTTTTCTAGGTCTTTAGTGTGAAGGAAGCTGATTGTCTTAGATTGAAGAAAGTCACTCTCTAAATTCAACACACAATCGGTGCCTGGTTGGTCTATAAAGGGATGATTTAGCTTATTTTCATTATAAAAATTCTCATTTCAATTATGTTTTTAATGTTAACTTGACAAGAGTGGGTGGGTGGTCTTACAGTGAACAAATTGTGAAATTATATAAACAATCACAATGAAAGAAATACCTCAGTTGATGTTTTGTTCATTCTTGCATGTTAAGGTATTTCCGCAATTAGAGAAAATGACAAAATTGTGGAATGTCTTTTCAACATAGGTTTAACAAAATATTTTAATTTTGAAAATGTGTCTTACATGGTAATATCCGTATAAAGTTTTTTCTTCATTAATTACTGTTACTGTTTTTTATAATACTTTGGTCATTAATACATCTTCTATATTTTTGTACACAGTTTGTAATAATAATTGTAATGATAAAAATTCTATTTCAGATTAACCTTATTTCCAAATTACATAGAAATACACTTAGATCTGATATTTTTTCAATGTACAAAGATAAATAAAGTAGAATATTACATATCCCTATTACTAACCTGAGAAAACATTAAGTTGAGATCTCAAATGTTTGATTACATAACAACCTTTCGTCACAGATATGTTTTTAATGTGATATGTATCAGTTGCTGAGAAAATGTAGATATCCCGGTGGATATCGAGAGATATGGAGCCTTTTCTGGTGTCTATGGTAACAGTTTTGATGTTTATTATGAAGTGGGTGGCAAAAACTTGTGAAAAATGACACCTAGCTAAATCTAGTTAATAACTTCTAGTTAGTTTCATTCACCATAAATGGAAATGATTTACAAGGGGTCTACTTCATTCACGCTCTATGGATTAAAGATTATTAAACATTCTCTCTATATATCTCATAAGGTTATCAAGTCATTCCTAGTTATGGAGGTGAGCTAGGTGAATGAATGGGGGAATGAAGATATTGGTTACAGCCCAATCCTGATCCTGGGAGACGATGGGGGAGTATTGATGTGGTCTTCAAATTAGCATTATAAAACATCGAAAATAAAAAAAACACAAGCTGATTTAATTCATCCTTTCTTATGTCTGTATTCACAGTTAAACATTGTTTTACATTTTTTATAACAATTGATAGTCCTTGGTCATTACCAATTATAAAGACATTAAACAGAGTACACATATAAAGCTCATTAATTCAAACTCTGTTATCATTGCAATAACAAGATCATCAATCATATAATGAATTGATTAGTTTTGAGCTTTGAGTTGACTTTTATGGCAAAATCACTCGTGAATTCGATAAATTATATATACCATATATGAAAATTTGATGTGTCTGTGTAGTGAAAATATTTTGATTTCTTGTGTATCGGCAATTTTATGAAGGCTGCTTACTAAACTTCACACAAAGATCTTTCTAATTGACTCAACAATTCAAGCACAATTTGATCTTTATTTTCCTCATTTAGGAAATTGCCTTTTGACCTATCATTCGGTAAATTGAAAAACACATCTTCATTTTCACTAAAGCTTGGTATTTGCTCAAATTCTAATGTGCCATCTTTGTTTCTATTGTTATTTAGACGAATCATAATAATTTCAGTATCTGCTGGTTCTCGGAAATTTCTAGCTGCTGCAATTGTCTGATTTCGTCTCTGTAGGGGTGCCGTTAAACCATCATAGAATATGATTAGATAATTTGGGGCTTTTTCTCTATTAGCAGGATCATCCACAAGTACTTGAGCCTCATAGAACACATTCTGCGTAACTGTCCTGCATTCATCCACCATCATATCTAGGTTTTCCAGAGACTCGGTAATGCTGTCAACCCCAGCTTGTGTGAAATCGGATATGTTGAATTGTGTTCTCGCAGTTTGGTCAAAAGCTATTGCAGAAACAGATACCTCAGCCAATCCCCCAACTTCTCCCGATGTTAACATTTTATATGTTTTCTCCATGACATATTTCATCAAGACCTTTGTCTCAGGGGTAATACTACAGGAGACGTCATAAGCGAAGATTAGATCAGCACATACTGAAACACACATGGCTGGCTGTCAAAGGATACAGTTATTTATAATGGGGCTTTGGTGTAACCGTAAGGGTAGTTCATATACCTCAAACTTAATACTATATTTTAATAGGTTGAAGAATGTTGTGTATTTTTTGCCTGTAGGATGACCCAGAAATTGTCATTATTTTACCAAATACCATAGGCAGTTCAGTTCACAATTATTGAAAGTAGATACGATTTCTCCTAATTTCAAAGTCATTGATGCAATAGGTGTACACTATACTGCTATCTGTTACTTTATAGTTATATTAGTTGTCCACCATAATTGAGAATGTTATTCCAATATTTGGTTGCATTTTGTTTGAGATCACAAACTTCAATAAAGTGTTCAGAGATGAATGGAAATTTGGTTTTCACTAGAGAGAGACATCTATATGTAAGTTACTACAACAAGAGAGATTTTCACTGAGAGCTATCAACAAATAGATGTCAACCAGATAGGGATAATCATTTTAGAGATAAGTTGACGAGAAACTTACATAAAAAGTCATCATTGGCAAGTCCACACTGGTAGTTCATATTTAGGTAATCAGCCAGCCCTCTTGCCTGATTGATGTCATCTAATCCACCTCTGATGTCATATAGCTTGTTGGTGTCACCACCAGTCAGGATCTCAACATCAGTTGGTGGTCTGTATTCACCATCCTTTTGAAATCTGTAAACCAATTGATCTTTCATTTATCAATCAATCAAATTATCATTCATTTGTGTAATCCGTACATCAATATTAAAGTATTTCATTTTATTTAGGTGATTGATTACCTGTACATTTTCACAAGTAATATTCAATGATTACATGCTGGGCGTAGTCAGCTAATGTTAAGGGGGTGGTGTGAATTTTTGGGTTTGCATCACTGCATTTCAATGTGGTATTGACACACCAATTGTAATTGATAGAATCTAATGTGGTTTAAAATGTCATCAATCATGTACTGAGACCAAAAATCACAAAATGTTATTCTTTAAAAAAGGAAAGAATTAAAAATAGTCAAAAAATCCCCATATACATACTTGTTTTGTAACAAGACAAGAAATAAGTCGATACCAGCTGCTTTGACATTTTCTATATCCGCCACAAGAAATTTAATGTGTCTCGCTGGTTTCGTTCTAGCATCAGTGAATATAACTGCAGCATTTGGATATTTCTGTTTTCCATCAAATGCCTCCTCGCGTCTATCATACTCCTCTGTGAAGTATGTACTCTCCAAAGCTTCTATACCTATGTTGGTTCTGGTGTCGCAATCAACCACAGTCTTTTCTATGGCGTCTTTAACCTTATCAAGCGCAGCCAGTATCTCATTCTTATCTGCAGTGAACTCATTCAGGTGGATTACATGGTGAAGATTGCTCGCAAACAGAGCAGCTGCTATTCTGGTTTCTGTCTGGCGTGAGCCAGTGTTCTAAGGAAAAAAGAATTCAAATGACTTTTGCATGTTGGTTATAATGCACCTTTTGAATAGGTATCACGCCCTAAAAGCAGATCAGTTATGGCCTAGTCACATAGCCCGGCCGATGTCCGGCATCGGTAGAGCTCGGTGGATTTTTTTGGTGCCACCGAGCTCTCCTCATCGGAAGCAGAGCTCGGTGACGTGAACGGACTCCGTCCGGACATCTTCAGGTACTATACTTTCCAAGGCTCTGTCCCACATCGGCCGGAGCTCGGTCGGAGCTCGGCCGGTGTCCGTTAAAAAAACCTCGTCCTCTGGTTGTCTCAGATGCACGGGACACCGACCGATACTCGGCCGTGCACCGGCCGACGTGTGTTCTGATGTGGTTACGATGGGGCTGCGACGAGGGAGCTCGGTGAGAGCCCGGTGAAATTTAACTCCGAAGTTAAAATTTCACCGAGCTGCCACCGATGCGGTTTTAAGCAACAAACGCCACGGATGTCCGGCCGGTGTCCGGCCGGTGTTCGGCCGAGTTCGGTGAAAATTGCATCGCTGGCTCATCGGAACCTCATCGGCCGGGCTATGTGACTAGGCCATTAGGAAAAGATAATAGAAAACCTGGCAGATTTTAACGTACTGTGCACCTTTTCACTTAGTGATTTATTCGTAAACTTTCTCATGAAAAGAATCTTGCTTTGTTGAATTTTCTAGCAGAAATCAGCTACTCCCCCCTCCATTCATATTTTGATTACTGGCTGTGAACCTATGCTTTTTGGTTTAAAGATAGTATGAGATGTGGTTCATATACTTACATCCATCGTCTTCCTAATATCAAGTCTGTCAAGAAGTGCCTTAGTGAACTCAACAGATCTTAGCATGTCTTCCTTTTGTATGGAGCAGGATATGTCATACAGGAACACAATATCTATACATGCTGCAACATATAACACCTAATATTAGAACTAAAGTTGTGGTTTGCTCTATTGATCAATAATACAGTTATACATTTGATTTTCAATCTAATAATTAGTAATAAATAGATATTAATAGATAAATATAATCATGAATAGATAGAAATGTTATAATAATTAAAAAAATAAATTATACTGTACTTACTACCAAGAGGTGATCCTAGCCCTCCAGGGGGTGAACCTCCTAAGCTTGGGGGTAAGGGCTGCCCACTTATTGATGGAAGTGTTACCCCCAATAGTACAATGCAAATAAATGATATCAACATCATTGGTTCACCTGAAAAAAAATTTTATCTTATAATACATTTTATAGTGATGTCAATATATGAAAGTTTGTTAGACTTCAATATGAAATTAAAATATATTAAAACAGTATTTTATCTGATCTGACAAAAAATAAAAATAAAAAATGATTTACTAATGAAATCTAGCATTTTATAATTATTTGTATTTATTTGTTTTGTTTTTATATAATTAAGATATTTAAATTAACCTAAAAAAGGTCAAAATTAAAATTGTCCCTTTTGCTGAATGCTCCTTTGTGTCTGTGTAATAATTTATCCTTACTTCAAATGATATATATTGATTGCTTGATTGTTTTTATGCTCTTAAATTAAAATTACATTAATTTGTTGTCAAGTTCATTAATTTCGATAGAAAATAAAATAAGAAATATAATGATACAATGGATTTGAAATAAGTTACTGGCTAAATTGAATGTTTTCTAGGAATGAAAAATTGATTGTTTTTAAGTAATTATAAGAAATGTGATCAACTTGATCTATAATATGTAAATAAAGTGTTTATTATACTTGAAAATTATATTGCATAATTATTTATATTATATTTACATATACATTTGTTTTATATTTGACATTTGTGTTTCAATAAATTTCATTATTTAAAACATGTAATGATGTTATTTTCAAAAATAATTGATAAATAGAAATGAAAACAATTATAATTACTTACTTTTATACTTATAAATTGTTATTCTTTTGTTCTTAAGTGTTTAATTTCAAAAGTGCATGTACAATGATGTGTAATTTCCACAGAACTTATTCACTTAATGAAATAATAAAATCATTATTTTGAAAGCATCTTACTTATTTATTATGACATGTCGTCAAATAATAAAAACAATTTAATAAATCCTATAATACTGTTTTAATTAGCATAGACATATCAATTACCTGCAACCAAATGTCTTGCCATTAACTAGAGTAATCGACAACTTTATCTTGAGATATTATAACATGCTTCATTGAGGGATGACTTTTGTTTTCTTTGATTGATTGATCTTACATTTTCTTACATTTTACTTCAATACATATGATGTAAAACTTGCCCAATCTGAACACTACTGAAACATCCAAAAGTGTTTGGATGAGCAGGTGTTCACATTTCAAGGCTACTTGATATGTAAGTCAATGGGAGATACATGTAACAGAATTAGGACCATGGGACACATCAAGAGATTTTCATATTACATGTAGTTCATGTTAGAAAGGTGTTTTGATACACAGGTTTAACGAACAGTGTTGTCTTCGCATGTCTTGTATTTTCTTCATACATTTTGGAGCTTCATTCATATTAAGTAGAGATTATCATTTGAAACAGCCTACTATAAATCCAATAAGAGAAATAAGTTCAGAGATCAAAATTAAATGCAACATTTTCTGTCCGCTCGTATACTTAATCTCTCTCTGTTGATGCATAATTCAGTTTCTTAATTTTTTTGATTTAGATAAAAGATAAAAGAATTATTGTATATAAACCGTGTCATTCCTAGGAATAGGTGAGAAAGATGATATAGGTGATGTTGCTACTTAACTGAAACACCAGATAGCTTCACCAAAACAACCAACCAACCAACCAACCTATACTAACTGAATTTTTTATCAGTTGATTTCTAGCAATTTAATTGACCTTGGTCAGTTGATATAAAATCATTAAGAATTATTAAGCCATTTTTCTAATTGAACAAATAACACATGTAAACGTCATTGTTTATACTCAAATGTCATTACCATAACAAAATCATCAATCATACAATAAATTGATTTGGTTTGAGTGGACTTTAATGACCAAATCACAAAATATTTATAGTTATGTATATATTAACAGTTTTATGAAGGTTGCTCACTAAACTTCATACAAAGATCTTTCTAATTGTCTCAACAATTCAAGCACAATTTGATCTTTATTTTTCTCATTTTGGTAAATCGAAAAACACATCTTCATTTTCACTAAAGCTTAATATTTGCCATTTTTGTTTCGATTGTTATTTAAACAAATCATGATAATTTCAGAATCTGCTGGTTCTCAAAAATTTCTAGCTGCAGCAATTGTTTGATTTCGTCTCTGTAGGGATGCTGTTATACCATCATAGAACATGATTAGATAATTTGGGGCTTTTTAGCTCACCATGTGAGCTATTGTTATCATTCATTCTGTCTGTCCGTTCATCAATCCATCCCTCCGACCTTCCAGCCATCTGTCTGTCTGTCTTTCATTGGTAACTAATTTGAAATCCTCCACGACAATTGGAACGATTTCACTTTTAAAATGTGTCTACATAAGGTCGTCAATTGTTCCATTAGTGGTGTCTCAAAAGCTGGTCTGGTTTTAAAATGGAGGTCATTTTATTGCATAAAAATCAAGTTTTCACCTCTTATTGGTTATAACTGTACTGTGAAGTTTTTCACTTCACTTCATTTGCTTCAAATTGTGGGCCAAGTTACGATAATTGTTTTTCAAAAAAGACAAAATTCGGGAATTAAAATATTTATATGGCGATAAATTTTTTGCATTGCAAAGAAAATTTATACATTTTATTTTGTGAGCGTCATCATTGGAGCTATATTGGCATTTCGTACTTTTGTACTATTTTCAAAGAAATGAAAAATAATGTATTTTCTTAGATCGTTCGATAAGTCTGGTTTAATTTCAAATAAGATATTATTTATCACTTGTATGAGTGTCAAACAAACAATTAACATGTCTCCTCAGATATAAGTATTGAATAGTTAAAATAGAAATGTAAATAGAGTCGGTAGACCTTCCTCAAAGCCCTCACTAATGGACACGGTTTGTAGCTTTATTTAATATGGAATGTTCCAGAAAGGGTGTCTAATAATCATGAATCCTCCAGTACATCTGTTTTGGAGGATGCATTTATATTATTAGACACCATGGTCTAAAATCATTCCAAGAACACGCATTTTACTATGACATGGTATACTTTATAATAACATACATACATTATAGATAATGATGAAAAGCAAAATATTTATTCATTTTCACTCTTTATATATGATTTAATGTAGTTTAATTCTCTTGTATATATTCCTATTTCACCTTGTTTATATTATATCATTTGTTAAGCCTTTCAATTTGTTTAATTTTGAAGGTGAATGGACAGTGTTCCATTATGCCCATATGACAAACAATGGAATTTTTGGTAACACATGCAATATTTCTTGATTTCGGCCAATCATATTTAATGTTACTTCTTCGCCACCTACAAAGAAATGTAGTGGTTCATTTCCTCGTTGGGTCATGTACATGGGCACATGACCTGACCAATATAAACTCCTTTGTGGTAGCCTACCCCATAGTTTGCGATCTTGAAGGGGTTTCTTTCTATTTTAGGGCCCAAAATCTGCTGCTCTCCACATAAATTGGGCAATTTATATAGCAACCTGGCATAAGTAGGCATTGCTTTTTTAATTTTGGGCTACCATCTTTTAAATGTTGAATGTACAGGGCGTCAAATAAGTCTGTTCTCCCCCCTTAACTTTTTTAATTCAGAGATAACATAGGGTTGGTATATATCATTTTAAAGGGAATTTAATTTGCTGATCACACACCAAATTTCAGAGTGATTGATTAAATTCCCAATTTTTAGAGTATTTATAGTGATGTCCATATTTCACTTTTTTAATAGTCTGTATGTCTCCTCCAGCAGCCCGATGGCCTCAATTCTACAAGGATATGATCCCTTACAAATCATTCAGAACGTTTAATTTTGGGGGTTATCAACTATTTGTGATGAAAGATGCCCCTGCTTCAAAGGCTCCCCTGAATGTAACACATTTTACTCTGTAATGATATTGAGAAACATCAAAATCACTATAGCAGTATCAACTTTTCACATTTCATTCACTATACCTGGTAATTTTACTTGTTTTGACGTAATTAACCTTTACCATGCTGCCTTATTTCAGCAAATATATCCCACGCAACTGGCTTATTTTTCAAAGAGTGCAAAAAATGATATACCTGGACTAAATAATTAATATCTCAATAACTACTGAATGAATCTGGATAAAATTTTCACAAAGGGAAGATACAGTGGCCTGGCTCATGAAAAAAATGTTCTCATGAATTTTTTCGTACATTAACACGACTGGGCATAAATATACCATGAATACTCCTCCGGAATCCGCCACTCCGCCTCTTCGTCTGGTAAGAATCCAAATCTGAATTTGCAACGATCGAATGTTCAATTTTTCAATTCAGAAAATATTCTAGTTTCTATTTTCGATGACCGTTATCGGCTTCCAAGAGCCTAAAGAGCTCGAAATCGTAATCTATTTCCTCCACATTTTCGTTGTGATCGTATTTGTCCACCATTTTGTACGATTCGTTCACTAAAAATGACTAAAACACTGTTTAAATTGTTGAATTGAGAATTATTTTTCGAAATATCGCCATTTCTAGGTCAACAGGAAGTCATGTTAGGCACTGAATAAATCGTGCAATCTAATTGGACAATACGAATGGCGCGAAAAAGTAAAGTTTTTAAAAGTTTGAAATCGGGCGTACGGGTCCGCCGGCAGTTGTGAGAGACATTTTAGTCTCGGCGGACGAGTCCGCCGGCAGCACGCTAAAGGTTAAAGGTCTACTACAACCTCACAAGAAACATTGTAGCAATTTTATTAGGAGGAGTTTATGATTGATTTTTTGATGGTGATCAGCATTTTCCATGAGCTTCAAAATGATATATGGGAAAGTATAATAAATTTAATGATAAAAAAGTTAAGGGGGGAGAACAGACTTATTTGACACCCTGTATTGAATGTATTCCACTAGCTAACTGTTCATTTAAGGATTTAAGCCTTTGACTCAGTGCAACGTTGACGTTTTTTATGTTTTTGTGTAATTGCAGATGAAAAGTTTAGATGAAAGAACTCAAAAGTCAGAGAAAAGGGCAGTTGATGCTGAGAATCAGGTGAGGAAGTATTATATAAAGTATAAATTATATGAGTAATGCTTTAAAATGGAAATAGAAAAGAAAAGAGTGAAATCGGCAAGGAATAATGTCAACCAAATATAGTCAACACTCTAAATGTATTTAGGCAAATTAAGTCTAATTGTAAAATTAATGATTTCATAATGAGTATCATATTGGGTTATCCTATTTTTTAAACCTGAAACCTTTCTTTTCTTAAAGTTAATGAAATCCATTTGAATGTTTTAATTGCATGATAGATACATGATGTCTTAACATTTATTGTTTTTATCTAATTGATAAATATCATACATGTACAGGATCAATTAGATAAGTACATACATGCACAGGATGTTCATGAAGTAATGACACTAGGCAGTATATAAAAATTGTTTTGTTGCAGCCAGTTTCATTTTCCACTAAACCCATTTTTTGGATGACATTTTGGTTTTTGGCATATATTCCAAGTCAGACTCATGAAGATCGCAGACTTTCACAGATCTTCTCAATTAAGATCATAATATTTTATTATGAATGTAGTCATTGTACCACTAAGCCTACCATATTTTTATAACGAACAAGTATTATTTTAATGGTCAATGCGTCCAAACTACACGTATGAATCTCCAAGTGGTCATAAATCGTATATAGATCATGTAGTTGTTTCAAATGAAATTCTTCAACAGATTAAACAATGCACAATTATAGATAACAACGCTACTTTCAGTTCATCCTCAGACCATCTTCCAATGGTCACACTCTTAAAATGTGGAGTCTTAAAATCCATATCTAATGATAATAACCATGTTAAACGTGTAGCTTGGACGAAAGTAACTAGTACGATTAGAATGTTTTATTGTGAAAAGATTACAAACACGTTAAATAAGATTTTGATAGAAATGCATAGGAAAGAGCATAAGTTGACCAATGATGAAATTGATTTGTATTTACAAGAGATTGTCAATGTAATTCATGAAGTAGCTGGGGAAATGTTACCAATTAAGAAATTCAAAAAGCACCAAAAGCCTTTCTGGGCGCCTGGTCTCACGGTACTAGTTAAAAAGCGCAACAGTTTATGGCATCTGTGGAAAGACGCTGGCAGGCCTAGGAATGGAGAGTTATTTCAACAGTACAAACTTTCGAAAAAAGTATTTTCGAAAGCTTTATACCAGGCGGAGTTAGAATACGAACACGGAGAAATGGCAAAGCTATACGATTCTGAAGACATGGACCAACGTTTTTTCTGGTACCTTCTCCAGCGCAGCAGGGGCACTAAGAAACGCTCAAATTCATCAATAAGAAACAAAGATGGCGTCATAGTCAATGATCCAGAAGCAGTGTGCGATGTATGGCGTTCACATTTTGAAGCATTAGCGACACCATCGGAAAGCAACCTATTTGACAATGATCACGAGAATATGGTTCGTGATCGAGTAAAACAGCTTCTCAATGATTCTCAAAATGATGAAGATGAACAACTGAACCCGCTCTCATACGCTGAACTTCATGCGTCTCTGCGTAAAATGAAGCACGGCAAAGCCAGTGGCGCTGACAACGTTACTATGGAGCACATCGAATACGCAGGTCCCACTATACTGAAAACCCTATTATGTATTTTCCAGAACATTATATATAACGAGTACACTCCACAGATATTTAGAACTGGGACTCTAGTACCGATAATTAAAGGGGGTACGCGGGACACACTCAAAACTACTGATTACAGAGGAATAACCCTTATGTCTGTTATCCGAAAGCTCTTTGACAGTGTTCTTCTTTCGCGATACAAATCACGACTTTTGAACTGTATACCCCAACTACAAGGAGCTTCAATTGATGGATGTTCCTCTCTTCATACGTCATTGACCCTACATGAGACCATTGATTATAATACGTCACACGGAAGCGCAGTACACGTCATATTATTAGACATCCAATCTGCATTTGACACCTGCTGGATTGAGGGACTCTTCTACAAGTTATACATTAATGCCAAAATCAAAGGGAAGCTATGGAGACTCTTGTACAACTCATATCAGAACTATTTCTGCACCGTTCAAGTCGCCGGAACAATGTCAGAGCCCTTTAAAATACGCCAGGGAGTATTTCAAGGGGCCGTTTACAGTATGATCCTGTATCAATTTTATATAAGTGACTTATTAACGGAACTCCAAAGGAGCAATTTAGGAGCCAAGGTTATGGGAATGAATACCTGCTCCCCAGCGTACGCTGATGACATTGCATTAGTAGCTTTATTCCCAGGGGCAATGGACACGTTGCTGGATATCTCATTTAAACATAGTTCAAAATGGAGATACACTCTTCACCCACAGAAATGTGTCGCGCTAACGTATGGTAGCAACGAAAAATACGTATTTAATTTAGGGACGGACACGATAAAAAACGTCACGAAGGCCAAACATGTAGGCATACCTCTGAGTACAACCGGAGATTTTAGTGACCACACCAAGCACGCTATATCAAGTGGCAAAAGGAAACTGTTTTCGCTTTTTGGACTCGGTCATAAAACAAACGGCCTATCCCCCATTCTAGCCACTAAGTTGTATAATAGCTTTACTGTCCCTACGTTTCTCTATGGTGATCAAATCATCAACTATAAACAACGTGATGTTGAAATGATGGAAGTGGCCCAACGCGAAATTGGACGAAGGATACAATTTCTTCCCAGTAATTGCAGCAATCCAATGTCGACGATGCCACTGGGAATGTGGACAGTTAAACTAAAGATGGACTATGACAAACTCCTTATGTTTTTCAGTATTATTACGCTTCCCATGACAAATATTTACAAACAACTACTGATGATGCGCTTTATGAGCATATTTATACAAGGAAAAAAATGGGATTCGCCAATATACAGGATGTGGGATTGTATAAAACGTCACAATCTATTAGACTATGTGATCAATATGATTACCAACGCGAATTTTCCATCTAAGTATACATGGAAAAGGATGATTAGGAATATAATAGGCACCAAACAGAGAAACGACTACAACACGATTTGCGCAATGTACAAGCGCCACGACATAGGTGTAAAGATTTCGGATGTCTCAACTAGTAGAAGTGGACTACTTAAACCATGTATATGGTGGTTACTCGCAAAGATGAAACCAGAAAATCTTCCAGTATGTAAAATTATGATGCGCCTCTCTACAGACTGCCATGAGCTGCGCGTAAAAAACTCTGGGCTAAATTGTATTTGCGTTTTGTGTAATACGTTTGAGGTAGAAACGATTGAACATTTCCTTAGCTCCTGTGAGGCTTACTTTGATGAGCATGCCAGACTGACTTCTATTATAAATAAATACGGTAACCCTTGTGATTTAAAGAGCGTTGTATTCGGCTATCACGAACATATAACTGAAAATGACATGATCCAAATAGGTGAAATTGTTCTCCAAATGAGTATAAAAAGAGCTCGTTTAATGCGAGCGTACACTGGTAACCAGATGTAAAAAGGTGACCAAAAAACACTCTCTGTAAATAGTTTTGACTTTATTATGTACATGTATATGTGTTGTAAATTATAAAACTACTCTGTTTAACTACAGGTTAATAAATTAATAATAATAATAGCATAGCACACAGTGTTCACAGTAGCCATTTAAATTTCTGAGTTCCAGGGACGCAACTCAGTAAAAAATATTTGAATCCCCTCTATTTTTACATCTCTTTTTTCAATTTTTTCATTTTTTTGTGCATTTGCAAATCATGTAAGAATTCATGAAATGTATTATCAGTCAAAAGCATTCAGAAAAATCTAAAGTACATATATTTACTCTAGTAGCTCATGCTGGTTGAGTATGCACTTCTATGTCCAGAGATTTTCTCTTCAGAAATCATCTATGTGAAGGTCATTGATCAATTTTGGCTTGGTAACATATTTGCCAAAGAAGGCGAATTAGGTCAAATGGCCACGCCCTTTTTTACGCGAATACTCCCCCCCCCATTTTTGCATCTCCGGAACCGTTGGACATAGAAGGTTGTGTGACCACTCAAAATGTCCGGAATGGCCACATTATAGGGGGTCAATAATACATATGTATTTAAAAAAGTCAATGGTTCTCAAGATATTTGCCAAAAACTGATTTTAGCATGTTACGCACAACAGTTTTCATCTATCCTGCATCATTTAAGACTCTATCTAGTCAGATCAGCGAAGGAAACAAACTTTTTTGGTTGTTGAGTTGGCCAAGAGGTCTTAGGTGAATGGGTACCCTAAACCACGAGGTTGCGAGTTGTGAGACATGTGTGCTCCGTATGTTCATTCTTTTATGAGGTCCATATCTAGTATCTACAAGGAATGCTGATGTATTATGAGTATTGAATATCGATTGAGTTTAATTATAAACCACGAGGTTGTGAGTTTGAGACACATGTGCTCCTTGTGTTCATTCTTTAATGAGTACTAGATTAGTATCTACAGGGTGGTCCAAAAAAAAATTGGAACATTTGTTAATTGAACACAAAACCTTTATTTTTCCTCTAAAATGCACCCAAATTTTACTGAGTATTGTTCAATCACTTATTTATCTGATGTAAAGTTTATAGGTGCAAACAACAAAGTTAATGCATTAAACTAGAGAATGTTTGATATGACCCTCTTTCTCCTGAATTACAAGTGAAGCCTGGGACTCAGTTTTCAAATGATTCATTCACTCTTCTGCTCGTGTGATTTTGTCCAAGCCATCTTGATTAAAAAATTCAGCTTGAACAAACTACTTATATGTTTGCCTTGGAAGATCAAATATATGAACTTATTCCATGATGGTGAAAATCCCAACGCCCCAGATTTCCATCCAGGATATGACTGTTACTGAAAAAAATCAATGGCGATTACTTTACACCAACGCATGCTTATCTTTGAATTTTGCTATAAATATCTGATTCAAATATCAGAAACGTATACTGTGATCACCACAATCAATAATTTTAAGATAAAACACATAAACAAAAAGCAAACAACAAGGCCATAAAGATTTTGAAGGAATATCGATTAAAAATCTCTGAGGTGAGAAGGTAGATCTGTTTCTCCGGCCCCGAGCCAACGGACTTGATTTCAGAGTTTCAGGCGAGTTTCATATGGGTTTCAGGCAAGTTTCATATGGGTAATCATGGAATAAAATCGTTATTCAATAATTTCTTGTGAAATACAGAAAATATTCTTCCCTTGAACGTCTGTATTTCACTCTGCTAGCGCATCGTGAAATACGACCTTCTCGGGAAGAATATTTTCTGTATTTCACTCGAATTATTGAATAACTTATAATATTCAGCATTTTTTTACCCAACTTGATGGGTATCAAGCATATTTTGATGGCTATTGTTGGTTATATTACTGATTGAATATTCTCCAGAAAGAGCCCAGGGCAGTCTGTTTTGACTGTTAAATGACCCCCCCCCCCTCCTTGTTCTAATATGAATAATATTCATTGAATATATCAATATACTGTATGTATATCAATGATCATAAAGGAGTTTCCCAGAACACCAATGATATATTATATTAAATGTGCTTAGAGGTGGTCCTTGATAAAGCCTTGTAAATAACTGGTCAGTTTCCCCTCTACTGAAAAGTGGAAACAATGATTTTGTCAGTTTAGTAGCTATATGGGTTATGCAATCACCCACCTCTGACATGGTTTTTTTCTACTCTTAAATAATAATGATTTGGGGTATTCTTAAGTTGACAAAAACATAATCCTTTTCCAGTAAACCATAGATGTTAATACTTCATGTCAACTAAATATGATTTATAAAATGTGTATAGCAATCAACATGTTCATTAAAGCTTTGAAATAAAGAATATATGAAAAAGTAGCTGCGAAATTGACAAGTGTATATTTAAGAAAAGGGTGTTACGCGGTATAGGGCATACATTCATGGTTGCGCGGTATTTGTGATACAGGTGAATATGCCATACTCACCTGCGGTATATGGCATATTCCGCAAGTGAGTTTGCGATATTCCGCAGTGAATATGCGATACATAAATTTCAGTGAATACCCAATACTCACCTGCGGAATATGTCATACTCACTTGCGGAATATGGCATATACCGCAGGTGAATATGACATATACCGCAGGTGAAAACGTGATACAGAAAGCGTTGGTTTGATTGGTTGCGAGAATCGACTCTAAATGTAAAACTATACGCTGGATTACCAATATATTTAGTGCATCGAGTACTAATATATGAATCCTGGATTGATTGAGTAAGTTTATTACGCGAGATTGATGACTGATACTTCTGCTAAGTTAATATATTCGATACACAGTACTGTTGATTCAATAATCATTATAATAATCTATAACGTTTTACTTGTTCATTCAATCGATGCAATTGACCATTGCGTACTTCCGCATCACGTTCTCATTGGTTAGTGTGTATGCCATATACCGCAGGTGAATCTGTCATACACTGCAAGTGAATATGCCATATTCGTTGCGGAATATGACATATTTTTGTATCGTGTTTACCGCATAACAAAGGGGGTCATATCAAACATTGACTAGTTTAATACATTAACTTTTTGGTTTGCACCTATAAACTTTACATCAGAGAGATAAGTGACTGAACTATGCTCAGTAAAGTTTTGGTGCATTTTAGAGGAAAAATAAAGGTTTTGTGTTCAATTAACAAATGTTCCAATTTTTTTTGGACCACCCTGTAGATACTAGTACTCATTAAAGAATGAACACAAGGAGCACATGTGTCTCAAACTCACAACCTCGTGGTTTATAATTAAACTCAATCGATATTCAATACTCATAATACATCAGCATTCCTTGTAGATACTAGATATGGTACTCATAAAAGAATGAACATACGGAGCACACGTGTCTCAAACTCGCAACCTCGTGGTTTAGGGTACCCATTCACCTAAGACCTCTTGGCCAACTCAACAACCAAAAAAGTTTGTTTCCTTCGCTGATCTGACTAGATAGAGGCTGCGGATTCAGTCTTAAATGATGCAGGATAGATGAACTGTTGCGCGTAACATGCTAAAATCAGTTTTTGGCAAATATCTTGAGAACCATTGACTTTTTTAAATACATATGTATTATTGACCCCCTATAATGTGGCCATTCCGGACATTTTGAGTGGTCACACAACCTTCTATGTCCAACGGTTCCGGAGATGCAAAAATGGGGGGGGGAGTATTCGCGTAAAAAAGGGCGTGGCCATTTGACCTATTTCGCCTTCTGTGGCAAATATGTTACCAAGCCAAAATTGATCAATGACCTTCACATAGATGATTTCTGAAGAGAAAATCTCTGGACATAGAAGTGCATACTCAACCAGCATGAGCTACTAGAGTAATTACTGTTAAAACATAATCATGGGTTCATTAGTATGTTATAACATGTTAAAAGATTGCTAAATGATGATTACAATTAGTAAAAAATGATTTGATTTATTTATTAAAACTGATGTTTGTGCGCAGTAAAGGTATCCGTCTCGATCTCAGCATATTACGGAACATTTATATGGGAATGAATCAAAATCAGAATAGGAACCCTTAAATCTCAATCAGATTTGCTGATATAGATACACCTGGGTCATTGCTCCCATATTAAGTAGGAAAAGAATTTGTTTGAAAATCTTGATGAAAACCCATTATATTATACATCGGTGAATTTGAGTAAAATTGATGTCTACCCACCTGTCACCAAGTTGCTTTGGCAACCAATATTAAAATTTGACAAAATAAGAAACCTAGTGTCATTTCTCACTGATCACCCTGTAGTTGTGAGATATTATGTAAGAAATGCTAGCATGATATATAATGAGTAAGAAAGAAGACAATAAATTGCCATTGTTTTAATACATTACATCATCATGGGATCTACAGCATACACTATCCATAATACATACTGGAATACAAGCATTACATAAAGAGTAGCGCTGATAAAGGGGAAAGACTACATCCTAATGTTTAAAAAAATACATTTCTCCACACAGGTGCTAGAATTGCAGTTGAAACTGAAATCTCTCAAGATGACACCTGGGGAATTGCATACCTGTAACAAAGACCTTGAGTTGCGATTGCACCAAAGTGAGGCTGATAGGAAAATCCTTCAGGAACAAGTTGAAGCTGAAAGAAGGAAGCACATTGAAGACAACAACATTGTCAATGAGAAGGCCACTAAGATTAAAGAGTGGATCGGAAACAAATTAAGAGAGGTAAATAAATGATATACTCAATATTGACTTGAGCAAACATGTAGGTGTATTTAATGCACCATTCAAAAGTTTGCGTGAGACCCCCTTATGCGGGCATGGATGGGGAATTCTTGACCCCTGGGCCCCTCCCCCGAATTTACTCTATTTAAATATTTACTGGCTTGTAGGCTAATGTTCATAAATGTTAAGAGATACACGTTTAGTACTGTTTTTATCAATATCTTAATAAGGGATGCCAAATATGGTCATAAAAATCTTCGCGAAAAGCTGTCAAACAGAAAAGTTGCATTTTTAAATGATTCAATTACCTGTGTAACCCGAGCTGCTTAATTAAAAGCCAATGAGAATACAGACCATTCTAATGATGTTTTCAACATGATGTATTCTACGAGAATATCAGTTCAAATCGCCTGATAGTTTTGACAAAAAAGAGCCGGGAAGGGTCGTGGTTTTACTATATATTGGGTTGTATCTGTTCAACAAAAGTGGAGAATATAGCTGTATTTACACCTTGATAGTAATTAGCCCAAAATAATGACACATTAGTCGGTTTATTATTTTTTAATTATCAGTGCATAAAATCAACAGTTTAATTACACTTACTGAGAAAGGATGATGAAATATAGACCAAGGTGAGCTAATTAATGAGAAAATAATTATGAGTATAAATATGAATTAAATTACATTGGGATGTTGTTTGTTAAATCTTCTTATTAACGAATTTAATAAAGCATTTGTTTTATAACAGGGCCGTAGGGAGAGGAGGTTCCCCCAAATACTATAATACTATAAGCATGGCACACTGTCTAATGACGCTCTTGGTAGACAAGGGCCACTTTTTAAAATGGCCACCATTTTAACGTATTTTACTAACTCGAAAAGTAGTGGAGCGATTTTGTTCATATTTGGTGTGTAAATACTCTAAGCATGGCACACTGTCTAATGACACTTTTGGTAGAAGGTGGCCATTTTGAAAAATGGCTCCCATTTTTGCTATATACTTTGTTTGGAAAAATGCCAGCCATGGCTGTTCGATGGGATTTACTACGCTTTGGCATTGCTGTTGTCTAGTTACAAACTAAAATCGAGTACAATTCTTTCTATTAGTATATGTTTATGGTGATACTAAAGAATAACTAAGGTGGTATGTAATTGAAAGGTAGGATAAATGTGAAACCAATACAGCAAAGCTTGGCGAATTTGAGAAATAAACACCTATTGATCATTTTTCACTTTATTCCAATAAAAAAAATTATTTATTTATTTCAAACTAAAACCGAGTACAATTCTTTCTATAAGTATATGTTTATGGTGATACTAAAGAATAACTAAGGTGGTATGTAATTGAAAGGTAGGATAAATGTGAAACCAATACAGCAAAGCTTGGCAAATTTGAGAAATAAACACCTATTGATCATTTTTCACTTCATTCCAATAAAAAAATTATTTATTTATTTCAAAAACCTACTGAAGTCATCAAGTAATACTTTCTGTCAGTTAACCGACTTTAACCATCAAATCTTAAGTTAATCGAACAATGTTTTGGCTGTGAATTGACACCATTAGTAAGAAGTCAAAAATCTGCTGGAATTTCATGTATGGGAATTTTTCTTCTGTTTACTAAGAATGCTTTATTTGCAACATCAAAACGAAGTAACAGTATATTTTTACAGTAACGACATGTATTGTTATTGGGGAGATTATGGTAAAGATTGCTAAAATGAAGCAAGGATCCTGCAAGAATCTAGCTAGACAATATTGACAGTGATTGAGGAAATCCCCAACAGAGCTCCTTGAATTGAAGGCATTGTTTTCCCAGATCATATTATATATTTCCACTAGAGACTGTTGGATATTGATCTTAAGTTATACCTTATCTTTTTAATTTGATGGTAGATCATTTCTCAATATTTCTTAAATTTTTTGGAGCGGGTTGGGTGCTTATTTGGGGGTGGGTACTAAATATGGCGATTACAGTAACCTGTATGTGCTTTTACGCATAAGCTCTGTGATTCCCTTTTGACAACATTTTTTGCAGAAAAATAATATTATGAATGTAAGAATTGCACAATTTGCAATTTGCTTAATAAGGCAAACCTTTTGAAAAATGGAGGCCATTTCATGTTTCATTTGACATTTATTGTAATAACTTGAAAAAAATAGAATGATTTTGTTGATACTTTATATACTAAATACATGCAAGAATGACATGCAATCATTTGGCAATTCATCTATGGTGGCATTTTGAGAAATGATTCTAGCAGGCTTGTCTGACTCTCATTCGATGTTTAATGGGATTTGCTATGCCTTGGCATTATCTAGTTGAAATATGTATTTATATGTATTTGTCACCATAGATGTAAGTCATTCTAATTCCTCAGCTGCCAAATATTTGAACTTATCTTTTAATGATTCAGATATTTCCCCTCCCAAATGGTTTTTCATGAATTGATCCACACCCTCCAAAGGCAATGTAAGAGGAAAATGTACACAAAAATACAACTCTACAGAGAGATCTCTTGCTATTGCTAAGACCTCTTTCATCTGTCTGACAATATGAGCCTTCAGAATGGACATATCTGAGCCGTAGAATTCAAAATTGCTTCTGAGGCCAAGCTTAACAGTGTGAGATGTATTGGTGCTGAAACCAATGCATTCATTATGATTGTTAAAACTAGCACATGGGCTCGCATTTATATAGATATCATTAATATTATCATGGAGACCCTTTACTGTACTAGTTGGTTCATAGTTACAAATGATGTTATCTGCAGGGAATAAATGTTTCATAGTTCTGTCCTTTATCACAATTTCTTCCATTTGTCTTGCATTGATCCTCTGTACAGAACCAGTGGGATTATATTCACTTGTCTCCAGGACACTGGTATCTTGGTTGGATTTAAAGACAAACACTCTACGATTCTGCAAGAAATAAATGATATAATATATTCTTGAATGGAGTATTCAGTCATTCTCTCATTTGCCTCCATATTAAAATAAGTTATGATTTTGCATATAAAAGAATCTTTCACTTGTTGATTACTTCTCATAATTTGTCATTTTCATCATGAACAGGAATACTCCAAATGGTCATCTTTTTAGATGGATATGGTAAAGATCAAAGTTTTAGATGCTACATTTAACAGAAACCCCAACAGTAATTAAGAATATTGGATCCCTTTCATATTATAAATCTCATTAGAAAATGCACAATTATAATAGTTGTCAGAAGTCATTTAAATGCTATTATTCTAACCAATGATTTTGTACCAATACTACTTACGTGTGTTTTCCTTTTTTCCAGCTTATTTTGCTTAACACATATCTGTTGTCTTTGAATAATCTCTCGAAATTGAATGCTTAAACTTTGGAGCTCTACTAGACAAAGTATATATTGTAACCATAGTATGGTACATTTACTTTATATTACTTACCCGTATCTCAATAATTCTGATTTGATTTTTTGCTGATTTTTCCTGTTGGTAGGCATTATAATGACCAGTGTATACAGTCCTAGTGGCCAGTGGGCATAATGATATCATCTCTTCTTTCACAAACTTATATAGCTGTTTGAAGTAACCAGATGAACCAGGGATAGAACGGAATGCTTGCCCAACTTTTGTGTGGCCACCATCAAGTATTGTCCACTGAACATATGCCATCTGTTGAAGGAAAACATATACATGTATGATATAAAACCATAATATAAACCATATGGAATGAGACAGATTAATTCAAAGCATACATAGAATCCAATATTTAACCACTGTTCTGTTACCTAGTTGCATGTAGGTAGTTACCAGTATCATTATCACCCTCACAAAAAGAGCAATGGTTTTCATTGGTACTACAGCTTATGATCAGTTGTTTCAAGAGTTGTTCTAGCATTGTATTACTTGGAAATGTGTTGAACGTGTAAAAACAGTTCTATATAGATTTACAAATGACAAGTCTCATTTTTTTTTTATAGGAAACTATTAAAAACTGACACTATACAGCAAATATTTACTTACAATTTTTCCATCTTTCTCAAAAACAAAGCAATGTCTGAAAGGTTGCTCTACGTAAATTGGGAATAACGCAGGAATGTAGTCCAGCCCTTCATATATGTTATCATTTATATCCATAATTCCTTGATGATCCTCTGGAGTAGCTCTTCGACATATAACACCCATTCTTAATGTTTTAGTATTTTGACTTTTTCCACTATTAGCTGATATACTTGTATTAGTCATATCATGGCTTATTTCAATTGTATTAAGTGTCTCACTGTGCATGACTGAGATATCTTTACCTGTATAATTATCTTGTTTATGGCTTATATATAATACAGAGTTGGCCAAAAAATATTATAGTGTATGGTTATTAATACTTTATCTCACCACAAGAAATGGAGACATATTGGTATGGTATAACTTTTTTGTGGACAGTATTTTCCGTTTGGTGTCTGTAACAAATTCTTACGGCGTCTGTAACAAATTTTTACTTTTTCCAATTAGTTAACAAGTACTGTTTAGACGAACTTCAAATTTTACTTTCAACCTACGCTATGGCTCAGTGGCAGGGAGAGTCAAGGTTACCAATATCGCTTGGCCCCGGGTTCGATTCCCGGTTCAGACAAGTTTGTTTGTGCGTTAAGTAATTCTGGGTGTTTGACTGAGTGGTTCACGACTCGTATAAAAGGCTGTGGTGTGTACCTGTATGTCTGTGTACCTGTGCACATAAAAGAAAACAGGGCTCCTCCAAGGAGGGGTTTCTGGCTCTATCTTCGAGTGTAAAATATGTAAAATACGGAATATACCAATGAGGTATTGCTCGCCAAATATGGCGGTAACCAAGATATAATAATAATAATAATAATAAAAACATGTTGTGAGTTCCAACACATTTCTGCCAATATCTGTTGCCATGGCAACAAATAAGTGTCAATAAAGGTTCTTTTTCAACTTGCTTCAGTTGACCCAATTTATTTTTCAAAATCTTAAGATTTGAGATTTGACCTTTGGTTGACCTTGAATAACCTTGGACATTGAAGGTCAAAAAGGTATTTTCTCAACTTTTCAACCTTCTAAAGTTTAAAAAAGTTCAAATTGATTTTTTGGATCCAAAGGAGTGGTATCGATATGGTGAACTTTTTAAACACACATTTCTCTTAAACCAGTCATCAAAACATTCTGAAAATTTTACACATCGTCAATTTAATGGTCATCGTTTGGATGGCAGCAACACTATAATTTGAAATATAGTATATATGCTTTTCTCTATTGTGTTTTAGAAAACACATCAGACACTTTTGTTTTTGGTATCATATGTTCAGAATGAAATGAAACATGTATCCGAACCTCATTGGAACAAAACGACAATAATACAATGTGTTTAGGTCTCTCAATATTGTAATTGTACAATGGAAAGTTTGATGGATTTTAAAAAGCATCTTGTTCATGAAATAAAAGATTTATCTTAATTTTTATCTATTTTGGGAGGTTTTGTTTTAAGTTTTTGCATACTTTTTGTTCAATCAACCAAAATTTTCTTTGTTTAACTATAATATTGAGAGGTCTAAGAGAATGTTGTATATGCTATTTTGTTCCAACAAGTTTCAGAAAGACATTTTATTTCATTCTCAAGAATTGGTAGAAAGGAACAAAGAACAATTGCACTAAAAAAAACAAAAAATGTTAACAAAAACAGTTATCTTAAAATATATATAAATAATTTTAGCATTAAATTTTTGCCGATCAGGCGACATTACATAAAGGACCAGTTTCTAGGATATATCTGATGTTACGATTTGATAGTGATATTAGTTTTGCTCCATATATTTGAACCAGATGGACATCTTAAATTGTTTCCCGATAATAGTGCTTACACAGTTGTAATTTAGATTTCTGAAAAAATTGAAGCATTTGGTAAGGCAATAAAGACAAATAAGGGAGATAAGGTTAACTGGTTTACATCAAGGAAATCTGAATTGAAAGGACAAATTCTGGATGCATAAGGAACAAGTCTTATTATGTACTTTTTTGGTCGTGAAGATTTGCAAAGTATTTATCTGAGTTCTAAAGAATTTTGAAAAACCAAGAATTTACAATTTGTAGGTTTAATATACATTTGTATTTTAATATTTCTTGCCAGAATTTAAGATCTCCAAATTATTTCATGTTTTCATTGTTTGCTGTAACTTTCTTGTGCGGCAATATAAACATTATCCTCAATAAGAGGTTCAAAAATTTCCCATCCTAACACTTTTGTCGCATATTCATCTAACGTTTCTAGTGAAAATGTCTGTGGGAAATGCACACAAAAATATAGATCCATGTTTCTAGCTCTAGCTACCTTCAGAGCTTCCTTTGCTTGCTCGATGATATGACATCGAAAAATGACATCATCTGACCCATAAAAGTCAAAATTACTTCTTATGCCCAGTTTGATTAGATACGACCCTAGGAAACTGATACCTTCACAGGTATTGCCATTATTGAAGCTGGCAGAAACAGTTGCATGTTTGAAGATGTGTTGGATGTTACAATTCAAGCCTTGTGTTGTACTCAAAGGCTCAAATCCACATGTGATGTTATCAGCAGGGAACAAATGTTTTGTAGTTCTGTCCTTCAGTACAATTTCTTCCATTTCTCTTGCATTGATCCTCTGCACAGAACCAGTGGGATTATATTCACTTGTCTCCAGGACACTGGTATCTTGGTTGGCATTGATAACATATACCCTGCGATACTGGAATTAATATATAATCTATTAAATGGAAATGCAACCACCATCAGGTAGTTTTATCAATAATTATGGTTCTATTCAAATTTTATATTTCACAGCTTATGATTTAAATGAGAAACCTACAGAGATGGAAACACACCTTTTCACAAAAAAAGGAAATGATTGATAGCACCTACCCGCATTTCCATAACTTTGATCCTTTCTGTATCTTTCGTTTTTTTCTGTTGGTAATCTCCATATATTGCTGTATATACAATTCGTGTACCTGGACATAATTTCTCCATTTGCGCTCTTGTATATATGTCTAATTGCTTGAAGTAACCTTTTGACCCAACAATTGAGCGATTTGCTTGGCCAATTCTTGAGTGCCCACCATCGATAATCGTCCACTGCATGTACGCCATCTAAAACATTAAGGTAGAGCTTCAATATTGACTGACTTTTTTTCTACAATTCAGATTTTAAGATTTTCTTGAAAATTAGAAAGATTGACCGCTTAGTCATTCTTGAAAAAAATTTTGAATTTGACATTGCTCTCACTCAAGGAAATGTAACATATGTGACACTGGTGAAATTGAAACATAGGATCATTTTTTACGTTTCTGCAATTCCATAGATGTGGAAAGGGTTGCATTTCTTAATTTATTTAGAATTGGTGATGACGACATCTTATTTCAAACGTTTAAATCAGATGATGATAAAGTAATGATTTTGAAAGCCAAGACTGTATTTTTAATGTTCACAAACCGTTATAATGCTAATGCAAATATAATATGTAAATCTGTTAATTGTAAAAAAAATTGTAAATGTACTCACAATATATTTGTGGTTATAAAGGATACAATTCAATACAATACAATACTACAATACAAAACAATACAATACAATACAATACAATACAATACAATACAATAGGAAATTCTTCAGGATCTTGAGAAAAAAATAAAATAACTTTGAAGATCATGAATCAGTGGGAAAATATTATTATTCCTTTGTATATAATGACTCATATTACCAAAAATGTCTTGATAGATCAACATGAGTGTGTCATATAAAGAGAGATCAAGAAAATGTATTTTGGACAGTTCAAAATGAAAAAAAATTAGATTTTGCCGGGTTTGAACCCACTCTCTCAGGGTTTAAAAACTTGAAAAACCTGGCCCCTTAAGTAATTGTGCCATGCTGCAATTGAACATCTTGTTGACTTTTTTTTAATTAACAAATATCAATGTGTCAATATCATTTATGGTGTTAGAGATGCGCAACTGGCTGCACAATAGACATTGAACTTCTAATTTAAGGAAAGTGCATTTCTCTGTAAAAATAATCTGAATCAAAATAAGAAACATGGGATAACTATGGGCATGATATGGACCCTACATGGGATAACTATGGGCACAGTTTGGATCCTATCTCTAAATGGTTTTTATAGAAATGAGAGTTATAGTGTACATTCCTACTTAGTAAAACTCTTGGAGAAAACCATGATTAATGTACTTACCACATAATATATAAAGAATACACCCCTCTCCATAAATTTGGCAACCTTTTTCCCCCAAACCCACCATTTCCATTTTTTTTATATTGGAATGATAATTTTCATAGAGAGGCTATAACACATAAGTGTATGTGGAAAAAGGTTGCCAAACTTATAGAGGGGAGTGTAAGATGAGAGAATGAGAGGCACGTCAAGTATTATACTTACAATTTTTCCATCTTGCTCACTCACAAAGCAATGTCTGGAGGGTTGCTTTATGTAAATTGGGAACAAGGCAGGAATGTAGTCGAGTCCTTCATATATGTTATCATTGATCTCCATTATTCCTTTATGATCCTCTGGGATAGCCCTTCTACATATCGCACCCTTATGCATTTTTAATCAATTACTTATAGCATGAATTGCATGTGTTTTACTGCTATCTTTGAAATGGATTACACCAATCTGTATGTTTTACATGATAAATATAGCAGTCAAACTTGTTTTGAATATTGACTTTTGTAGTCCAAAGATAAAGTACCATTTACAATTGACAAATGTGACCTACATGTAGGTTGAACGTGCTGAGAATGATTTAAATTACAATTGTTTGTATTTATATTGTTTTTACTTATCCATGAATATATTAAGTTTTGCTTATCATTGTTGGAAAAATTGGGTGTTTTTCATAAATGATTTTTAGGTTTAGATCTTGATGGCTGTTTGCTTCGTGGTCTGAAACAGCCCTAAAAGCCTTTTCAGTTTGTATTCCTATTGTTTTTACTGATCTTTGGAAATGTGCATCAGCTTTTCGGCATTATGGGTAAATGGTAAGGCAGCCATTTTGGATTTTCCATCCTAAAATCTTTTCTGTAAAGCCTTGTCTACACGTTTTCAAGTAACTCTGTGAGGGATCAATTTCAAATTTTCAGGGACGATTCTTAGTATTAAAATCTAGAACTAATTAATTTTTACGCATTCTGGGTAAATTTTAAGGTGGCCATTTTGGATTTTCCATCCTAAAATCTTCTCTGTAAAGTTTTGTCTTGTCTGTTCTCAAACTACTTAGTTTTTGGGCAGTCTGGGTAAATTTAAAGGCAGACACATTGGATTTTGTGTTAAGATCTTGTATTTTCAACTGATTAGTGTTCGGCATTCAGGATGGAAAATTTGTGATATATAGGATTACCCATTGGTGAGGACAAAACAGTTTGTCAAAATGTCCAATATCAATGAAAAAGTCACTTATTTCAGCCTTCAATCTAGTTGTACATAAAAGCCATTTTTCCAAGCAAAAATGCTTTCTTCAAACTTTATCGTCCCCCATGTCATAATTATCCTGTCCTTTAATGCATGTTCAGTGTTGTGCATTTTTGTTTATAAGTCTGTTTACTGTTGAATGATTCCACTCCTTGACCGAAAATTCCTTCATGATTGTTTTTCCACCCCATTCCTTGAGACAGTTTTTAATGGAAGCCTCATCAGTGTCACTCAACGAAGGCTTGACATCAGTCCTTCATTGGAACTGAAATTTTGGACAAAACACATTTTGAATTCAGACAGCAATAGAATAAATAGATAGACCTGACACCCAGACAAGCTTTTTTCATAAACTCAGTTTGATTAACAGATACCAACACCTGATAGCTGGCACAAATATGATGACGGCATCATTATGCAGCTCTGATATTGGACTATTGACATGCAGTTTTGAATTTGTCAGAACTAGCATAATATGCAATGGATCTCTTTTATATTTATAAGTTTCGTTCATGATACTCTAGGCTACTGTGTATAAGTTTTCAATGAGTTTGGTTAATCCATTGTTGAGAGAAAACTTGTCAAAAAAGGGCATTGTCGTAGCTACATGTACGTCAAGTACGCAAAGGCGTACTCTCAAAATGTTAAATGAATAAAATTTGCCTGAAAAATTGTGATGAAAACTAAATATTTCACTAAAACATTAAAAGTGAAGTCCATGTATGAAGATTTAAATGTTAAATTAAAAAGATCCAAAACTAAATAACACGTTGGGCTAAAAATGGCAACAGATTACACAGGAGAACATCCTGATAACACTAATTAACACACTTCAATCGACACCTCAGCCATTGTACCCTGATGTGTATCAGGCCCAAAGCCAGCTTTTGTCAAGGGGAGTTCACTTTTCAAAAAATTCCAGGGAAGTTCACATTTGACAACTTTGGTCCAAATCACTTGAAAAGTGCTCAGAATGGGGAAAACTGCATGATTTTGAATGAATTTTTTCTGCCCGTGGGAGGGTCGCTCGAACTAAGATTTATACATAATCATCTTGATGTCAAACACCATATTCACTTTGAATCGGATATGTATACAGTAAAACCTGTCTAATCCGAACACCATTTGGACCGGATAAAAGCGTTCAGATTAGGAGGTGTTCTCATTTCGAGGTTTTTGCATCCGCAATAATCCGGATTCTGAAGAAATGTGAACACATTGACTGTTCACTGTTCAAATTGGGAGGTGTTCACATTTCAAGGTTTTTTTAACATGGGAGTCAATGAGCAGAAAAATGGGACAGTGTTCAGATTGGGAGGTGTGCGGATAAGCCAGGTGTTCAGATATACAGGTTCTACTGTACAATGATATTACAAACTGATAGTTTGTGATGGTGTCTCTGATCATCTGGATACCATGGATTTTTGTTCATTTTGTTAGAAGTTGGAAACCTGACAGGCGTAGACTGGGAAAATTGGCTAACTACACCTTTGGTGGGTTCCTTTTTTGGGGACACCCGATATATACATTGTATTGTTGCCCTGAGTATTCATTTGAGAATATTAAAATTAGTATTTTTATCTCACTTTTAATGTGCAGTGATGTATAATCTAAACTTCAGACCCATATCTTTATTTTTTGTTGTAATTTTCTTGTGCAGCAATATAAACATTCTCCTCCTTCTCAAAAATTCCCCATCCTAACACTTTTGTTGCATAGTCATCCAACATTTCTAGTGAAAATGTCTGTGGGAAATGCACACAAAAATATAGATCCATGTTTCTAGATCTAGCTACCTTCAGAGCTTCCTTAGCTTGCTCGATGATATGACATCGAAAAATGACATCATCTGACCCATAGAAATCAAAATTGCTTCTTAAGCCCAGTTTGATTGGATACGACCCTAGGAAACTGATACCTTCACAGGTATTGCCATTATTGAAGCTGGCAGAAACAGTTGCATGTTTGAAGATGTGTTGGATGTTACAATTCAAGCCTTGTGTTGTACTCAAAGGCTCAAATCCACATGTGATGTTATCAGCAGGGAACAAATGTTTTGCAGTTCTGTCCTTCAGTACAATTTCTTCCATTTGTCTTGCATTGATCCTCTGTACAGAACCAGTGGAATTATAGTCAGTTGTCTCCAGGACACTGGTATCTTGGTTGGCTTTGATAATATATACTCTGCGATACTGGAATTTAACAAGATCTGGTCTTTAACCCATTAAAGAAAAATAGCAACCACCTTCAGTATGTGGTTATAATATAATGATAGTAGTACCAGTAGTACTCAAAGGTTCAGGTAAACAATATCAGACAGTTCTATCGCGGATTAACTTCTATTTATTTTGATGTGTCAAATAGTTCTTGAAAGAAAAACTGAACTTTTGAAAACTCTTGAAAATGTTATCCATTGGTTTCAGCTTATTTTGGTCATTCTTTAGTATCTTTAAAGTCCCTGTGGAGGTATCCACTTTTCCTTTTAGGAAATAAGACATGTCTCAAAGCACATTCTAATTATGCATTCAACAATATAATAAAAGGTTGCATTTTTGGTAAAACTAGGTCAACATTTTTTAAAACTTATGTGGATTGCCCCTTCATACCACTTAGTCTGATTAACTTAATCATCATTATACATACTTTTCTAAAGAAAATGAATGGGTCTAAAACATACACCCGTGTTCGTGATCAGAAAATATTAATAATTCAAGTTAGAATTGTCTGAAATTGTTTGTGATAACCTACATGCTCTTTTCTGTATTTTATCACGTTCTATATTTGGAAAGAGACCTCCAGAGTTGAAAACCCTACTTTTTCACAGAAAAGATATACTGTAGATGATAGTACCTACCCGCATTTCCATAATTTTGATCCTTTCTGTATCTTTTGTTTTTTCCCGTTGGTAATCTCCATACGCTGCTGCATAAACAATTCGGGTACCTGGAAACAATTTCTCCATTTGCACTCTTGTATATATGTCTAATTGCTTGAAGTAACCTTTTAACCCAACAATTGAGCGATTCGCTTGGCCAATTCTTGAGTGTCCACCATCCACAATTGTCCACTGCATGTACGCCATCTATAACGTTAAGCCAAGTGCATATATATTCACCAAAATGGAAAAAGAGGAAAACTATTGGACCTTCATGTACTCAGTATGGAACCTATATAAAAAAATATTTTAAATCCTAAGGCAGGGTACTAGGTATATACCATGTACCATAATAAATAAGGGAACCAAATAGCATTCAAAGAATCTGAGAGAATCCCATATGATAAAGGAACAGTTTACAAAAAGACTTACAATTTTTCCATCTTGCTCACATACAAAGCAATGTCTGAAGGGTTGCTCTACGTAAATTGGGAATAACGCAGGAATGTAGTCGAGCCCTTCATATATGTTATCATTGATCTCCATAATTCCTTTATGATCCTCTGGGATAGCCCTTCTACATATCGCACCCTTATGCATTTTTAATCAATTACTTATAGCATGAATTGCATGTGTTTTACTGCTATCTTTGAAATGGATTACACCAATCTGTATGTTTTACATGATAAATATAGCAGTCAAACTTGTTTTGAATATTGACTTTTGTAGTCCAAAGATAAAGTACCATTTACAATTGACAAATGTGACCTACATGTAGGTTGAACGTGCTGAGAATGATTTAAATTACAATTGTTTGTATTTATATTGTTTTTACTTATCCATGAATATATTAAGTTTTGCTTATCATTGTTGGAAAAATTGGGTGTTTTTCATAAATGATTTTTAGGTTTAGATCTTGATGGCTGTTTGCTTCGTGGTCTGAAACAGCCCTAAAAGCCTTTTCAGTTTGTATTCCTATTGTTTTTACTGATCTTTGGAAATGTGCATCAGCTTTTCGGCATTATGGGTAAATGGTAAGGCAGCCATTTTGGATTTTTTATCCTAAAATCTTTTCTGTAAAGCCTTGTCTACACGTTTTCAAGTAACTCTGTGAGGGATCAATTTTAAATTTTCAGGGACGATTCTTAGTATTAAAATCTAGAACTAATTAGTTTTTACGCATTCTGGGTAAATTTTAAGGTGGCCATTTTGGATTTTCCATCCTAAAATCTTCTCTGTAAAGTTTTGTCTTGTCTGTTCTCAAACTACTTAGTTTTTGGGCAGTCTGGGTAAATTTAAAGGCAGACACATTGGATTTTGTGTTAAGATCTTGTATTTTCAACTGATTAGTGTTCGGCATTCAGGATGGAAAATTTGTGATATATAGGATTACCCATTGGTGAGGACAAAACAGTTTGTCAAAATGTCCATTATCAATGAAAAAGTCACTTATTTCAGCCTTCAATCTAGTTGTACATAAAAGCCATTTTTCCAAGCAAAAATGCTTTCTTCAAACTTTATCGTCCCCCATGTCATAATTATCCTGTCCTTTAATGCATGTTCAGTGTTGTGCATTTTTGTTTATAAGTCTGTTTACTTTTGAATGATTCCACTCCTTGACCGAAAATTCCTTCATGATTATTTTTCCACCCCATTCCTTGACACAGTTTTTAATGGAAGCCTCATCAGTGTCACTCAACGAAGGCTTGACATCAGTCCTTCATTGGAACTGAAATTTTGGACAAAACACATTTTGAATTCAGACAGCAATAGAATAAATAGATAGACCTGACACCCAGACAAGCTTTTTTCATAAACTCAGTCTGATTAACAGATACCAACACCTAATAGCTGGCACAAATATGATGACGGCATCATTATGCAGCTCTGATATTGGACTATTGACATGCAGTTTTGAATTTGTCAGAACTAGCATAATATGCAATGGATCTCTTTTATATTTATAAGTTTCGTTCATGATACTCTAGGCTACTGTGTATAAGTTTTCAATGAGTTTGGTTAATCCATTGCTGAGAGAAAACTTGTCAAAAAAGGGCAGTGTCGTAGCTACATGTACGTCAAGTACGCAAAGGCGTACTCTCAAAATGTTAAATGAATAAAATTTGCCTGAAAAATTGTGATGAAAACTAAATATTTCACTAAAACATTAAAAGTGAAGTCGATGTATGAAGATTTAAAGGTTAAATTAAAAAGATCCAAAACTAAATAACAAGTTGGGCTAAAAATGGCAACAGATTACACAGGAGAACATCCCGATAACACTATGGGGAAAACTGCATGATTTTGAATGAATTTTTTCTGCCAGTGGGAGGGTCGCTCGAACTAAGATTTATACATAATCATCTTGATGTCAAACACCATATTCACTTTGAATCGGATATGTATACAGTAAAACCTGTCTAATCCGAACACCATTTGGACCGGATAAAAGCGTTCAGATTAGGAGGTGTTCTCATTTCGAGGTTTTTGCATCCGCAATAATCCAGATTCTGAAGAAATGTGAACACATTGACTGTTCACTGTTCAAATTGGGAGGTGTTAACATTTCAAGGTTTTTTTAACATGGGAGTCAATGGGAGGAAAAAATGGGACAGAAAAAAGTGTTCAGATTGGGAGGTGTTCGGATAAGCCAGGTGTTCAGATATACAGGTTCTACTGTACAATGATATTGCAAACTGATGGTTTGTGATGGTGTCTCTGATCATCTGGATACCATGGATTTTTGTTCATTTTGTTAGAAGTTGGAAACCTGACAGGCGTAGACTGGAAAAATTGGCTAACTACACCTTTGGTGGGTTCCTTTTTTGGGACACCCGATATATACATTGTATTGTAGCCCTGAGTATTCATTTGAGAATATTAAAATTAGTATTTTTATCTCACTTTTAATGTGCAGTGATGTATAATCTAAACTTCAGACCCATATCTTTATTTTTTGTTGTAATTTTCTTGTGCAGCAATATAAACATTCTCCTCCTCCTCAAAAATTCCCCATCCTAACACTTTTGTTGCATATTCATCCAACATTTTTAGTGGAAATGTTTGTGGGAAATGCACACAAAAATATAGATCCATGTTTCTAGATCTAGCTACCTTCAGAGCTTTCTTAGCTTGCTCGATGATATGACATCGAAAAATGACATCATCTGACCCATAGAAATCAAAATTGCTTCTTAAGCCTAGTTTGATTGGATACGACCCTAGGAAACTGATACCTTGACAGGTACTGCCACTATTGAAGCTGGCAGAAACAGTTGCATGTTTGAAGATGTGTTGGATGTTGCAATTTAAGCCTTGTGTTGTACTCAAAGGCTCAAATCCACATGTGATGTTATCAGCAGGGAACAAATGTTTTGTAGTTCTGTCCTTCAGTACAATTTCTTCCATTTGTCTTGCATTGATCCTCTGTACAGAACCAGTGGAATTATAGTCAGTTGTCTCCAGGACACTGGTATCTTGGTTGGCTTTGATAATATATACTCTGCGATACTGGAATTTAACAAGATCTGGTCTTTAACCCATTAAAGAAAATAGCAACCACCTTCAGTATGTGGTTATAATATAATGATAGTAGTACCAGTAGTACTCAAAGGTTCAGGTAAACAATATCAGACAGTTCTATCTCGGATTAACTTCTATTTATTTTGATGTGTCAAATAGTTCTTGAAAGAAAAACCGAACTTTTGAAAACTCTTGAAAATGTTATCCATTGGTTTCAGCTTATTTTGGTCATTCTTTAGTATCTTTAACCTTCACCATGCTGCCTTATTTCAGCAAATATATCCCACGCAACTGGCTTATTTTTCAAAGAGTGCAAAAAATGATATGCCTGGACTAAATAATTAATATCTCAATAACTACTGAATGAATCTGGATAAAATTTTTACAAAGGGAAGATACAGTGGCCTGGCTCATGAAAAAAATGTTCTCATGAATTTTTTCGTACATTAACACGACTGGGCATAAATATACAATGAATACTCCTCCGGAATCCGCCGCTCCGCCTCTTCGTCTGGTCAGAATCCAAATCTGAATTTGCAGCGATCGAATGTTCAATTTTTCAATTCAGAAAATATTCTAGTTTCTATTTTCGATGACCGTTATCGGCTTCCAAGAGCCTAAAGAGCTCGAAATCGTAATCCATTTCCTCCACATTTTCGTTGTGATCGTATTTGTCCACCATTTTGTACGATTCGTTCACTAAAAACGACTAAAACACTGTTTAAATTGTTGAATTGAGAATTATTTTTCGAAATATCGCCATTTCTAGGTCAACAGGAAGTCATGTTAGGCACTGAATAAATCGGGCAATCTAATTGGACAATACGAACGGCGCGAAAAAGTAAAGTTTTTAAAAGTTTGAAATCGGGCGTACGGGTCCGCCGGCAGTTGTGAGAGACATTTTAGTCTCGGCGGACGAGTCCGCCGGCAGCACGCTAAAGGTTAAAGTCCCTGTGGAGGTATCCACTTTTCCTTTTAGGAAATAAGACATGTCTCAAAGCACATTCTAATTATGCATTCAACAATATAATAAAAGGTTGCATTTTTGGTTAAAACTAGGTCAACATTTTTGAAAACTTATGTGGATTGCCCCTTTATACCACTTAGTCTGATTAACTTAATCATCAGCCAGGATAAAGATACCAGTTCTTCAACTCGACAATGGGAAGAACTGCTCTACCTTAGTGACTAATATGTCATGATATGACATCTAAAGAGTCGATAAAAGATATAGATTATACATACTTTTCTTAAAGAAAATGAATGGGTCTAAAACATACACCTGTGTTCGTGATCAGAAAATATTAATAATTCAAGTTAGAATTGTCTGAAATTGTTTGTGATAACCTACATGCTCTTTTCTGTATTTTATCACGTTCTATGTTTGGAAAGAGACCTCCAGAGTTGAAAACCCTACTTTTTCACAGAAAAGATATACTGTAGATGATAGTACCTACCCGCATTTCCATAATTTTGATCCTTTCTGTATCTTTTGTTTTTTCCCGTTGGTAATCTCCATACGCTGCTGCATAAACAATTCGTGTATCTGGACATAATTTCTCCATTTGCGCTCTTGTATATATGTCTAATTGCTTGAAGTAACCTTTTGACCCAACAATTGAGCGATTTGCTTGGCCAATTCTTGAGTGACCACCATCCACAATTGTCCACTGCATGTACGCCATCTATAACGTTAAGCAAAGTGCATATATCTTCACCAAAATGGAAAAAGAGGAAAACTATTGGACCTTCATGTACTCAGTATGGAACCTATATAAAAAAAAAATTTTAAATCCTAAGGCAGGGTACTAGGTATATACCATGTACCATAATAAATAAGGGAACCAAATAGCATTCAAAGAATCTGAGAGAATCCCATATGATAAAGGAACAGTTTACAAAAAGACTTACAATTTTTCCATCTTGCTCACATACAAAGCAATGTCTGAAGGGTTGCTCTACGTAAATTGGGAATAACGCAGGAATGTAGTCGAGTCCTTCATATATGTTATCATTGATCTCCATAATTCCTTTATGATCCTCTGGGATAGCCCTTCTACATATCGCACCCTTATCCATTTTTAATTGATTAAAATGGTTTACTTTGAAATGTAAGTTTTATATATTATTATCAAGAGCAGTTAAACTTGTTTTTATTGACCTCTCTACTTCAAAGATAAAGTAGCATTTACAGTTGAGTCTTCTATCTTAGCTGAGAGTTCAGACAGATCTCTATGTGTATATAAGTCAGTTCAGTTACAAGCTTGACAACATCTATATGGTTTTCTGGCTTGTATAAGGGACTGAGTTTACATCTTTGAGTTACATGGAGGCCAAACATGCTTAGAATAATTTGTATTGCGATTGTTTATGTGATCTCTGAATATATGTGGTTTGCTTGTCATTGTTGCATTTCAAAATTGAGCTTGAAGGGGTGCATTTCAAAGACAAAACTCTTAATTCTTACATCAATCTTTTCATTATGGATCCCTTTTGAACTGGTTCATCTATAATTTCAGATTGAGCTGGAGAACCACCATTATAAGACTGAGAATGCATCCCTCAATGAGCAAGTGACAATTCTTCAGAAGCGTCTACAAGATCTTCCTGCACAACTTGCCAAGGACCTGCACTTGGCCAATATTGAAGTGAGTCAATCAATATACTTACAGTGAAATCTGTTAAGTGGAACACCTCTAGAAGTCGAACACCCCTGTTGTTGGAAACCTTTCAGAGACCCAAGACCAACTGACTCAGTGTTAAAAATTTAACATCTATTAATGGAACACCTCCCAAGTGGAGCATGTTGACAATTATTTACAGAAATAACCTGTTGTTTTGAGGAATTTTGCAACTGTTTCCATGTTAATATTAAATTAACATGATTTTTGAAAATGAATGTTTCTAAAACATTATTATGGAATAAATAGGTTATTGATGCCCTCGAAATAAAATTCATTTTCCATCCCTCCCATTTATTTATTCGATAATAACATGTTTTCCCCAGGAAAATAACAGGCAATAAAATTGATATTCAAAAAATCCTGTATCAGATCCTGTATCAGCCAAAATCCCAGAAAAATATTATGGAATAAATAGGTCATTGATAGATATAATATCATATTAACACTCCGGCTGTCGCCCTCGGTCAATATGATGTTTTCCTTGGTCATTATCATATTTTCTCTTGAAATAAAACTCATATTCCATCCCTCCCATTAAATAACCTCTATTTATTCCATAATACTACTGTTTTCCCAGGGAAATATGAAGGAATAAAAATCGTATTGACTCGTATTACATGAAAAAATTGTATTGTCCCCGGGAAAAAAATCGTATTGGAGCTTATTACATGAAAAAATCGTATTGTCCCCGGGAAAAAATCATATTGGAGCATATTAACCTATTTTCGGTTTCCCGGTTATTTTTTCCCAGTTATATGCATTTTCCAAATGTAGCATTTTAGAGGGGTGTATTATAGAATAAATAGGTTATTTCTGGTCGGGATTGAATATGGGTTTTATTCCTCGGAAAATATGATATTGACCTTGGGCTATATGATATTGACACTCGGTCGCTGCGCTCCCTCGGTCAATATCATATTACCCTTCGGTCAATATCATATTGTCCCTCGGAATAAAACCCATATTCAATCCCTCCCAGTAAATAACCTATATTTATCCCATCATACTACTATTTCCCGGTGAATAACACCCTGGAATATTTTTGATATCGAAAAAAAAATCGTATTGTCCCTCCCAATCCATTTCACAAAAATCATATTCACCTCCCAATCCCGCTCATGAAAATGGTATTCACCTCCCAGAAATTTTTGCCAAACAAAGTTTCTAATTATGTTCAGTTAGGTCAATACAGAGTGCTATAATGATGATCTTATGCGAATATGAAAATAGAGATTTTGAAATGTTAGAAGTATGAAGATTGTTAGCCTATCAAACATTTTTGTAATTTCAACATCATGCTCTGATGAGGACAGTCAATATCTTAGAAATCTGGGAAATATGCGAATGCCATATGGACATGTATACATATTGTTAATTGTTTTGATGTTGATGTGTTTATGTTATACAATGAAATTTCAAAATTTCAAAATATCATAAAGCTAAGTCATATTTTGTAGACTAAATATATAATCTGGTTTTGTTTTATTCAAAAATCAGATATGGATTTTGAAGAGAGTCATGAATATCATGGGATAAAAAACATATTTACTGGATTATACTAAATCTGTATTTATTCCTTGTGACAATATGATATTGTCCCTTGGACTAAAACCCATATTATATCCCTCCCAGTAAATAACCTCTATATATCACCTCTTAATCACAATGAGATGATATTGATCAAGATGCTCACCAACTTCCTGAAGTTAACTGATATTCAGCAAGTGTAATAATGTATAGTGTCAGTGATTAATAGTATGTTATATGTGTGTCAAGGACGTAGAACAGATTTTTTATTGACTAAAAACAATATGTTTGAATTCTGCTCATATTGAACTGATTTTAACTGAACTTCATTTTCATAGAAATATGTAGTATGCATACAACATGCACTGAATAATAAAAGTCTATATTCTGATATATGTCTTGTAAATGCTTTTTCAGAATTCGAAACCCCAAGTATCTGAAAGATTATCAGAAAGGTTGTCCATAGATGATATTCCCCCTGCCATTCCTGCCAGACCTTCTCATTCTATCATAGAAAGCCTAAACAGAGACCATGTTTGTGATATTTATAGTACCGTGTCCAAGGACTCCTTCAACAGTTCTGGTTACCATAGAGATGACTCGGTAACTGACCATTCAGGTGATAGATTATCAGGTTACCGTGGTGATATATCTGTATCTGACCAATCAGGTGATCTGTTATCAGAAGATCAGCTTTCCAACTATCATGGCACTACCTCAGAGCATGATGACAGAATTTCTGGTTACCATGACAATATTGGCTACCATAGCGATGTGAATTACCATGACAACAGTGATATAAGCTGCAATCTGAACTCATATGAAGATCCAGACTATCAGGAAATAGATGAGAATCATGAAAGTCAATACAAACCTCAAAAACATATTCCTCCTCGAGTGAGAATTGCACGTAAAGTTTTCTACAATCCAAGATTTACAGAATCTCTCAATAGTTCAGCGTCAATGGCTAGTAGTGAGGAGATTTTGGACAAAAATGATGAAATAATTGACTCAAGACCAGATTCAGCTTCTATTAGCTATGGCACTCCAATCACATTAACTCCAAATACGCCACCCAGTCCCTTAACCCCTTCACTTCCAGAGGCCCCACCAAGCTCTCCTTTACACACATCGTACCAAATGTTTGATCGGAACATTGCGGCTCTGGCTACGTTACCTCGGAAAAAGAAAGACATCAAACATCCTGAGGATCACAGGTCACCCATAGTGGAAGGAATGCTTGTACATTCAGCTGACCAAAATGCAAAAAGGGGCACCAAGCCCCCACCCCCTCCACTACACAGACTACCTTCTTGGGTGAGTTCATACTCTAAAGCTATTAAATAACTAAAAAACAATTTACCTTAATCTTTCTTTTTTTATCTCTCAACAGCCAACAGCCAAGATAAATGATAATGAGTTAATTATTTGCGGATTCATTTATCATGTCCAAAAATTAGATCAATATAAAACTATATATATGCACACATAAATATTGTGCATTATGTTGAGTTTTGATATTAGCTTGATCCACATCTCACGTGATTTTGTGGTGAAGTTGTGATTTGTAGTTTTATATATTATCAAATGAACAATCCAAGGTGAGCATGTTTGCATTTCATGAAAACAACCTTTGCAAGAACATTTCATTTACAAATGTCCTCTTTGGAGATGTCATTCATATTGTTTTTCTGGTTTTTATTCCCAATGGTCTATCTAACTTCATAGTTTTTTTTCTAGATTTTGAGATCTTCTGAGCATCTCAATTTTTTGACAATATTACAATTGGTGTTTCAGGAGAATCGCATATATGCCGTTGCCAGGACGGGACTTCAACTCCCAGATAGTCCTGAAAGGAACAGGAAAGGTATGAATTATGGGTAATGTGTGAATTATGGGTAATGGATCATAATTACTAGTCTCTCCTCAACATGAGGGTAATTGTATGGCATCACGTTGGAAAGATGAAAATTACATTCCACACTGTTGAAAATCTATTTGCATTCTGCCAGAGTGTAATAATGAGATGTTAATTTAATATAGAGTTTTCAGTATATGTATTCATGTCAAATAAGTTCCACCAGGACAAACATTTACAGTCATTTATAAGTATGCCATCAAGTCTGATATACCATTGGAAAGAACATTCATGACAAGAACTTTTGTTTAGTGCATTTATATTTCCTGTTCTATGAACTAAAATGCGTCAAATGTTATTTTGAATAATTTTTGTATTTTCACAATTCAGAATCAAGCATTCCAATCATTGAGGGCACCCAGTCAGAGAAGCTATTCCAGGAAATAAACACACCCGTCTTCACTATATGGAAAGGGGTAAGAAAATCATTATGAAACACTAATCATGGGTGTAGCCAGGGGGAGTGTGATCAATGCTATCACAAACAACAAAAAAAAAGAAAAAAGAAATTTTTAAATTTTTAAAAAAAAATCATTAACAAATTATAGTTAGAAATGCTTAGAATGCAACATATGCGATGTAAATTTTTAAAAGTTTCTGGGGTTGAACCCCCTTACCTCCCCTCTTTGCTCGAACTATTGATACAAATCCGAAAATTTGCACCCCTTGATATTTGCTGGCTACACCCCTGCTAATGAATATAATATATTTAGGGAATGTTAATTTATAGAGTATATTTTGGTGACATTTGTGAATTGCTCTTTTATTTCAAATTAATATACTCGTAAATATATAATACACTGTTTAAGGTAAAGTGGGCCTTTGTTATTTAGTGAATTGTATTTTACATGTGTAATTAGCAATTATTAGAAATAAACTCATGATGAGTTCAAATGAATTTTCAGAAAGCTACAAGGATAAGAAATTCACCATTTTCCGATAACAGTTCGACTGACTCATCAGACAATGATGCCGCCTTCACACCATCAGTGGCGCCACCTGTTGAGACAGTCATGAGTGTGGCGGGACCTAATGGCAACGTCACAAAAAGTCCAAGTTTGAACACTCGACAGCAAGTAAACCAGAGTAGTTCTGGAGCTATTAAAAGAGGTCAGTCTTCGACCCAATGAATGTTTAGTTTCTTAGTCCAGTTGGCATCTTACATGTATTTATATGTTATATATAGGTATATGTGTCTCTACCTTCAATGTCATTATATTTATAGATGTTTACCATCACTGTGATAATATTTATAGGTGTGTCTAGTCAATCCGTTAACTCTGAGAGTTCTAGTGATTACGCTGTCCCCCCAGACAATGACGTTGATACAGTGTCCCATAGTGGCAGTGAGAACTCAGAACCCGAACAGAAACTGTTGAAATACAGCAAGAATCTCAGGTATGCTCTATTTGGGTTGAAAATCAAGTTGAGTTATAACATTCACTCAATCACTGTATGTACAGTGATCGTCTACTATTAAAAGTGCGTGATCAAAGACTCGACAAGATGCGCAAAATTCAAATATTTTGTAACGGTTATTTTTAAAAGATTTATTTGTGTTTATATTACAGGCTACTGGTTATTCAATTAGATTTTGTAGGCACAGGAACACCCTTATGCTTTGAGAAATATATATCAGTTTGACCATTTTTCGTAAATGTTATTGATTTTACGATGTAAAGATATAAATGCGATGTAATATGTGTTATTTTATTTAAAAAAGCTTAAAAATATCGAAAACAATTGAACATTTTTACTCTCTTTATTTTTAATACTTAGGTAGGGTCTTTGGCTTCCATTTGACCATGATGAAATTCACGTTTCCTCTTAAATAACATGGAATTAATATTCTAAAACAGAAACGAATGGATCAGCCTATAGCGTGAGTTTCAGCAAACCATATATCATTTTCATACATGCTTTTCAAGAAAAGAAAAAATGGGTTTCTCGCAAAATGTATGTTTAAAATAAACATGTTCATCACCTTTCACTGACTCAGTCAATTAAATGGTCACTGTGTGTGCGTACATTTTGTTTCTGCCTAGGTTTGAATACATTACCATTAATGATAAGTACACTGTACAGTAGAACCTGCTAAGTGAAACACCTCTTGAAGCGTAACACCTTATACGAGGAACAGTTTTTAAGTCCTATTTCAGTCCATTTATTTTACCTTCTGATCCAAGGAACGAGAACTTTACACATTGGCATTCAAGATGATTAACGAATTGTAATGCAAGAATTGAATAAATCATAAATGAAAATGCATGTTACTGTATCGCCCATTGTCATGATTGTGCCTGTTTTGGACATGGGGTCTCATAATAAACTTATGAAATATAAAATCTGAATTGTACATTATCTATTTCATTGGGGAATTAAATCATTCTTTTGCATCAAGGTATCAATAAGTATCAGTAGATGCCAGTTGTCAGTTCCCAGTTTCACCACGAGGTGGCTAACTTGGATCATATATGAATGACAGGTATAAGGGAAAACTCCTCTAATGTTCAATATTCAGTAGATTTATTAATCAATTTTCAACTAAGGTCTATAGGTGAATAGCTTGAGGATTTTAGAATTGCATGTAATCGAATACATAATAAACACCCAGTGAAATAAATACCATGCTATTATCTCTAATAATGGTGACTTTATTTTATTTTGTAGCAGTTGAATGAGGGATTTTGGATGATTTCATTCGATTATTGTCAATCACTGAAATTGTCATAAATTAATTACTTTCTACAAGTATGTGTTTATTTATTGATTTCACTTCATTTGGTATTACTCAAGAGAAATTTCTTGTTATCATTCTAAATTTGCCTCTATTTTCAGTAATCTTTCTCATCTTCATCTTTTTTCTTCATGATGTTCTACAAGGTGGTTTATAATGATTTGAAATTTAGGAGTTCGAAATGAAGGACAGTAAAATCATGTAAACCTAACCACTCTGAAATGCAAAGAACATATCATTAGAATCCACATGGTAAAATCACTCACTTGGCTGATCATAAATTGTTTTCATAACATCCTTCTTACTCGACACTGAAGGGGAGTTGGAACGTCTTATATGTATGTAATGTTAAGTATTATGTACATTAATCATAGGCATGTCAGTTTTGTGGTTTTGGTAATCTAAAAACAGAAAATTTGGTGAAATATACATTTTCGTTCGGCGGGTTTTTGATTTTGCTTCATTTATCAACTCAGTTCAGGTAATTCGGTTGAGCCAATCACTGAATTCTGTTGCCAAATGAATCTTGAGTCTCTTCTACAGCATATGGAATACCATCTGTAGGTAAAATGACATTAAGGTGGTAAAGAGAAGAGAAACAAACATACCTTTCCTCCGACATTTCGAATTTTGCGCATCTTGTCGAGTCTTTGATCACCCACTTTTAATAGTAGGCGATCACTGTACATACAGTGCAATGGATCTCAGCCTAGGGATTTCTAATAACTGAACCCATAACATGATAAAGACAAACTTAACTTAGAAGAAAATAAATTTTATACATGTAATTACTAATACCACAATTGATTGGACTAGGGGTCACTTAGTATGCACACTGATATCTATGTTTTAGCATCGATGTAAATAAATGTTTTTTCTTTTAAGGTTAAGTGGTCTTGAAAAAAGTGGCTACCTTACCAAACTTAGTGGCAAAGTAAAGGGCTGGCAGAGACGCTGGTTCATATTGAGAGATGGACAGCTTCTCTATTACAAATCTGCAGTAAGTATATGTATTCATATACAAGCCCCTTGCACACTGTGTGAGGTGTTAAGTCAAGTAGAGGGGGGGGGGTCACAGAGGCTTGTAGCTAGACTACATGTATTAACTATTTACATGATAATTAAAGCTAAACAATACTGTATGTAATGTATTAGATATCATTGAATCTCTCATGACTAAACTAACCAATTATATTTTGTGTTTTGTTGTTATCCAGAGTGATGCCATGCGGAAACCCCTTGGGTGCCTCCCACTAGACAGTCAAACCAAGATCAGCAAATCTGCAACAGGAACTCAGGCATTTGAGGTACACTTTTTATATTTGAGGTACACTTTTTTTATTATATTGAGGTACACTTCTTATATTTAAGGTACACTTTTTATATTTGAGGTACACTTTTTATATTTAAGGTACACTTTTTATATTTGAGGCACGCCTTTTATATTTGAGGTATGCTTTTTATATTTGAGGTACACCTTTTATATTTGAGGTACACCTTTTATATTTGGGGTACATTTTTATATTTGAGGTACACCTTATATATCTGAGGTACTCTTTTTATAGTTGAGGTACACTTTTGATATTTAAGGTACACTTTTTATATTTGAGGTACACCTTATATTTTGGGTACACTTTTTATATTTGAGGTAAATTTTTTATATTTGAGGTACACTTTTTTTTATATTTGGGGTACACTTTCTATATTTGAGGTACACTTTTTATTATATTTAAGGTACACTTTTTATAGTTGAGGTACACTTTTTATATTTGAGGTACACTTTTTATATTTGGGGTACACTTTTTATATTTGAGGTACACTTTTTATATTTAAGGTACACTTTTTATATTTGAGGTACACTTTTTATATTTGAGGTACACTTTTTTATATTTGGGGTACGCTTTTTATATTTGAGTTACACTTTTTATGTTTGAGGTACACTTTTTATATTTAAGGTACATTATTGTACATGTACTTTATTTTATACCGAGATACTAATATTCCATTGGAATAACACCAGGGAATGTGATTGATATTGAAACAAAATCCTTCAAAAATGTAGTTTTTAATTTTTGGAGACCATCACTCTCATGCAATATTTAAAAGTTTATGAAAAGTATGTGATTTTAGATTGTGACAAGTAAGCGAAGGCTTTACCTTATAGCAGAAGATGAAGGAGGCGTTGACTCCTGGATAAGAGGTACGTAGTCTTGAGGCCAATAATGAATGGATCTTCCCAAGGGAATGGAAGTAAAACTGTGCCCTAATGTTTTTGAAAATAAAACCTGCTTTATGTACTTAGCACATCCTAGTAGGGGATACTTTAATCTGTACTGAGAGGACTTAATAAATACAGTTATTTCTACACATTAAACATATGAATTGTCTTTTGTTTTCAGTTATCCAAAATGCCCTCAGACGCCAAGCAGCTGGTGTAGCTCTGAGGCAGTCCAATACGAAGGCAGTCATAAAGGCATGGCTCACAAAGGTATAATCTGAAGTTATGTCTGTTGAATATGCTCACCTGATGGTGTAGCATCAAGTGTTTTTAGTTGTCTTCTTATTGAAGCTTGCACTAATGTAGAATGAGTGGTGAAAGGGGAGGGGGTTCACCTGGGAATTTCATCAGAGATTGTAACCTCACAATATATTATCAATCAACTTGGTGCCAAACTAGCCAAATATATAGCATATATGGTACATTGTGGAACACCTTGAATAAATGTCAGGCCCCTAGCCAGGATTTGCCAAGGAGGGTTCACTTTTTGAAAATTCCAGGGGGGATTCCAGGGAGGGTTCACTTTGGCGTTTGGTCCAAAAATTGCCCAAATCTCTTAACAAGTGCTCAGAATGGTGAAAAACTGCATGATTTTGAAAGAATTGTTGGCCGGTGGGGGGGGGGGGGGTCAAATCCATTGAACCCCCCCCCTGGCTACTGGCCTGAATGTTACTCACTTATTATGTTTTTAGGCAAAACATGGTAAAAGTAGGAAGTACTGGTGCACCCTGGTTGGCAAATACCTCCTGTATTATAAAAGACAATCAGACAAGGTATGTTTTCGAATATAAATTGTTAAATGTGTGTATTAAGGCTATAAATTCATTCAGTTCACCTGTATATTAAAGTCCAGATATTTATAATGGTGAGTTTTATGTGTGTGTGTGTGCGTGCGTGTGAGCGTGTGTGCACGCTTTGAAGGACTCTTTTAGACTGCTTCTGTCATACATTTTCCCAAAGTTTTTTCCCAAAGTCTCCAATCTCTCTTTGAGGTTTAAGAAATAGTGAAAAATGAGAAACAAAAACATTCGCTTTACATCTATTTTTCTCATTTTTATTACTAACTTTGATGACATTGAATCTATTTTGAATAAGATAAGAGTAAAATATTAATATTATGTACAGGAATCTAAAATAAGATGCAGCGTATATGTACTAACGAAACTCAAACTAACATTACGTCATTGAATACATCACATCGTACCATTTGAGAGTGTTCATCACTGGAGTTGTCAATTAGTGGCTATTTTGTATATGTGTCACAATGAGTCTGTCAATGACTATATAGTCACAATATAGAGTGGGGCATAGAGTCTACACTATACAATTGTAGATGTTTAGTACTCAAGAGTAGCTGTGAGGATTCTTGATCATTGGTCACTTTCACTTATCAGAGACCTGAAAACAGAAAAAAAGTATCGTATTGTTTATGCATTTGGTATAAGAATTTTGATGGAAATTATCTGTTTCCTTCAACATAATGATTTTTTGTAATTTCAATAGGTGAACAGAAAACTGCCAGTCAGCATCAGGGTAGAACATACATGGATATATTCATTTTTGTTATTTAGTAAATATATATGATGTCATATGATATTGACTTGATATTTATACCATTACAAGTGAGGATTATCGGCCAGTTAAGTTTGGTGACATATAACATTCAACAAAGTGCCGAAGTAGAAAAGACATTAGAGGGAGAATGGAAAAAAATTAAATGAATACATGAATAAAGGATTTAAGCCCTGGACTCAGTGCATTGTTTGCTGAATCATACCAGGAAGGTGTTGTTTCTAAACCTTTGCGTGACCTTTGCAAAAAATTGCAATGTGTGAAAAGAATTTAAGCCCAAGACTCAATGCATTGTAGCTACTTCATTCCACTCAAGCATTGTTTCCTTAACTTTGCATTTCCACTGTGCTGTCATGCAAAGGTTTGGAAACAACACCTTCACAGTATGATGGTTAAATCCTTAATGAAATGTAAATGTGCAAGAATGAAAATTTGTAATTACTCACAGAAATAAACATTTCCAAAATGAGTTTCATCTGATTCCACGAGAACTTGGGTTTGTCATCTTCATCAATTTGGTCTGCTACATCAACTTCATTGTGGTTTGGGATTTCAGATCCAAATTGATCAACTTGATCATTCGCTAGATCAACTTGATCATTCGCCAGATCAACTTGATCATTCGCTAGATCAACTTGATCTCCAATTGCATTTTCTTCAGCACCCCCTCTTTTTGCCAGCTTACCACTATCATAGTCCATATATTGGGGATGTGGGTGAATTCTATACTGTCGTGCAGATACCTGCAGAATTAGCGCCAGCACAACCAAAGCAACCACCATTGCAGAGAAATTCTTCATTTTGTTTGAAAGTTTTCTTAAAAATCTATGAAAATCACTATAATTCAAAGGTGCTGATCCTCCAACTGCTCCTTGTGAAATTTCCAGGTAAATGAACTTCAAAGATTCATCCATTTATATTATAGAGTGTTTATATAGTTATGCACACATAAACAAATAAGAGGCTAATTAGGTACGCATCAAACAGAATTTGAAGGTTATACCAAATAAGGTAGTTCCTGTTTTCTATGCAATGGGAAGTGGTCAGCATTTATTGGTTTGTCAAATAAAACTTTCAAGTTTACTATTATATATATACAAATCTTGACTTATCCTTAAAGGATACTGTTGCTATGAAATGAAAATTTTAATATTTGTAAATTAGTAGGTCCCTATTTAATTAAAATTTCTTTAAACATATTTAGTGGTCATTTCCGCTTTTTCTTCCTTTTACAATATTTACAACATCCACGGTCAAGGAACACACTTTTCAGATGTGACGTAATCTTTGTTAGTTTGCTTTTAGATCTCAATTCATCACACTGGGTGAAGTGAGAATGGTATTTTGGTTTTGCCGTAGAGTGAATTTCTACTTATATCAGTTGTTGTAGGAAATGGTTCTACATTGATTCTGGGAATATTGATGCCTAGGTTTTCAATGTTTTTGAATGTTTGATGTACACTTTCTCAAAATAACCGTTGCAATAGCAACTACAGAACCAAAAAATAAAACTCCCCATAGTAACTAAATCTAGTATATTAATACTATGGTCCTGTGAATATCAAGTATCAAGAATTATAGAAATTATGCCAAGTGTGTTTCAGTTTATAAAAAACAACAACTTGAAATAGTTTGTCGCAACAAGTGACATCTAAGTCTATTTTCGATGATAAGTTTGCTTTCATTTGCCCTTTAAATGTTTTAATGTATCTCTGTATTTTATTGATTACTTCATGGATGAATATTGATCCCGTGACACGTTTATAGATTTTCAGACGTAATCTTTGTTAGTTTGCTTTTAGATCTCAATTAATTTCACAACATATTTAAAATTCACATTGTTTTGATGTTTTTTATTTATATTTTTTATATGAATAACCCAATGCTTACATATAAGACTGTTAACTAACAAGAGTAAACTTCCATAGCAAAAGAACATTTCATACTGCGGCATCTATTTTTTATTGTTAGTAGAAGAATTTATTACTGTTAATACAGAATATTCAATAAGTTCTTAACAAATGTAGATATTTGTAATTGTTTCTTGGAAAGGTTTCTTAAATGTGTGATTTGGTGTCTCTGCAGGCTCTGATTGACCACTAAATGTAAATGTAGCCTTGATGTTCCAAGCATGATCTTTAGTCTTGCTCTTGGCCATTCTCATTAATTGTATTCTGAAAGCAAAAATGAAATACATCATATTTTTGGGATTTGTGTAATTTGCCACCCATTCCCTTCACCTTGTAGGCTCTGACTTCTCAATGACACAACACTGAATGTTCTTGATCAAGCTATATAACCTTTAAACTCAGACTGTATTCAGGGATTTGAAACAAGACATCTCTATTCAAAATCACATCTGTGTGAAATATTGGTAGTTTTGGAACAGTTAATATATCAATTTGGAAAGGAAAGGATCGGTATCAAGATTTCACTATTACTATATGAAAAGTAAGTACTACAAAATATATTATACATGTATAGCTTGTTATGTCACCACCAAAAAGTGGTGACATATTGTTATGGTCTCCGTTTTTTGTGACAGCGGTTGGTGATCGGCGATTGGTGTCTGTAACAAATTCTTAAAACTTCCAATAACTTAACAAAAACTGTTTAGAATGACTTCAGTTTTTTTTTAAATCATCTACAAGTTTTCAGAAGTTCAAATCTGACTTTATATTTAAGTTTTGACCTTCAGTGACCTTTTCAAGGTCAAAAAGGGCTTTTTTCAACTTGCTTCAAATTGACCAATTTTTTTTCAAAATCATCTACAAGTTATCAGAAGTTCAAATCTGCCTTTAGATTTGAGATTTTACCTTTATCGACATTCTCAAAGTAAAAAAAGGTCAAAAAGGTCTTTTTTCAACTTGCTTCAAATTGACCATTTTTTTCAAAAACATCTACAAGCTCTTAGAGTTCATTCAAATCTGACTTTAGATTGATCTAATGATATTATGAGCAACAAGGTGGTGACATTTTGTCATGTTAATGCCTTGTAATATTTACAGCAGTTATATAACCTTCTGTTGAAATAAGCTCTACTATATGGCCACACACCAAATTTTAGTTGAAAGTGTGTTGTAAGTAGAGTAAGTAAATTAATAAGAAACAGAATTTAAACAAAACCTTGGTTGATGAAAACAGATTAAGTATATAATATTTTATATATAAAATATTAATATTTCGACTTCAACCAAAATACTAGTTCTACTTAGTTTATGGATGGCTATGGTCTGTGGATGAATAATGCCAAGTTTCACCAGCCTTGTCTCAAAATTGGAGAAGTTACGACGGACTGTATAAACAGTATACTTTAACACATATTTAATTTGCAAACCATGTTTACGGGACACCTCTAAATGCTAAAATGACAAATATTGTACAGCACATACTAATTTCCTTGTTTGCATATAAGTTAATTTTTGTATTTTCAAAAAATGTGTGTCCCGTAAATTAAACTCGTAAATTAATTTAGGATTACAATTAATTATAACACAATCAATATGAAACCATAATCGGGAATATAGCTGGTTTAAAGAAGAGACCCAACGTGCCTTAAGATCTGTTGTATTAGATTTGTCATCATATGTTTGCACATTCTTTTTAAATGGCAGTTAGATACAATTGAGTGACAGAATTCAAAGTTAAAAGGCCATGTAGGTTATCGCAAAAAATTTCAGATGGTTATATCTTGGATTATGACTATTTTTTGAGCAAGAAGAGGTATATCCTTTAGATCAATTCATGATCTCAAAGAAACAGTGTATACAATGATTATAAAGTCAATCATTCTCTGAGATATTTAGCTAGCAATCAACCCATCAACATACCTTTTCAAAATGTCAACCTCATTTTCACCAAAAATGCAATTATTTTTTACAATGTTTAATGTATTACTATTCTTTATTTAGATGTATCAATTAGTTCTTGAATGGAAAACTGAATTGCTTTAAGATTAGTGTTCCCCATGTTATTTCCCCATTAAAAAACTCATGCCATCCATTGGTTTCAGCTCATTTTGGTCATCCAAAATCAGTATCTTTAAAGTCCCTGGAGCAATCAACTTTTCTTTTTAGGAAATTGAACATGTCTCAAAGCACATTCTAATTACCCAAATGCGAGTAGGTAGTTACCAGTTTCACCACCAGGTGGCTGATTCGGGTCAATTAACATGGCAGGTATATGATAAAGTTCCCTTAAACTTGAATATTATCAATTTAAAGGGTGACGCATATCGTTTAGCAAATCGAACGCTCGTTTCTGGTGTTGCTCACCGCTTAGTATAAAAGGCCCGATCCCGGAATAATACTCAAGGGTTCACAGGTTTGAGGTCGTTGTGTCAACACCTCTAACTGTTATATAGCATAAGTATATTATAGATCGTCACACATTTATAAAAGGGTGATTTTTATTTGACAAATCAATTACACATTTATGGGTGAAGTTTCAGGATCTTCTATTTGTGTATAATAAGGAAAAATTGGCATCTAAATTTCCCCATAACGTAATAGCACACAGCTTGGCATATGAAATATCCTACAAATGAAACAAAGCAAGACAAACCGGTTTCTAATACAAGAATTTATATTGGCTGTTGTACATGTATTATTTGAACGCAATCACTCTTTGGATAACGTTTTCAAAATCATTATAAACGGATTACTTTATCTCAAAGACAATTTCAATAAACTGGATTTTACAGAACTCCCCTTATTTATTAAAAATGGACTGATCCAGTTGATTCGCCTGGAGCCGCCATATTGTTTTTATACGGGATGCTAATCGGAACCCTTTAAGTGGCTCAATTTTCATATAACCCTTATGCGTCTGATACTTATACTAATGAAAATATGTCCAGTAAAGCAAAATATTATCTGTCCACTAAAAGAAAAGATATTTCATTTTTTGTGATTTTATAGCATGGGGTCTATGGGGAATCTCCCCGAGCTAGAAGTCACATTTTCAAAGAAAATTAATTTTTCAAAGTTGATAAACACTTTTTAAAACCACATTTCTAGATGTAATTTTGCATGTAGATTTCAAATATGATATTAGTTTGACTGAATTTTGAATTTTTAATGAATCTTCTGAAATTGTTTGTGATAACCTAGGTGCTCCTTTCTGAAAGACAGATGGATCGTGAGGTTAGGTATTTTTATGAAAGTAGATATACTACAGATTCGTTCTAATATGTTAGTTACATAGTGACTGTATGCCAATTGTGGATATTGAAATGCAAATCTATGTTCACTTATCACTTCGGTGACAGGCCATTTTGGGTACCCCCACATACTTCAGGCACCTCTAAGTCAGTAACACAATATGGTGCACATGTAATATGTATTTAATTTTACTGTCATATCATAATTTTTGATAAAAAATGTCATTTATTCCATAAAAGTGCATATATTGTGATTAACATCATTAGGAAAAGCAGTTACACTATTTTTCATGCTTAGCAGAGAATGGCTGAACATGCATAAACCTGGTAATGTATCGTGTACATTATCCATGTCATTGTTAATGTATGTATGAAAACTATTATATATACTGTACATGTAAAAACCGATAAAATTACTCACAACAAAAAAAATTTCCAAGAGTAGTTTCATTTGGTTCCATGAGAATTCAGGCTTGTCATCCTCATCAATTTGATCTGAGGGATTCGCATCAACCCCCTGATTCTTCACCTCTTGCCTTAGATCTTCCAGTGTCATTTCCTGAGAACTAATTCTTTTTGCCAGCTTTTTGGCATTGGAATCCAAATAATTGTGCCGGTTTCTTAGTCTTGCTGCAGATGCCTGCATTGTTAAGGCCAGTACAAGCAGTACAGACAATGCTTTATAGATATTTTTCATTTTGAAGTACTTATATTGAAAATTAGTAAAGATCTTGGAATTCTAGAATTTAGTGTGTATTTGTTGATCTGTCAAGTGAAAACATCTTCTCTAAAATAGAGAAATTGTTAATATACCCCATGATGCCTCATGAATATAACACACAGGCGGATGACGTATTAAATTGATGAATTGATTGATTGCTGTGCTAGAAATTTGTCATGCTGTAAATCTCACTGCGTCCCAATATAATCACTATAATTTATTTGTGATACTAAAAGCTTCTTTTTTGTTAACATACCTTTGCAACCCACGAATCTCTAAGAAAATAGCAATTTGCAAAATCATTATTTGCTATAGAATGCAGTTTACTAATAGATAGTCATGCTAGATACAAAATATTTATGATTTGATGTTGTAACGTTCGAAAATAACAGAAAGTAAAAACAGCAATTAAAATATGATAACAATATATTTATATTTTGAAAACTAAATAATACAACAATAATATAAAGGAGGTTTAATACTTAAGTGATGTCCAATCAATGATACGGCTTATTCTTGATGTCGATAAATGTCGTTGACGATCCTTGAGAATGTTCCAGATCACGAAATGTTTCAATAATCGTTAATAGTTCTCCAATGTTTGTAATAATCCAATAATGTTTGTTGTAATCCTATAATGTTTGTATCCAATAATGTTTGATGATAATCCACAAATGTTTATGATAATCCACGAATGTATATGATAATCCGTATAAGGTGTGTGTTGTAATATATGTCCATATAAAGTCCTCAGGTTGTATGTTTGTATTGTTATAAATGTTCCCACAGTAGGTTGTTGTAATTTTCTGCTAAGAAGATGTCCTTTTGATAAACTTTGAAATTCTGCTAACAGCCCAAATCAGCTCTCTCATTATATAGTGCAAAGGCAAAGTCCAGATGTTTCAAGAAGTTACAATTTCTGGAAATCAACACTGATTGGACATCTTAAGTCACATGATTCAATCTTGATTTAATGATTATAGTTCCAGTACTTTCTAGAAGGCCAATGGTTAATGAGTCATTCAGTTCAGTTATGTTTACAAGATACAATGTCATTGTGACCTTGACCTAAGATCTCTAATGAAGATCAGTTACAGTATATGCATATTGATAAACTAAACTTAATGTGAATATAATAGAATATGATACTGTAACACCTCCCTCCTTAAAAGAAAAGTTTTGATTACAATGAAAAACTTTTACAATAATATCTGGTGTAGCGAGGGTTACATTTTTTTTAAAGATGAGGTTGAGACTTACATAACATTTGTTTACAATAGTCAAATACAATAATATTTATAAAGTTACAGACTGAGTAAAACCCGAAAACATATTATACAATAATATTATCAAATCACACTCTAAGTACAATCTTTTTATTATATCAACACATAGCCTTAGGCAAATGCAGTATAAATAGAATAACCTCTTAAAAATAGAGACATTACACTCTTGAAAGAGTGTCAGCAATCAAATTATCCTTGCCTTTGATGTGTCTTATGTCAAGATTGTACTCTGACAATAACAGACTCCACCTCAACAATCTACGATTCTTGTTCTTCATTCTATGAAGGAATGTCAGCGGATTGTGATCAGTAAATACAGTAACCACATGAACTGGTGCACTAACATATACTTCAAAATGTTGTAATGACAGAAGTAATGCTAGACATTCCTTTTCTATGGTGGAGTAGTTTTTCTGATGTTTATCAAATTTCTTTGAATAATAACACACTGGATGATCAATACCATCCCTTTCTTGTAATAGAACAGCTCCCATTCCTACATCAGAAGCATCTACTTGAATCTTGAATGGCTTGCTAAAATCAGGTGCAACAAGCACTGGTTCTTCACTTAGTATGGCCTTGATTTTATCAAAGGCTGTATGACATTGCTCAGACCACACATATTTGATGTTTTTCCCAAGTAAATTGGTCAATGGAAGAGCAATTGAAGAGAAATTTGGACAAAACTTCCTATAAAAGCCAGCCATTCCAAGACTTCTCATTAATTCTTTCTTGTTAGTAGGAGCTGGGAGTTGTGTAATTGATTCCACTTTGGCACTCACTGGTTTGACCTGTCCTTGACCTACCACATGGCCCAGATATTCAACTGTGGCTTTACAAAATTCACTCTTAGCCAAATTGATGGTTAAATTGGCCAGAGAGATTCTTTCAAACAACTTACGCAGCAAACACATGTGTTCATCAAAAGTGTCAGAATAGACAATTACATCATCGATGTAAACACCAGTGTTTTTGAGATCTGCTAATAAGCCATTCATCATTCTTTGAAATGTGGCAGGTGCATTTTTCATACCAAATGGCATAACTTTAAATTGGTACAAACCATCAGGAGTAACAAAGGCAGATACCTGTTTTGCTCTTTCAGTTAATGGAACCCCTAGGAATCCTTTGAGGAGATCAAATTTACTGACATATTTAGCAGTTCCAATTTTGTCAATACAGTCGTCAATTCGTGGTATGGGATAAGAATCAGTCTTTGTTACTCGATTCACCTTGATATAATTAACTACTAGCCTACGTCCACCATTTGATTTTGGTACAATGAAAGCAGGTGAACTCCATGGGCTATTGCTCTTTTCAATTATGTCATTTTCTAACATATAATTGACCTCAGCTCTCAAATCTTCAGATTTTGATGGATTTACTCTATAAGCATGTTGCTTAATAGGGTTTACATCTTGGACTTCAACATCATGATAAGCTATAGATGTCTTAGTCGGTACATCAGAGAAGATATCAGTGAACTCATGAATTAATTCTGTGACTTGCTGTTTTTGATCATTTGTCACATGATGCAATTTATGATCTAGATTTGATAATACTTCAGAGTTCTTTAACCTAGACAAACCTTTGATATCTTCATAGTCTAAATCAGTACAATTGATATCATCTGAATCTTGTAGATCAGTTTCAGTTATAAGGACAGGTGCCAAAGTGACCACAGGTTTAATTGAGCCATGCTCTTTGTCTGGCTCAAAGTACCTTTTCATCATATTGATGTGACACAATTGTGTTTCTTTGCGCCTATCTGGAGTTTTGACAATATAATTGAGGTCATTGACCTTGGAATCCACTACATAAGGACCATAGAATTTTGCTTGTAGCGGATTTGTCTGAAGCGGCAGTAATATAAGAACTTTGTCACCAGGCTGGAATGATCTTTCTTTGACTTTTCTGTCATACCAAGTTTTCATTTTACCTTGGCTATTTAGCAAATTCTCTTTGGCTATTTCACAAGCCTTTGATAGGCGCTCTTTAAACCCAGTGACATAGTTCAACAAATTAAACTTTTCAGTTTCTGAAAGCCACTTTTCCTTGAGCAATTTAAGTGGACCACGCACAGAATGACCAAATACTAGCTCAAATGGACTGAACCCTAATGATTCTTGCTTAGCCTCCCTGGTAGCAAACAGAAGCAAGGGTATGCCCTCATCCCAGTCTTTCTCATATTCAAAACAGAAAGCTCTAATCATGGTCTTAAGCGTCTGATGGTAACGCTCAAGAGCTCCTTGAGACTCTGGGTGATAGGCACTTGACTTACACTGTTTGATACCCAAGGTATCCATGACTTGTTGGAATAAGCCTGACATAAAATTTGAGCCCTGATCAGACTGAAGATCTTTTGGTAGTCCAACTAAGGTGAAAAATTTGATGAGTGATTTCACTATGTTTTTGGCTTTGATATTTCTAAGTGGAATCGCTTCTGGAAACCGTGTGGCCATACAAAGAATAGTGAGTAAATATTGATTACCAGATTTTGTTTTTGGTAATGGACCAACACAGTCAATAAGAACCTTACTAAATGGTTCATCAAATGCAGGTATAGGGTGTAAAGGAGCAATTGGAATTTTCTGGTTAGGTTTCCCTACCATTTGACATGTATGACAAGACCTACAATACTCTTGGACATCTTGTTTTAATTTGGGCCAATAGAAATGATTGAGTATTTTATGGTATGTTTTAGTTACTCCTAAATGACCTGCCATGGGAGAATCATGAGCTAGACTCAAGATTTCCTTATGATATGATTTTGGGACAACAATTTGATGTACAATTGTCCAATCATCTTCAGGGGAAGCTTCAGGAGGTCTCCACTTTCGCATTAATATGCCATTCTTTTTGTAGAAACAAACAGGGACCTTGTCAGCTTCATCAATAGTAAGACATCTTTTATGAAGATCAATGAGTGATGGATCATGCTCTTGTTCATAAATTAACATGTGTTTAGAATGAGGATCATTTTTCAAAGAATCACTATCAGAAATAGAGGATGAAACCTCAGAACTAGAAGAGGATGTAACCTCATGAACACTAGCAGAAGAAGATGGAACTTCATCAGGACTAGCAAGAGCGGGCGAAACCGCATTAAAATAGTGATCCTGCTCAGAAGGTGAATCACCTCTGGCAATAGGCTTTTTCAATGAAGAATTTGCCTCAATAGATGACTGCTTGGCTTGAACAGAAGGCTGTTTCAATGAAGAATTTGCCTTTAAAATAGGATAAGGACCATCTTTAACAAGTGGTGAGTGACATTCATCATCAAACAAGGAGCTTAAAAACCCACTATCAAAGTCATCTCCCACAGACGAATCCCCGCTATTAGCTAACTTTTTAGCCATAGCCCTAGTAACAGCACAAGCAGGATATATATCAGAGTCCTCTTGGACAGAATCCTCAATAGAACAAGGCTGATCAGAAACAATGGGGTCTAATGATACCTTACCCCCAGCTAAATCATTGCCTAAAAGCAATGCGACTCCTTCAACAGGAAGTTGTGGCCTAACACCAACAATAACTGGCCCTTTGACTAACTCTGATGTGATATGAATACGATGGAGGGGAACTTTAGTAAAACCTAATTCAATGCCTTGCATCAAAATATGGGTACCTGTGAATGACTCCTCGGATAAAGGAAGGACACCTTCTAACAACAAAGTCTGAGATGCACCCGTGTCTCTGAGAATCTTAATTGGCTTTGAATTGGTACCGTCACGTGACAGTGACACAGATCCTTCCGACATGAAAGGCTTATAATCCTCCATAATATCACTATGAGTTGATTTCTCAGTATGAGTATATGAATCCCAAACAATGGGCTTTCTTGAAATGGGAACTGTAGCACAACCATTTGAATGAGCAGAACCAGACATCTCTCTTCTATTCTTAATCCTATAGCATTCAGAAATAAGATGACCAGGCTTTTTACAATAGTTACAGGTGACATTTGATTTTGGACCTGAAGAATTTGATTGATCTGATTTTGAGCTAGAACTCTGTGATGAATTAGACTGGTCTTTTGCTTTGTTTGATGTATTTGATGATGAGTACTGATTTGATTTAGAGTCATATGAAGGTTTGTTACCCTGATAACCTCTAAAGTTTGAGTTAGGATTACCTTTGATAAAACTACCCTTATGAGTAAGAGCATAATCATCAGACAGGGTGGCAGCTTGACTTAAAGTTTCTACCTTGTGTTCATCTAAGTAAGTTCTAATGTGATACTGAACACAGTTTTTAAATTGTTCTATTAGCATAAGCTCTCTGAGCTTTTTAAACTCTTCAGATACATCTTTAGAGACAAGCCACCTGTCAAAAAGCTGCTCTTGCTCTCGAGCAAACTCAACATGGGTTTGGTCACTCTGTTTGTGGGCATTTCTAAATTTTTGTCTGTAAGCTTCTGGCACTAGTTCATAAGCTTTAAGAATTGCATTTTTAACTAGGTCATAATCAGAGCATACTTCTCCAGAGAGAGAGGCAAATATTTCACTTGCTTTTCCAATAAATACACTCTGGAGCATAACTGGCCATGCAGATTTAGGCCAGTCTAGGCTCTGAGCGACTTTTTCAAAATGTGTAAAGTATTTATCAACATTTTTCTCCTGAAATTTAGGTACAAATTTGAGAAATTTTGAAGCGTCAAACCTATTTTCAAAATGTTGATGCATAGTAGCATGTTCATCAGTTTTGGATTGAGCTTCTATCTCCAAACGTTTTAATTCAATTTCTCTTTGAATTTCTTGTTCTCTCATTTGTCTTTCATTTTCTCTTTTTTCTCTTTCATTTTGCATTTCTAACTCTTTTTCTCTCAATTCTCTAATTTCTCTTTCTTTTTGAATTTCTAATTCTTTTTCTCTCATTTCTCTTTCATTTTGCAATTCTTTCTCTCTTATTTCAAGCTCTTTAAGCCTAATGGAATCAGTATGCTCGACATGCTGGGCTGGTTCCTCAGGCAGAAGTGATTCTGCGATCAAATATTGAAGTACAAAGTTTTTGATTGTACCTTTATTGTATGAGCTTTTGACTGACAGGCCAACATGTTTTGCAATTGCCAGAAGTTCAGTTTTCTTTAAATCATCAAATTCCTCCAAAGAGGGCGCTTCTAAAAATGTCTCAACCTCAAAACTCATTTTCAATTAATTGCTGTCTTCACAATTTAAATGTACAAGTTTTGGATTTCGAATTTTGAAATATTTCAATTTAAGCTTGTTGTAGTTGTATCCCGGACGAGCCCCCAATTTCTGTTACGTTCGAAAATAACAGAAAGTAAAAACAGCAATTAAAATATGATAACAATATATTTATATTTTGAAAACTAAATAATACAACAATAATATAAAGGAGGTTTAATACTTAAGTGATGTCCAATCAATGATACGGCTTATTCTTGATGTCGATAAATGTCGTTGACGATCCTTGAGAATGTTCCAGATCACGAAATGTTTCAATAATCGTTAATAGTTCTCCAATGTTTGTAATAATCCAATAATGTTTGTTGTAATCCTATAATGTTTGTATCCAATAATGTTTGATGATAATCCACAAATGTTTATGATAATCCACGAATGTATATGATAATCCGTATAAGGTGTGTGTTGTAATATATGTCCATATAAAGTCCTCAGGTTGTATGTTTGTATTGTTATATGGTTGTATGTTATTATATTGTTAGAATTCATATATTTAAAAATGTGTTCCTTCTGAAATAATTTTGTGGAAAATATAAAATCTGAATACATGTATTCAAGATTTCACCCTAGTTCTCTATTCCAGATGCCAGTAGGCCAGATCAACCTTGGTGGCTGTAGATTGGAGGAGATAGATCGTACTTGCGATTTAGAGAGTGACTCAGATCTCTCTATTCAAGATTTCACCCTAGTTCTCTATTCCAGATGCCAGTAGGCCAGATCAACCTAGGTGGCTGTAGATTGGAGGAGATAGATCGTACTTGAGATTTAGAGAGTGACTCAGATCTCTCTATTCAAGATTTCACCCTAGTTCTCTATTCCAGATGCCAGTAGGCCAGATCAACCTTGGTGGCTGTAGATTGGAGGAGATAGATCGTACTTGTGATTCAGAGAGTGACTCAGATCTCTCTATTCAAGATTTCACCCTAGTTCTCTATTCCAGATGCCAGTAGGCCAGATCAACCTAGGTGGCTGTAGATTGGAGGAGATAGATCGTACTTGCGATTTAGAGAGTGACTCAGATCTCTCTATTCAAGATTTCACCCTAGTTCTCTATTCCAGATGCCAGTAGGCCAGATCAACCTAGGTGGCTGTAGATTGGAGGAGATAGATCGTACTTGCGATTTAGAGAGTGACTCAGATCTCTCTATTCAAGATTTCACCCTAGTTCTCTATTCCAGATGCCAGTAGGCCAGATCAACCTAGGTGGCTGTAGATTGGAGGAGATAGATCGTACTTGTGATTCAGAGAGTGACTCAGATCTCTCTATTCAGGATTACACCCTAGTTCTCTATTCCAGATGCCAGTAGGCCAGATCAACCTAGGTGGCTGTAGATTGGAGGAGATAGATCGTACTTGTGATTCAGAGAGTGACTCAGATCTCTCTATTCAAGATTTCACCCTAGTTCTCTATTCCAGATGCCAGTAGGCCAGATCAACCTAGGTGGCTGTAGATTGGAGGAGATAGATCGTACTTGTGATTTAGAGAGTGACTCAGATCTCTCTATTCAAGATTTCACCCTAGTTCTCTATTCCAGATGCCAGTAGGCCAGATCAACCTAGGTGGCTGTAGATTGGAGGAGATAGATCGTACTTGTGATTCAGAGAGTGACTCAGATCTCTCTATTCAAGATTTCACCCTAGTTCTCTATTCCAGATGCCAGTAGGCCAGATCAACCTTGGTGGCTGTAGATTGGAGGAGATAGATCGTACTTGTGATTCAGAGAGTGACTCGGATCTCTCTATTCAAGATTTCACTTTAGCTCTCTACCCAACACAAGATGCAATTACATACCTCATTATTCAAACAAAACAAGAAAAAGTAAGTCATATATTTCTATAACAAGTCAGTTTATATTATTTGAAATAATACATTGTATATAGGGAAGGTTCTAAAGCCATACATATCCAACAAGACAGTACATATTCTTTATATCATTTAATGTATTTCAAAAAGTGAACGAGTGATAATCTGGCTATATCCAATTGTTTTGTTTTCTGTAGGACAGTTGGTTATACCACTTAACTGTTGCCTCTGGAGGGGGAATGGGAAATATTGGCACAAATCATGAACAGATTATCTCAAAACTCATAGACTCAGGTGGCGATCCAGGTAAGTTTGTTTATCAATGTTTAGTTTATAACTGAGTGGGTTTCAACAATTTACCCGTAACTATAGAAACTGGTGTGAATCTATGAATTTCAAAGGATGTGGTCTAACCATTATTGAATTTTTTATGCAAGTAATTGTATGATCATTTAGAATTACAAAATATCAATATAACAATTCAAAATTACGATATAATTAATTTATGTATGGAGACATAACTTAGCTTTAACATTATTGGCCAGACCAAATATAGTCTTCTCAACCATCAAAAAATAAAACAATGATGATTCATGTTTTAAAGTTACTAGAGAAACTATTTTATGGATGGATTCCCTTCAATTACAAAATCTGGTGAATTTCACCCATCTTCCTCTGAGAATGTGCTGCGGATCTTTCATTGTGGTATAGAATTGTTCTTCAAATGTGGCTTTGAAGCTTGTACTATTTTCCCTCTTCATAAGTGATGGTATGGCCACACATAAGCATAAACATTATATTTAAAAATAACATGAATATAATAGGCAGTTAATTAGTCAATGATTAATTATTATTTTGTATTGGAAATGTCTCTTTGATCAAATTCCCCTCCCACACTCCAACATTCCAAAGCCCCATGATTAATTCCATATATGATCAACGTTATTAACAAATTACTTCAAAGCCACAGCAGGCCTGGGAGTATGTTGGTTATAAAACAATAGCATGCATTCTGTTACAGTAATACATTTATTGAGTGGGAAGTGGATAGTGAATAATGTAGAGATTGTGCTGATTTAATATATGTGCATGTACGAGGGTTGTCCCTGAAGTGATACACTATATGTTCTAACTTTATCAATAATGGATATTTTTCCATGAAATTTTCAGTAAATGTTCCTTACATTTTGATTCTACAAATTTTCATGTTGACTGATAAAACTATATTGATGTTATGATAAAATCAAGTTGGTGAGTTTGGGTAGGTTGGGGCAGGTTATACAGTCACGTCAAAATATAATGTTGAAAATATGAAATAATTAATCAACAAATAACATTTTGTGTAGCTATAAGAAGTATGCACAAAAATACATTTTAGGATACTAAATTACAATGAGCACATTCTAGATTTGATGGATGTATATTGCACAGTGTCCCATTTCACATTTTCTCAAAATATTGCCCTTTTGATGCCTGTCAGGTCAGACACTCTTAGCAATTTCTTCCACTGTGACTTGAAGAGTTTTTGCTTCCCATGTTTGGAGTTGTCATTCAGGGTCCAGTCATCACTTTTAAATCTCTTCTGGCACCTTTTAATTATCCCATCGAACAAAGTTCGGAGGGATATAGGGAACGCCTCCGTCCGTCCGTCCGTCCGTACGTACGTACGTACGTACGTAGGCCGTCCGTCCCTCCATCCGTCCGTCCGTCCGAGCAATAACTCAAATACCGTTGGCCCGATTTTGTTCATATTTTGTACACATATACCCTATGGGGGTAGAAGTTCTGCTCGAAAGCTGATTTTCAAAATGGCCGCTCATTTCAAAATGGCGGCCATTTTAGTGCCGAATTTACAGTAATTTAGGTGCAATATGTAAAACTGTAATAGCAATATGTTTTAGATGTAAAAAAATTATATAGGACATTAATAAAGCTAGAAATGTAGATATTAAAGAAGCACATGGCAGCCATCTTGAAAAATGGCAGTCTTTACTCGTTATTTTACGATTTTTGCTGTAACTTGAAAAGTAGTGGAGCGATTTTGTTCATATTTGGTATGTGAATACTATAAACATTGCACACTGTCTAAAGACACGTTTAGTAGAAGGTGGCCATTTTAACATATTTTACTATAACTCGGAAAGTAGTGGAGCGATTTTGTTCATATTTGATATGTGAATACTATAAGCATGACACACTGTCCTATGACACTTTTGGTAGAAGGCGGCCATTTTGAAAAATATTTTGAAAAATGGCGGCCATTTTAACGTATTTTACTATAACTCGAAAAGTAGTGAAGCTATTTTGTTCATATTTGGTATGTGAATACTGTAAGCATGGCACACTGTCTAATGACACTTTTGGTAGAAGGCGGTCATTTTTCAAAATGGCCGCCATTTTAACATATTTTACTATAACTCGAAAAGTAGTGGAGCGATTTTGTTTATATTTGGTATGTGAATACTATAAGCACGGCACACTGTCTAATGGCACTTTTGGTAGAAGGTGGCCATTTTGAAAAATGGCCGCCATTTTAACGTATTTTACTATAACTTGAAATGTAGTGGAGCAATTTTGTTCATATTTGGTATGTGAATACTATAAGCATGGCACATGGTCTAATGACACTTTTGGTAGAAGGCGGCCATTTTGAAAAATGGCTGCCATTTTTGCTATATCCTTTGTTTGTAAAAATGCCATCCATGGCTGTTTGATGGGATTCGCTACGCTTTGGTGTTGCCGTTGTTCTGGTTGTAGTTCTATCTGGTGTATACTCCTTTTATACTTTCTTCATGGTAGCATCAGTTTGTGTGGCTGTGAGTCCAAGTGAAGTATGAAATTGGGCCACCAAACGCAAGGCCTTCTGTTATCAGGTGAGAATTGCAGCCATTTTTGGAATTTCTTGACTGTGAATTGTGACTGAATTTGAATTTGTGATCTGTGGTATAATGACATCACAGTGCCAAAAGTCATTATTTGTAATTGGTTAACATCATGCTGAATAATAACAATTTCCCAAACATTTTGATCATTTAAAAGAAAGAAATATTAATAAAATAACACTTTGGATCTTTTCATAATTAGAAAAATTGGAACCTGCCCCGCCCACCCCTACCCCCATGTTGCTTTAGCAACCATATTAAGACTTAATATTAATGTTTGATGCTGAAACTTTGGGATAACAGATAAAACTTCAATTGTAATATACACAAAATTTCATTCTGGGACAACCCTCGTATATCCGGGTAAATAACCATGTTAATATAAATGGATCAAACAATCATATAAAATATATCAAGGCTGGATTTTTGTATGCCCGTGGTGCTAGTGAATTGCATAATATTTTAATGAGTTTTCTCCCCAGGTATCACTAATAAGAACAATAAGCCCTGCAGTGCAAATTACATGCGCATGTGTTTGCAATAAAAAATAGTTCATCCAAGTTCACTTATTATGCAATATACTTGCGCCGCGGGCAGTTCAAAAACAGTCTAAGCAACATGAGATGCAAGAGATGACCTAAAAAATGTTGTCATCAAAATTCTAGGAAAACTACATATTCATTGAACTAAATTCATTCAGATGCAAGAGCACACTAGTTTCAAGAATTTCTTAGGTTTAGGGCATGCTGGGTAGACCACTTGGTGGGCACTTCATTTTTCGATTTGAAGCTAGTATAATTTGTATCACCGTGTCTCTTGCTAATGTGTTGACAAAGTGCATTTAGAAATTTACATACAATAATACCACTCATCCAATCAGATTGAGTTTATTTGGCATTTAATCAGTGAACCCTTTGTGCTTACATATTATATCAATTATATTTGAACTCCACAGTAAATAATCCTGTACTTTCTGAAATGGTAATGGCTCTGTTGGGTACCTGGCATTATATATACTATATCCTCTATGGAGCATAACTTCTAAAAAGTCGACAACATCCATAGATTTTCTTATTATATTAAATTCCATATAGATTTTAACAATTTTAACTTTATCTAGGAGCTCCTTAGCTTTTCTAAAAGCATTGGTTTCAGAGCCTTCTATATCTATTTTCATAATTGCTTCTTTGAAATCTATAAACTGGAGCGTCTCATCTAGGAATATTGTTTTAACCGTTTCATTTATGTGTTCATTGCGTTTTGTTATTCCTACAACGTGTGTTCCCCCAACATTGCCTTTATCAGGTTTGAATGTGAGTTCTGTGTGGACGTCATAAACTGCATTCTGTAGTAAAGTTAAATTCTCATGCAGATTATTCAGTTGTACAGCTTTACTGATTCTATCAACATTTCCTTGCATGGCCTCAATTGCTATAACTTTGCTGCCAAGTTTCAATGCAGGGATTGTGTAAGTTCCAATGTTTGCACCAATATCGAGAAACCCCCATTTGGGGTGGTTCATGAGCTCTTTCATCACAGCAGTTACGTATTGCTTTTCCCAGTAACCACCAGTAAGGAATGCACCTGAAACGTATTTATCTTTTCCCATTGTGTAAACACAAATTGGAAACTTATCTCGGAAAATTGAATAAAGAACCACTCTGGGACAATTAAATTCAAAATCTTTCAAGGCTACTCTTGTATCAATTCTCTTTATATTTAGGTCAATATTTTTGATGCTCTTACTTGAGGACGGTGGCTCATTTCCTTCATTTAATTTGGTGTATATTTTACTGTCATTTTGAGTTGAGGTGAGATTCTTTTGAGTTTTTGATGCATGGGTATCATTTAATGATTCTTTGGTTTCATCGACTTTGTGCGTTTTAGTGTGAATATCATCTTCAGCTGGGTTGAGATTTTCTCTTTGAGAACCTATTGAAACAGCTGTAGCTATTGGCCTCTGAGATTCTACAGGGTTTACACTGTTTGTGATGTCACTTTTAATTGTTTTAGACTTTGATTCGTTTTGTTCAGACTCCTTAATTTGACTATGATGTTGAGATGATTTGGGATTTTTTGAAAAACTTGCTGAATTAATTCGAGTTGTTGGCTGGTGAGAATCTACATCTAAGGCAACCTTGCTTTCATCCATCACATGTGTTTGTCGTATTTTGTGTTCCAATAGCTTTGGTGTTCTGTATAGAATTAGTAATGTTATTAACCCTACGATAATGGCACAAAATGTTAGCCATAACAGCAAACCTGGAATCATATTAGAATACATATACTGAAATTTTATACCAATTGATGTCAGCATTTCATATTTCTGTTACTCTCTATACTGAACAAACATGTGTTCAACCTAAATAAGAATTAGTCAATCAAATATATAAACAGTAAAAAATACATGTTTATGTAACTATAGCAACAAAATGCTCATGAAAATGGGTTATAATGGCAGTTGCAGTTTCTGAAACACCCCTTGTATATTTTAGAAAATAGTAATTTTATACATAATGGTAACATCTGGGTTTAAAGTCAATAAAAAAAGATTTTTAATAAGTATTGTACGACTGCTATATATGTTTGATGATGTCACCTGTATGGTGAAATATCGCTAATATGAATTGAGGAATATATGCCATGTATTAATAGAAGTATTGTATGAAAGTTTTAGGTCAAACTGTCTTATATTTACTGCTTAACTTTTTATGAAGTACATTGTGCCAATAACACTCTATGTCTCGATGAAAATTTTACCAATTAATTTTAATTATAAATTAAATTAAATTATATTATATTATATTATATATAAAAACTGACTATACTCTATTCACATCCTGTTATTTTAAATAAGCGCTCAGACCTACATCAGTAGTGAAATACTTTTTCAAGTTTTCTTTATTTCAACGCTTTAATGAACATGTGGATTGCTATACACATTTTATAAAATCATATTTAGTTGAAAAGCATCTATGGTTTACTAGAAAACTATTGTGTTATCGTTAACTTAAGAATACCCCAAATCATTATTTTTATTTAAGTGTTGGAAAGAAAGAACATGTAAAATGTGAGTGATTGCATAACCCATGCAACTAGTGACAAAATCATTGTTTCCACTTTTCAGTGAAGGGGAAACTGACCATGGCCAGTTATTTACAAGGCTTTATTCAAGACCACCTCTAAGCACATATAATATATCATTTGTGTTCTGGGAAACTCCTTTATGATATTGATATACATATATTGATATATTCAATGAATATTATCCATATTAGAACAAGAAAGGGGGATTGGGGCTCATTTACCAGTCAAAAACAGACTGCCCTGGCCTCTTTCTTGAGAATATTCAATCAGTAATACACCTAACAATAGCCATCAAAATATGCTTGATACCCATCAATTTGGGTAAAAAATGTTGAATGTGTTCACATATTTGATCTTCCAAGACAAACATATAAGTAGTTTGTTCAAGCTGAATTTTTTAATCAAGATGGCTTGGACAAAATCAAACAAACAGCAAGGTGAATGAATCATTTCAAAACTGAGTCCCAGGCTTCAACTTGTAATTCAGGAGTTGAGGGGTCATATCAAACATTGTCTAGTTTAATGCATTAACTTTGTTGTTTGCACCCATAAACTTTACATCAGATAAATAAGTGAGTGAACTAAGCTCAGTTAAAATTTGGTGCATATTAGAAGAAAAATAAAGGTTGAGCGTTCAATTATCAAATGTTCCAATTTTTTTTGGACCACCCTGTATATAGGTTATTTACTGGGAGAGATTGAATATGGGTTTTATTCCGATGGACAATATGATATGACCTCGCTGCGCTCCCTTGGCTTCGGTCAATATTATATTCAATCCCGATCAGAAATAACCTATTTATTATTTCATAACACACCCCTCTAAAATGCTACATTTTGATAATGCAAATAACGGGGAAAAAATAACTGGGAAACCGAAAATAGGTTAATATGCTCCAATACGATTTTTTTCCCGGGGACAATACGATTTTTTCATGTAATATGCTCCAATACGATTTTTTCCTGGGGACAATACCATTTTTTCATGTAATACGATTCAATACAATTTTTATTCCTTCATATTTCCCTGGGAAAACAGTAGTATTATGGAATAATTTATATTATTTCTAATAACTATGTCATTTTAAGACTATTAGGGGTATACCCTGCCATTGATTTAGGTCATCAATGAATGGTAAAAGGTTCACACCTGTAATGACCATATAAGGTATCATACCCATGTATTTATTGATGCAATATTGGGTCTCATTGCTTTAATGACCATATAAGGTATCATACCCATGTATTTATTGATGCAATATTGGGTCTCATTGCTGTAATGACCATATAAGGTATCATACCCATGTATTTATTGATGCAATGTTGGGTCTGATTGCTGTAATGAACATTTAAGATATCATACCCATGTATTTATTGATGCAATATTGGGTCTCATTGCTTTAATGACCATATAAGGTATCATACGGTTACCCATGTATTTATTGATGCAATATTGGGTCTCATTGCTGTAATGACCATTTAAGGTATCATACCGATGCGTTTATTGATGCAATATTGGGTCTTATTGCTTCATTCTCATCTTGAAGTTGAAATCAATCAAATCTCATTGATGTGAAAAATATCCCAAACTCTCTTGCTCATTTTGAAACCACCTGTACAAGTGAATTTAGCGTAAGACTGTATTACAGTTCATACTTACGTTTGAATTGTGGACATTGTCTCAGCATGATTCACGTCTCCCCTGTTCTCATTTATTGCTCTCTGAACATCCCGTGCTCTATATACAGCTGAATAAAACGTTAATTACTTAACTGGAAAAAGTTTATTATTCCATCAAACAAAGTCTGGGGGGATATAGAGAACTGCTCTGTCTATCCGTATGTCTGTCTGTCTTTCCAGTCAATAACTCAAATACCATTGGCCTTATTATCGTTTATACATGCAATTTTATACTTATTTGCCCCATCTGAGTACAAGCTCTGCTTGAAAGACGATTTTTAAATAAGCAACTGGTTTCAAAATGACCACAATTTTAGTGTCAATTTTACAGTATTTTAGGAACAACATACAAAACTTCAATAATAACATATTTTAAATACAGAAATGTATAGGATGTGAATTATATTATTATTATTAAATTAAATTAAATGAAAATTTGATTATTTAAAAAACCATGTAGTGACCGTTACACACTGTTTTATGATTTTTGTAACTGTAAAAGTAGTGGATTCTGTTTATATTAGATATGTGTGTCTTATGACATTAGTGGCTAGTTGGTCGCCATTTTGAAAAAGATATTTCACTTTTTGTGATTTTGTAACATTGGGTCTATGGGGAATCAACCCGAACGAGAAGTCAAACTTTCACTAGTTAATGCCAAAGATTCTTCCAGAATGATAACCTTTACAATTCACTACAGATTGAATTAAGATATTGAATTATCGTTCACTGACTATGAGGGTGTTGTATTGTTTCATATTAAGCAGCAGTTTGTCTCTTCATATTAACAGGGAGGGCCAAAAAGTGAACCCTTGCAATTGGTTATATCTCATTTATTACCTGCATTAATGGGAAAATATTCTCACATGTTTTGGAGGAAGGTCTTAAGTTTATGTGGGTAACATAAAGCTCACTCAGTCTTATATTGTGCAGACGTTACCCGGCATCAACAGATATGCCTGATAAATGTATGATAAATTATGCTCAGTGATGAAGTTGTCCACAGCTTACAATCACATTCTCATTGCACCAGAATCATGGAGTGAACGCATCATGCATAAATCAGGCATGTCTGTTGATACACCATGTAACCTCTGCAAGATTAAAAACTGTAGAGTGACCTTTGGTACCCACATTAGACTTTCCTCTAAAACAAGTGAGAATAATAGCCCATAATGCTAGTAATAATTGAGGTATAGCCTGTAGCAAGGTTTCACTTTTTTGGACCAAGCTGTATATCTATTGTTGATATTATCTGTTTTTGTTGTTTAAATGTCATATGCTCGATCAATAAAAACAATATTTTTATTCATGCATTCATATCAATTTTTTAATTGTTTCCTTTCCTGCGAACCAATGTGAGATTCATGTATTCAGATTCACTCTTAGTTAGACATACATTATCACTTTCACCAATTAGAACAGAGTCTAGCCATGCTTTACCCATTTGCTAGTGTCTGGCCAATCAGAACAGAGTCTAGCCATGCTCTACCCATTTGCTAGTGTCTGGCCAATCAGAACAGAGTCTAGCTATGATTTACCCATTTGCTAGTGTCTGGCCAATCAGAACAGAGTCTAGCCATCCTCTACCCATTTGCTAGTGTCTGGCCAATCAGAACAGAGTCTAGCTATGATTTACCCATTTGCTAGTGTTTGGCATATCAGAACAGATACTAGCCATGCTTTACCCATTTCCTAGTGTCTGGCCAATCAGAGCAGAGTCTAGCCATGCTCTACCCATTTGCTAGTGTCTGGCAAATCAGAACAGATACTAGCCATGCTTTACCCATTTCCTAGTGTCTGGCCAATCAGAGCAGAGTCTAGCCTTGGTCTACCCATTTGCTAATGTCTGGCCAATCAGAACAGAGTCTAGCCATGCTTTACCCAATTGCTAGTGTCTGGCCAATTTGAACAGCGTCTAGCCATGCTTTACCCATTTGCTAGTGTCTGGCCAATCAGAGCAGAGTCTAGTCATGCTTTACCTATTTGCTAGTGTCTGGCCAATCAGATCAGAGTCTAGCCATGCTTAACCAGATTGCTACAATACCATACCATACTATACCATACAATACCATACTCTACCATACCACACAATACCATACCATACTATACCATTCAATACTATACCATACAATACCATACCATACTATACCATACAATACCATACTCTACCATACCACACAATACCATACTCTACCATACCGCACAATACTATACCATACAATACCATACCATACTATACCATACAATACCATACAATTCTACATCATACAATACCATACCAAACCATATCAACATATCAAACAAAATGGATCTGATGTTTTGGAAATAATATACAGTGCAATGTTCTTAGGATAACAACTCGTTATAAACATGTTGTTTACTCTTACCTATTTCAAAGGCCAGTCTGATCTTATAATTCAGCTTTTGGCCGGCCGTGATTGGCGGTAATGGCCTAGTCACATAGCATGGCCGATGTCCGGCATCGGTAGAGCTCGGTGGATTTTTTTGGTGCCACCGAGCTCTCCTCATCGGAAGCAGAGCTCGGTGACGTGAACGGACTCCGTCCGGACATCTTCAGGCGATCGACCGAACACCGGCCGGTGACCGTACAGAGTCTGTCTCAAAATGGTAGTTTTTTTCTGCCGATGTGGCAGCAACTACCGGCTGGAGGTCGGCCGGACATCGGAAGGAATATGGTCGGTACCCGAGCAGGTAACAGGACACCGTGCGATCGCCGGCCGGGTTGTTAACGGGCTTTGAACAGTGACCGTCCGATGCTCTGTCCCACATCGGCCGGAGCTCGGTCGGAACTCGGCCGCTGTCCGTTAAAAAACCTCGTCCTCTGGTTGTCTCAGATGCACGGGACACCGGCCGATACTCGGCCGTGCACCGGCCGACGTGTTTTCCGATGTGGTTACGATGGGGCTGCGATGACATGATGAGGGAGCTCGGTGAGAGCCTGGTGAAATTTAACTCCGAAGTTAAAATTTCACCGAGCTACCACCGATGCGGTTTTAAGCAACAAACGCCACGGATGTCCGGCCAGTGTTCGGCCGAGTTCGGTGAAAATTGCATCGCTGGCTCATCATAACCTCATCGGCCGGACTATGTTACTAGGCCATAAGGTAATTGAAATGTATGAAACTGAAATACTGAATAAACCTGCTTACTTTATATCCCCAAATGCTCTAACATCAGTCTCCTTTGCCCGTGAAACTATGGACATTTTTAGCTGCCTCTGACCTCTGTGCCAATCAAGTTTTCTTTTTATCGGTTGAGGGGAAATTTTCTATGTGAAACTTTGAAATGGGTAAGTTTGCTCTATACTTAGCCTAGACCAAGTCGGTATTTTTTTACTTATCTGATCTTGAATTATTACCGCATTGTACAATCCAGTACATCTCCGCTGATATTATGCTTTAGTTATTCAGTGGTTTCCAGATTTCCATAATACTTACGCTGTCAGGGGTATCGCGAAACCTTATTGATTGACAAGATCGCATGGACACGACGTGTGACTTTAGGCTGATTGACCAATCAAAATGTTATCAGGTTGACCTACATAAACAAAGCAAACTACCTGTCTCCGACTTGAAATTCAATGATCTGACGAGTGTTTCTTTTTACAATATATTTAATTATGTAATTAATGTAAGCAGTCATTACTATAAATTAAATCATGCGATTCAATGTTGATTTAAAACTGAATTCGCGATGAAAATGCACAAAGACCTAGCCATGTAGTCTTCGATCTGATTCAGTGATTGAATCTCAGCCTAGAGACGATCATTTGAATTCAGCGATCGTTTCAACATTTCTTGTTGAAATCTTCTAACCTCCGAGTATCCGATCGATGCTCCGGCATCTATTAAACTCTGATTGATATTTATCTGATAAAATATTTGTATTTTCATGATGAATTCGTTTGAATTTGTTTTTGACCGTGCATAACAATGAGCTAACGCGTCAGGGCTGTCGTTGATTGGTCAAATTTTACCGACATAAACATTGGGTCGGTAAAGCATGTGACTTTCTCTTGGGTACAAGGCGGTCATAATAGAAATCAAGATAAGTAAAAGAGACAGACTTGGGCAAGGCTACTCTATACTCTATGATGTCTTCCTTGTTAATATTATAAACCTCAAGTCTGTCACCCCCCTATTATGTTAAAAATGTCAATGCTTGTTCTATATTTGATCATGGATGAAGTTCCTAATTTGTCATGCATTTCTGTACAATGTGGATTGTTCACTGCATTTCTGTACAATGTGGATTGTTCACTGTATTTCTGTACAATGTGGATTGTTCACTGCATTTCTGTACAATGTGGATTGTTCACTGCATTTCTGTACAATGTGGATTGTTCACTGTATTTCTGTACAATGTGGATTGTTCACTGCATTTCTGTACAATGTGGATTGTTCACTGTATTTCTCTTTCATTTATTCTTATTGATTACTGTACTTTCCACAATCAAACTTTAAACTTGATCAATTTATATGTTTACTTTGAGAAATCTGTTCTGTGTCAATAGCTGCATTGAAAAAAAGTCCAAAGATTCTACAGTAAGAATATGATATTGAATGCAATTTCAACATTCACTGCTAATACAGACAACTAGGCCATGGTTTGTGTTGAGTTTCATACTCTGCTAAATCATTGATATCACTCAGTTATTAGAGTAAGATAAATAGAATAAAAAGGATTGGTATTGATATGGTGAACTGAATTGAACACATGTTCATCTTAATTTATCTATTTTGGGGGTTTTGTTTTAATTTTCTGAATACTATTTGTAAAATCAACCAAAATTTCCTTTATATAACTATATAATATTGAGAGGTCTAAGAAAATGTTGTATTATATATGATTTATATTTATGTGATAGATTCATATTAAGAAAAGAAGAAGTAAGGCAGATGTGGGCAATAAAATATTACAAATTTTATTGAATTACGTAATGTTACATAATAGTTACAATAAAATAATTTTTGGTTGGGGCAAAAATGCCCGCACATATATGTACATGTGTATAACAATACATGATAATGAGACAAGGGTGGTGGCTGGGGAAAATGGGCGGAAAAGATTTTTACTATAATATAAAT